AATGCGAAAAGCCCGAGAGCCTTTCGGGAAGGGTTCCCAGAGGGGTTCCGGGACCCCTTTTGGGGAGGGGTAGCACCATCGTGATTCGAAGAAAAATCAATAGGCTTTTTTTTAGGGTTCCGGGCACCCCTCCGGCCCCCCCTTTTTGGAAGGGCTCCGGAAAGGCCTTCGCGGCCAACATATATGCGTGGTGCCCGCTAGAGACGACGAGGCCAGGGCCTGTGTAGACATCTCTCGGGGCGCCAGCCTCACACGCTGATCCAGGCCATAGCGGCAAATACCTGCACGGAGAGAGCAATCGGGGAAGCGGAGCAAAATATTGCGCGCGCCCGGCGTTTTCTAGGTGAAAACATCAGCCACAGAAGAACCCCCAGCGCCCCACCCCCCTTCGCGTCAATACTCACTTACCTACTAGAGCACTGCTGCTGACAAGCTAGCTAAAACAAACCGCGTTCAAGTCAGCCCCTCACTAGCGTGCACAGGTTTACTAGCTTTGCGCCGCGAAAAAATGCGCGCAGAATTTTTTTTACGGTCTGAGGCAAATACAACGTTGACGACCCCATGTCGAAAACGACATAGAGACTACTTTTTTACAGCTTTCGCATACTAAATTTCTCAGGCAAACAGCATTGTCATGACAGGAAAAGTTCATCGCATTTTTGGTCCGTATGGAAATTGTTTTACTATTACTTGTTGCAGCATCACTTGGATAAAAAGTGCGACCCAAACATGGTGCCTCCAGCTCGTTTATGAACTGCAAAAGTATCGTACTAGTATAAACTGCATTACAGATTCCACCAGCATTACAAATTGAATTTGTAATGGTGATTTACCTTGAGACAGAGATTTGTAATGCAGAAATGCAGTTACTACGAGTACGATACTTTTGCACAGGATATCGTTCTCGAATCGCATTCCGGACCGCATAGTACCGCAGGGTTCCGTACGCCGCAGAAAAAACACCGAGCAGAACAAACATAATGGCGCACAAGTTGTCAACGTGGGACTCCGTGACCAGATTCAGTTTGTCCATCGCGAACCCCAGGGTGACCAGGCCCGCCGCTGTGCGGATCCAGGCCAGAAACGTGCGCTCATTCGCCAAGTCGGTGCGGAGGAGCGCGAACCTTGTGGTTTCAGACATGTCTGTATCAAATGTAAAAGTGTCTGGGTCTGGAAGGATGTAACCTGTGGTGCGCATTTCGGAACTCACAAAAATCTCTCATGCAGAGGTAGCAAGAGCTGCTCACTTTCTGTCACCAAATTGGGGGATTTGTCATCCGGGTTCGACATTGCGGAAGCTTCTCGAAACCTGTGATGCTGGAGCTTCCATACCAGACCTTCTGTGTCATGCAGAAATAGCATGACTCTTCCAGACCCAGACATTTTTACATTCGATAGTCTGTCGCATAATTTCCGGTCCTCGACGCATCCTCGACACGGTTGGCGGCCCTCGTAGTTGTCTCTTCTTGTTGTTTGCTGGAACAAGTGTTCAGTGTCCTGGTAGTTGTGCTGGAGGAGTTGTTTGCATGATCTGATGCAGCTGATACGACGAGGACCCTATTTATTTTATATGGGTGTGTCAGGATCGAAATTCTCAAAGTTGAAAAAAAAATCCGGGGGCCCCTGAAGAGGTGCCGGGATTTTGCGTTTCAACTCTGACACATTCGCCCCCCCTCCGAGCTAGCCACCACGCTATGCTGGAATGTGTCAGAGTTGAAGGGGGTCCCGGAGGGGGTGCCCTGAAGGCCCCCGCCAAGTTCTGCCAGAATTTTTTTTCAACTTTGACGATTTCAATCCTGACACTGCCATATTTTACTGCCATTCGTTACAGCTGCACTCCCCGCAGGATGATCAGGTCCCGTCTTCACAGAAGCCGCTGAAGCAGTAGTTGTCCTGACATCTTCCACGTTCGACGATATCACCGGCGGAGGAGCTGACGGCGAAGCGGTTTCGTGCTTTATTTGATGCGCAGGACGAGCAGCCGTGTCGTCTGCTACAACTCCGTGGTAGTCTCTGAGCGATCCCGCAGCGCTGGAAATCATAAACGACGTTGAGGTTCTGCAGGACCCCGCAAGCTTCACAACTTGTTCTTCCGTGCAGTCAAAGTCCTTGGTACAAGAACTCCTGCTCGTGGTTGCACAGTGGAGATCTTCTCGTGCGAGCAAATCCCCATCATCGAGAAGCGACGAGCCGTGTTGAGCCAGCAGGTGGTCCGCCCCTCCTGCGTCTAGAGCATCGCCCTGCATCAAATTCGGGTCAGATGATGAACTGGTGGTGGTTGTCAGCGTTATGTTCGACGGGAAACTGAAATTGTGCAGCTGCCCATGCCCATTCTGGTCTACTCGATTGATCAGCGGTGTTCTCTTCGTGCTGAGCCGCGACGAAGTCGTGGCGTAGCAGGGGAGATCTTCGCTGCTGTCTGCTTGTGGCGGAAGCGGAAAATGACCGTGTAGTTGACGACCACATTGTGGGTCCTCCCCGTGCAGCCTGCGCTCGTCCCTCAACACGTGGGCATCTTCTCGGGACCCGTCGCCAGTGCCGCTACTGTTCATCGCAGATGCAGTTGCCCGCGACGTGGTAGAACGACGCCCGAACATTCTGTTTTTTTCTGTTCTTCGCTACCAGCAGAACTTGGGCGGCCGGTGCCGAATTGGAATCATGAAGCGCCTACGTTTTATTGCGAACGCGTTACCTCGACGTAAGTAGGTCTGCGTCTGCTGCAGTCGTCCAGTGTCTTGCACCAGGCAGGTGAAGACGATGAAAAAAATGGCAGAGCGAGGTCGGTGTGACGATGGGATGAAAAAAAGCGGAATAAATTCTTGTTAAACGCAAAATGTTTTAGTAAACCAATCGGAATCGAAACGCCAGACCGGCGGAAGTTGATCTCGTTCGGTCGTACCGGCGATCATATTATCCTCGGCGCTGCATGGGACCTCGATCTTCATGGTCTTCCTTTATTTGTATTTCATGATCTTTCATCACAGGAGACGCTTCTTAGGCCACAGCTCTTCTGTTTGCACCGAGTCAAAAATGCCATTCTTGCTCAGGACAGAAGTTCTCCACCAGAATACAGTAGAACCCGACAGATCGTGTACAGTCCTCAGACCACCACAGACCCGAACTTTCCGTACTTACGGGGTGCTAGTGGAAAGTTCTTTACTCATGGGAACAAAGCGAAGTGGAAGTTTTCATATAGGGCCGTTTTTCATCACGAAGGCGAGCCGTCGGTGTTGTCATCGGTGTTTATCTCTACTTCTTCTATGCACCTATTACATTGACATTATTTATTTTCCAGTTTTTGTAGTGTACAGCCATGCGTTTGCGTCTCTTTATTCTTTTCAATGGATATACAGATGTGCTGCGTCATTTGTACGATGTACATGTTGAATCTTGCACCTAACTTTCTGAAAAAAATGCTCGAGCTGCTTAATTTGGTGCAACCTTGGCAACAATTGCTCAACAATGAAATTACAGTGCATTTGGCTGCTTTACTCGACGCTGTTCGTTTTGATTTTCAACCAGTCTTCGATAGTGGGTGTTTCGCTAGAGAAATACGAACCACAACTACGCCGAGAGTGCTCGCTGATATTACTTCTAGGCACGTCGAAGAGGACGACGGTTTTTGGAATAAAAATACTTGCGTGGAGAAAAGATTCTATCAAGAGGGAGCTGTATGGTTATAAAAGAAGATCTTCTTGATCTACCAACTAAAAAGCGCGGCCGCTTTTCTATTGTTTACTTCTGCAACGAAAGATGAAAAGTATTGTCTGCTAAACGATAGACTCAACTAGACCTACGTGCTCTATACAAAACTCCATGTGCTGAGCGACGTCGTGGTGCCTGTTCTTATCGCGTTTCTTCTGTGCGTTTCTTCCGCGGCATTTTATTTTGGCTGTGCTAGCTTGTCCTGTCGCAGTCGTGCCTTGATATTAACAACTTCTACAACGTAAACGGACTAAACGGTAGTTGAAAAAAAATGTGTACAGAGATGCTGGAGCGCCGCTGCTTCACAGCTTGTCATCTCTTGCTCGTTGATTATGATTGTAAACTCTAATACGAACATATAAATTTGCTTGCTGTGCGATATAGTACTTTTTCGTCTTCATCTTCTTGGAAGTTTAATTGTGTGGATGTGGAACAAATTCTGTACTTAAAAAAACATTGGTCCTCATCTGCTCGGACCATTACAACTACGGTAGTTGTAATGGTCCGAGCAGATGAGGACCTTCTAGCTTGATGTTTGAATACCTATACCGTGGTGCTTCTGAGCTCGTACACAATCCACCAGCACAAGCATCAAACTGTATCTGTAAGTAAGTATCGTATATTTGCGCGACTTCTGTGAAAAAAAATATTGCCAGAAGGTGTTCCTCTAAAAATAAAATTCAACACCTTCTTCACATTGGTTGTTTTTTCTTGTATTCATCTTCTCTTACACTTTCACTTTGAATTTGTTTCGAAACGTTTTTAAATCGACTTTTGCATAAGCACGATTCGCCTAAACTCCCTCTAGTACGTTGAGAGGACCTTTTTCTAAATCTACTACTCCAATCACACCTCATCCACCGACAGAAATTTCAAACCCACACCGGTTCCCGCAACTCAAAGGGTTTTTTGTTTCTGCTGCAGCACCAGCTGCAGCAAATGCCGCAGGTTTTTTCGCTCTCATTCTGCTTGTTCTCCCTAGTGGACGTCGGACAGGAACTATCATTTCCCTGCAATTTTTTCCGGTTCATGTGATCCTGATGTGCAACATCAACGGCCGTTTCGCTAGTGCTGGCGCTGCTAGTAGCTCGTGTGGCTTGTGAAGGGCAGATGCTGCTTCCCTCAGCTCTAGAAGCAGAAGCTGAGTTGCCACCAGCTGGAGCACGTTGCTGCCACAGGGACGAGGAGAACAACGACCACGACCTCCGGAAAAAAATATAGCGGAGTAACAGCCAAACGACAAGCAGCAGTACCACAAACAAGGGTAGATGTTGTTGGGGACCAGCCGTCGATGCTGCGAATAAAAACAAAAAGCTGTCAACGGGACCCGGTTGTATCGCTTGTGTAGATGAAGACGTAGTTCTAGTTTTGATTGTGCCAGCACCCTTCGTGGAGCTAGAGATTCTACTTGTTCCCTCTCCAGCTTGAGATTCTACTTGTTCTGCTCCTTGTCCAACAGATGATGTTGAAAATCGTAGCTGCAAGTTGTTGAGTGTTTCCGAAAATGCCGCTGGTAAATGGAATGACGGAAGGAACTCAAAGTCGAACGGGAAGGAGAACGGATCGAAATCCATCCAATTAAAAATGGATCTGCTGCTGATCTTCGTTGTAGTTGTGCTACTACTATCCACTTCATCGCCCCCCGCCGCCGCCGCGTCACCGACAGCTGCTGCGTTAGTAGATGAGGTAGTACTACCAGCTATCACAAGGAAAAGTGTTAACGTTAACGGAATTTGTGATGCAGTAATGCATCAGAAAAGTTGCCCGAATTTGTATTGCGTAGCATGCCTGGAAGGCAAAATTTGTAATGCATGACTGCCATCTGCGGAAACCGTTAACGTTAGCACTTTTTTGTTTGATACCAGCTCCACCAGACGAAGTAGACTTCGACGATGACGCGGTTCCCCGCAGATTGCCGCGCTTGACGCTAGGAGCAGTTGTGCTTTTCGCGGAATCATAGCTGTTCGTCGAGGATGCACGTTCCTGATCTTGTAGTTCAATGTGGTGTAGTTTTTGTTGTTCTTCTTGATCGTCGCGGCCCGTTTTCGGATTTTTCATCCTCTTGGCACGACCCGCTAGCACTTCTACTTCTTCATCCTGGTTACTACTTTCTTGGTGCGAGCTCTGCAGTTTCGCCGCGGGCTGGTGCAGCTCCCCTTCTTGCTCCAGAAACGAGGAGGCGAATGCGTTACTGCTGGTCCCTATCCAGGAAAAAACACCCATCCCCATCCATTTTTTGCATGGCAAATAGTGGACTTTATGCATGTTTTGCATGACAAATTGGATGGGGATGGGTGTTTTTTCCTGGATAGTCCCCGAATAGAAGCTACGGCTGGTAGTAGCACCACTTCCACCTTCCCGCTCTTCTTCCATTTCGGCCGCGGAGTCGATTTCCTCTGCGGAGGAGGGGGAAGTGGAGGACGCCGCGTCTGCACCAGCATTGTCCGCGGATGAAATATCTTCCTCCTGTGTTCTGAGTAAAAACGTCCCCACCCCACAGCTGTCATGCAAATCTGCATGCCAAAAAAAGATTTTCATGCGGAGCCCCATGAGAAGCATTTGCTAGTCGTGTTTTGGGATTTGTGACGCTAGAATCAGCATGAGAAACTAGATCTGTGATGCTGCTGAACTAGCTAAACAGGATGACACTACGACCACAAAGAAACTTGTCATGCGAAACAACCAAAGCTGGTTGATTTGTCTAGCAAATTTCACATCTTGACTCTGGTGTGGGGACGTTTTTACTCAGGATATCCTGCATGTCGCTACTGTACCAGGATTCGGAAACGTCGTTGTAGTATTCTGAGTATCCTGTGCAAAAGTATCGCACTCGTAGTAATTGCAGTCATGCATTACAAATTTTCTTCCTAAGGTAAATCCGCATGACAAATTTCATCTCTCATGCTGAGGAAAGTTGTAATGCATTTATACGAATACGATACTTTTGCAGTTCATACTGAGCAAAAACGTTCCCACCCCAGCTTCAAGTTGGTAAGCCTGCAACACAAATCTGCAAGTTTTGGGACTGATGCATGACGAGCTTCCTGGTTAGCAAGGACAGAAGCCGCATTACCAAGATGCCTGCTTATGTCTAGTATACTTACGTTCTCGTTTACAGCATTACAAATCCCAGTACACGATTACCAATTCCTCTGATGCGGATGCGCATTACTATTACACTTACAGGCACTGTAGATGCAAATTATCTGCATGACAACTATGGCGTGGGGACGTTTTCGAATACACTGGATATGTAGCGCGCTTCCACCATTTCGTTTACGGTCGTTTCTGGGTCGGCCAGCAGCGCTGGGGCTCCTTCATGGAGGTCGCGCTTTTCCTCCACAAAGGAGGAGGAGGAAGTGGCATGATCTTGGTCCTCTTTGCTTTTGCTTTTGTGGTGATGCTTGTGCTTCTTGTGCTTGCGGTCGTTTTCTTCTTGTTCTTTCTTCTTACGGCGGTGCCGGTGTACTAGATGGGCAGCTCCCCCCACAAGTCCCGCGCCGACGACACCCGAAAACACTTCCGATCGGACCACCTTGTTCTTGTCTGCACCTGTGGGTGCCTCTTATCAAATGCAAACGTGTCGTATTTCCAAGTAGTAACCGCAATGTTGATCTCGCTCTCGGCATCGCAAATCTATCCTTGTTCTCGTGAAGTGGGACTGATTCATTTTTCATACTTTTGACTTACTTCCATGATTTCAATCATTGCAGTCACTAGTTGGAAGCGCGAGGCTTTTGCAATGCATACCTCAGTTGGTGCTTCTGTGGGTGCTTCTGTGGGTGGATCTGTCGGTGGATCTGATGTCGGTGGCCCTGATGTCGGTTCCGGTGGTTCTGATGTCGGTTCCGGTGGTTCTGATGTCGGTTCCGGTGGTTCTGATGTCGGTGGGTCGGTTGGATCTGTCGGTGGCTCTGTCGATATGAGAATGCACAACTCCTTCTATTTTCCCCACACGTAAGGCATGAGCATCTGTATACTAGCCTCTGCAAGAATACATGGAAAAATCTGCACAGCAGGATGACAGGTCGATGCACAAGCACATACAGTTAAATAGTGGTGCAGCTGCTTGGCCGAGAGCTGCGGCCGAAAGCGATGTTGATGCAATGAATCAGTGCAGCCCGGTGGCAATAAAGCGTAGGCTGGACAGATGGCAAAGATATTTTGCATGACAAATGAAGGGGACGTCGAAGGGGCGTTGTGCACTTCTCTACTAGTCGGGCCTAGCGGATTTGGATCCGTCGTCGCTGGCGTATCTGGCGAGTCGCTGTCCGGCACATGAGGGTGGTCATGCATGGCTCGCCGAATTTCTTGGGTCGACAGGCCGTCCTTTCCAGTAACGTCCCTATGAAAGCCTCAGAATGAATGGAAATCCTCAAAGTGGAAATGCTTTGTGATGCATGAAATGTGACGCAACAAAGACTGTATTGCAGAGGACGCAATTGAGGCCGACTATTTTCCTGCTAGGGGTGAAGAATTGGAGTGCTGCCAAGCACGACAGAAGGGCACCCCTTTGCCTTAAACTGCATGACAGACATGCTTTAGGTGCCCGGGAAATTTGTCATGCGCCGACTACAAATGCCGCTTCACCTGGAGTCGTTTTTTTGCATTACAAATCATTTCCACTTTGAGGATTTCCAACCTGAGGCTTTCATAGTCCCCTGCCTGTCCGTGCTCCGAAGTGCCAGCCGCTCCTTGTTCGTGGCTCGAGGTATCCGCAGCGCTGAAGTGAAGTAGAATACACAGTAGCATGAGCAATCAAAAATCGTAAAACTGCTATATCAAACACGTGTCTACACAATTACCCGCGCATCAACCCCCTCACGAACATACGTAGCAGGCCAATGTCAATGATTTGGCTTTTGCAGTGTAGTACGTTGCAAAAGAACTCGGACACAATGAAGATAGAAACTGAAACACAAATAAGTATTTTTATACTAAAATTCCTCTCTGCTCACTTCGCCATTGTTGTCCTCGTCTAGGGCGCGGACCAGGAGGTCGCGTTTATGGCTTGCTCAGATGTTAGTACAATCTCGAACGCTAGTACGACAAAAATTGTCTTGCATCAACTACGGCATGAGAAGTACCAAACAGAGACTTCTTACGCAAGATTTTTTCTCTACAACTAGGGGGTGTAGTTTGTTTGGCGCTACTTCCTAAACTTTTCATGCAGCGCCAGCGCATCTGTTTCCCGTGTTGAGAAGAGGCCGGATCATCAGTCACCTGCGTGCTGTGTCATGAATCTGCACTTCTAGTGTAACTGAGATGATTGTGACACCTGAGCAGTTTGTAGTGCTTTCCGTCTCCGTGTGATTGGTCGACCAGCAGGTTGGGGTCGTGGTTTTTCGCTTCCTCGTAGGTCCTATGCAGTGCAAATATTTCAGGGCCTGGAAAACTGTAAAGGTTTGTCATGCTCGACTAGCATGACTTTGACCCTCAACGTTGTCATGCACGCTCCCCAAATAAAGCTCCATTACAATGACTTTATCATGCAGAATCTACGCAGTTTGTCACGCCGGAAACCCAACAAGCAATGCTGAAACACTAGCAAGCTAAAAACTGACATCAACACCTAGCAAACCACAAACTTGTCATGCTTACCCGTCAATTGTAATTGAGGACTCTTTGTGAAGATTATCTTTGATCACCATGATGAAGATCACAAGTTTATTCCAGACATCTTCCAGATGAAATATTTGCAATCCATAGCTCAGGCGGTTATCGAGGTCCATTGCGTTCATAACTTCCTGTTCCTCGTGGCCGATCATGTTTTCGTCACGGTGTATGCATTGCAAATATGTCTGGGTCTGGAAGGATGCAACTTGTGATGCTACCTTTGGACTCTACACAAAATCTGTATTGCATGAACAGCAAAAGAGGCGCAATTTGTGCTACGCGGAGAGGCCATTTCTCATGCGGTATGAGCATCAGAAAGCCGTCACAGAATCTCTGACGCTCGGGCATGCATCACAGACTCCATGGGTCAAGGTCATGGAAAATCTGCATGACAAACCTTTGCATTCTTCCAGACCCAGACATTTTTGCATTTCATACCGAGCTATCCCATACAAAACTGTATCTCCGTACTCTACGTATCCAGAGTGGGCTAAATTTTTTTTCAATTTCAACACAAAAATCAACGCTTAATTACTACATCTTTCTACATGAGAAGAAAATAACCAAACAGGAGCAAGAACTTCTTTTTCTTCTATATTTACCACTTCTACTGCGTTGTTCGTTGTAGTCATCTCTTCTGCAAAGAATCGAATGCAAAAATATAAAGACCTAGATGATGTAACTCTGTTCGTAGTACGGAATATCTTTTATGACTTTGGTATGGATGTGTCAGAGTTGAAATCGACAAAGTTGAAGTAACTTGCAATGCATGAAATCGATACCAGTTGCAAGCCCAATGTCTAAGCGGCACGTGACAAATTTGGGTAGAGCCGAAATCCAGTTTGTAATGCTGTTTGGGTAAGGAAGACGCCTTTTGTCATGCTACTTTAGCAGCTCTATTTCTACCCCGAAGCTAGAGGCTTACAATCTTCTGCCTCCCTTAAGTCTACTCTGCAAGACAGGCATTTTCTGTGTTGCATGTTATGCATGGCAAACTGTTTCGACTTTGACGATTTCAATCCGGACAGTTCCATATTTGCGGTCACCCGCGTACCCCCATGTTGAGATTCTCTAGGTCCTGCGGTGTATGCATTGCAAATTTATGTCCTCCACGTCTGGAAGAATGCAGGTTGTCATGATGCGAGCACAAAAGAAAAATGTGTTTAACATCGTCGGCACAAGTTGCCCATTGCTTGCTAGGCAAGTAGTAGCAGTGACCATAGGCGACTAAGACTTCTCTTGCTAGGCAAAAGGCGGACTTCTCATGCGGAATGCGCGTCGGGGAGGTCATCTCGCGAAGCAGTCTGTAGTGCTTCTGTGTGCATTCCAGCCCAACATGCGCGTTCTCGTCGAGATGCACAAGTTTTGCATTCAACCTTCCAGACCCAGACATATGATTGCATTTAATACGGTGTAACCCTCCCGTCAGCCCCAGCGTATTGGTTGAAGGTCCCTGTTATTTAAAATTATTTGATTCCGATTTGCACTTAGTAAAGACGTAAACTGCTTGCTTGCGTGCATAAAATCAAGTCGAAGACTTCACTTTATATATAGGAGTCGTGTGACAATAAAGCTGCAACCCTGCATTCTGAATCTCATCCGAACAGCTGATGACGCGCACCTCGGTCTATCCCGCCGAGCCCATCAGTGTGGACAAATCCCCCGGTCACCCTCAAAATCAACCTATGAGCAGCAGCACGAGCAACGGCAGAAGTACAACAAATCGCAGGACAAATCTGAACCCGGCAAAGGGGAAGCAGTACAGGGAAAGCAGCACAGGCGACGGCCCTCACATGACAAATCTTAACGCGGACAATGGAGCACAGTGTGAGCAGGCTCAAGAAAATTATTGATGCAGACGGTGTTTGTTCCACGCAAGACGGATTTTGGCATTTCTATTTGACGCATTTCACAATAGAGAAGGGGCGAGAGGGGGAGTTGTGCACTAACATATGCCTGCGCTTCCTCCCAAGTGACGACATTCTGTTTGCCGTGTTCCTATCAATTGCAATTATGTCTGGGTCTGGAAGATTCTGAGACTTGTCATGAACGTTTTGAATGAGCCATGATGTCTGTCATGCATGCCATAGCATCACAGATTTTTTGAGGGCTTCTTGATGCCTATTCGGCATGACAAATGCCCTCTCCGCGTAGCAAAAATCGCATTCGCTTTGCTGCTCATGCAATACAGATTTTTTCAGAATCCAAAGACAGCATCACAAGTTTTTGCATTCTTGTTCCAGACCCAGATCGATGTTTGCAGTGGATAGTTCCGTATCCATTTTATTCCAATCAAACCAGCTGATTGAATATCAAACTCAGAAGCACCGCACTGTGCTCCTCGTCGCGCCAACGGAGGTCGTTGTATACCGCCAGCACGCAATATGACAGGAATTATCTTGATTTCAAAATGAAAATCAGCATCACAAGTTTCATTTTCGCTTTCGGAAAAAGTTGTAGTTCATCTCTTCAGCAATTACTAATTTGCTCCAGAGGTGGTACGACGAGGCAAGCAGTTTTGATGGTGCCACGCATACTACAGTATCGCTGGACTTACCACCGCCCATCTTGAAGAGGTCACGTTATGCATTGCAAATATCGACGATCTCGGTCTGGAAGGGTGCAGAAGTTTGGCATGCAGGTTTTGGACGATGACCTCCCTGAAGATCTGGAAAAATAGCAAGGGGCTTAGCATCACAAGTTTATTTGCAAGGGCTTTTTGGAATGCCTATCCCTATCCCTATTCTGCATGAGAAATCGCGTCTCTTCAAGTTAGCCGAATAAATGTTGGGACAGCCTTTCATGCTACTCGTGCACGACAGATTTTCGTGCAACTGAAAGCGAGCATCACAAGTTTGCATCCTTCCAGACCGCCGGCATATCAACTGTAAAAATGTCTGGGTCTGGAAGAATTCATGTTTGTCATGCTTGTCTGGCATGACTCTTAAATCTGTCATGCACGTTACTCAAGAACTCCGTTTTTCTGTGATGCAGAAGCGCAGTTTGTCATGCAGAATAGGCAACACCTAGGAGCTCAGAAACTTGTCATGCTGAGCCAGCATCTGTAGCCTCATCATGAGACGCCACCCAGCATCACAAGTTTCCAGACCCAGACATTTTTGCTTTTGATACGGCACATAATTTTTGCAAGGCATACGTCCTGATCATGACCATTGTCGGGATGCATTAGGTCTTTCATGTCATCTTTTGACAAGCCGTCTGTTGGGATATGCAATGCAAAAAGTATCGCACTTGTAGTAATTTTTATCGCTGTTATATGCATTACAAATCTACTCCATCCAAAGATAAAACTAAAACAGCATAACAAATCCTATTTCTAATGCTGAGAAAATTTGTAATGCAATCCATACTAGTACGATGCTTTTGCAATGCATATCCGAAAGCATCACGGAATTCTTGCTTCCCGAGGACGTTTATCCTGAGTAAAAACATCCCCACCCCAGAGTCAAAATGGGGATCTCGCAACACAGCAGGTCGAGAAGTTTTGAGAGTCACGCATGACAAGTTCCTCTCTGTACTGTAGTGAAGTTCAGTAAGTGCAGCCGCATCAGAAAGCCATCTACTCATCTTCCGGTTTACAGCATTACAAAGTCCAAAACGCGATTGGGAATGCTTCTCATGGGGATGCGCATTACAAATCTTCCTGTGATTGCAAAGCTGCATAACAGCTATGGTGTGGGGACGTTTTTACTCAGGATAACGTTTCCCAGACCCTCCTCAGCCTGGTGGTGTCCACCCGAGATTATCCTTTGTAAAAACGTCCTCACCACGTCCCAAGATTTGTCATGCAAAATGGCATGCCTACAATGTTTGTCATGCGCAAGAACCTCGACATGAGGAGCATCCTCTGCAGATGCTATGTGGCAAGAAGGTGGACTCGTCATGCTCTAATCCGGATGAGGTGATGAATTTGTGATGTCTCTTTACAATTACATGATAAACACGGTCGAGTACTTGAGTAGTTTTACACTGAAAGCACAAGGAGATTGTCATGCGCAAGAAGCCAAACTACCTTGTTGATTTGTGCAGCGAAAAAACAAAACATCTTGACTCTAGGGTGCAGCTGGGGACGCAGTTTTTACCCAGGATAGAGATGGCTTTGAACACATCCCGTGGTAGGCCGTTTTCTTGCCACTCTCTCTCTCCGATTCTGTATCCTGGGTAAAAACGTCCCCACCCCAGAGTTGTCATGCAGATTTGCCATCACAGGAACATTTGTGATGCGCAACCCCATCACAGGCATTTTCAATCGTGTTTGAGAACTTGTAATGCTGTAAACAGGATCAGCAGATCGATTTGTGATGCGGCTTTCCTTGCTAACTTGCACTACCTTACGCCGGACTGAAACTTGTCATGCGTGACTCCCAAAACTCCTAGGTTTGTGTTGCAAAATCCCCATCTTGACTCTGGTGTGGGGACGTTTTTAATCAGGATATTTTGCCGTCGCCATCTTCGTCCATAGTGTTTAGGTCGCCCAAGGTGATTTTGTCGTCGCTTCCAAACTCTCGCGCCAGATATGCATTACAAATTTATTCCCGTACATGATGTTGTACAAAATGCGTCACAAATTTCAACTTGTCATGCTGAAGAGGTTCTTTGAACGGAAAAGTTTGTCATGCGGAAGCCACATTTGTTCGACGTCGTGTAGTACGCGAAATTTCTTGTGGATCATATCAGATGCCCAAGCGCAACCTCATCCCTGTTCAGACCAGGTTCGCCATCTAGATTCCCTTCTGCAATGTCTACACCAGTCATGAACGCAGGCGAGCCGGCGTGTCCCTTTCGGAAGTCGGCCTGTTTGTTTTTTGTAGTTATAGCATTTTTGCATTATGCTGCATGCAAAGAAGTCTACAAGAAGAGATCTATCGTCCATGGTTCAGAAGTTGTGCACCAGCGGCCAACAAGTTGTCCTCCTCGTGGCGAAGATGCATCAATGAAGTAGCCCTAAGTATCTGCACGTGCTCTACAGAGGTCGTAGGAGGTACTTTTTACTTTTGTATCAGGAGAACGAGATGTAATGTTGATGTCGAGATTGATGATGAAGATGATTCTGAAAAAGAATAAGTAAATACGATATCGTGAAAGTCGTCCGAGTCTCCGCCACCTGCTTTCCACTCGTCCAGGCTAAGCTTTCCGTTGCCATCAAGGGGAAAATATCGATCTGGGTCATCTGGAAGAGAGCAGACACTTCTGGTCGTGGGGTTTTTATTGCATCTCCAAGAGGCGGATCTTCGTCTTCCTCATGGGAAATGCCAATGCCTTGGTCGCCTGGGCACAAAAAAAAACACACATTTTTTACTAGTGGATTTTCTCAATAAAGGATTATTTGGCCTAAGTGATTCCTAAGTGTAGTCCCACCGTGTTTAGCTTCAAAACCCGCTTGATATCTGGATTTTGTTCTGATTATTTTGGATTGCCCTACGTAGACCGGTGGCAATTTGATGCGTTCTGCGTATTTCCGTCGGTCCTCTTTCCAGCATTCCAACCAATTTAGACAAAGCCCAACACGAACGAATTTTACGGCAACGACTTGGTGCAAAATCTCGCCTACGAATCAGCGACATAGAGAGGTGAAGAACGAAAAAGGGCGACACGCGATCTGATTTTTTGCACGATGTTTGCACTAGAGACAGCTGCACTTTTATCCCGCCCAGCGAGGCGGCGAAGACGCGACGCACTGTCTGAGAGGATATCGACAGACCCCTCTTGATCAGCCCAAGCAAGAAGGGGCAACGAGTCAACATTTCTGATCCGACGACGCAGACGCCACTGTGCACAACAGATCCGCAATTTATCTCATAAAACCGGTCCGAGATCTTCGCTGTTTTTTTGAGTTTTGTGCTATCTAGTTCTAGACGTGGATCTTGCGCGATTTGGGAAAGTCGCAAGCACGTCGCCGCGGAAGCTTTTGACTCGTGCCCTGCGTCATTATTTTTGGATTGGCGTCCTGCTGTTCATAGCTCCATGTGGTCAGATTAAATGAGTCAGTTTTTTAGTGGGGGAATGTCGATCAGATCAATTTGCGCGGCCTTTCAGGCGGACGCTATCGCTTCGCAGATGGAATAGGGGCCTCTGACTCTTGGGCAGCGATTTTCGTGATCGAGTGGAGGCATTGCCTCGGAATTCAGAAAATAAAGCATCTCGCTTGCAGATCTTTCTAGGTCAGTGCTTTCTCGCTGTCCATCGACACTTCTTGCTATCCATCGCAACATAATCTTTCGAGAAGATCTTAGATCTTGCTATGCGTCGAATATCTCTTTTCTTGTTTTTCCTAGATCCTCCTATCCATCGAGAACGACCCAAGCTGCCACGGGCAGCACTCGAGTCCTGAATGCCACGGCATCATCGAAACACCCCGGATCCAAGATCCAACGCCCCTTCAGAGACTGCGCCATACTCATTGAAAACCACTTTCTTAGCAGGCGAACCGGCAGGACGCCCTTCGTGAGCGGATTTTCATTTTCTGAAAATTTATTTGGGTAGAGCCGAAGCCGAGTCTAGGAGCCGACTCATCGACCACGAGAAGGCTTACTTTCCAGTGTTAACGACCTAGCGAGGTCAGCGATCTACTTATTGCAGCGTCTTCACCTACCTCTTCAGACCCGCGGTCAAGTGCTTCCAGCATCGGCTGAATTCGCAGAGGTAGCTCGTGTAGAGAATTTTGTCCCGTAGATCGTTGCCTGTCCAGTTTTCACCACGGCGAACGTCGAAAACTTTGCGGCAGTTTGGCGCTGCTTCGGGGTTTTTCGTCATCCGGGTCCGCATTCGCACGAAGAACTCCAGGGCGTTATCTGAAAAAAATTGCAGGTCGCACTTTTTCTTTGTTGCCGTCGTCGCGACGTTTGGGTAGTCCGGACGGAAGCAAAGATTGAGGGTGCGACGTGGGCCACCACCAAACACCAGCGTCGATTTCGATGCAACGCGCAGGCACCCCGGCAAACGCTCCGCTTCCGGGTCGCGGTCCAAGTCGTATGAACCCTGCATCCAGAGAATGAACTTGGAGGCCGTCCAGACACCGCAACAATCCACCGCCTCCTTGACCAGGTCGTTTTTTTCGACTTTTTCGCCGTTTCGCCCGCGCTTCTTGAACCGCGCAGCCTTGTCGTCTAGCTGGCTCCACAGCTCTGTCTCCGCGGCTGCGACATACTTCTCCGATTCCTTACTCCGCCAATACTGGTCTTTCTTCCAGTAGCGGCCCGCGTTTTCCGGCACCCGCATCAATGCCTTCGCTGCAGTTTCAAACTGCGACGCCGAGATGTGCCCGGTTCCTGGGAACCACTCCTCGAGGTCGGAGATAAAATTCACGCTCATCTCCCAGCAGCACACCAAAGTGGTCCTGACCCGATCCTGCCAAGCGGTTCGAGAACTCTTCACCGTGCGATTAATGAGCTGCAGCCGCCGGACCGCCACAGAGTCTGAATTTTCCGCCCTGCCTTTCGTTGCGCACCAACTGTCAACCGCCTCACCTGTAATTGTCACTTCATCACGAATGACGTCGCCATCCAACCGCGGGTCATCACTCGTTTCCCAACACCCGAGCTTGCGGTAGACCGGGACGATGATCGTCTCGCCAGCAGGCGGAGAAAGCGTGGCGGCTTCTGGGTCTTTTTCTAGGCGAAGCAAAAAGTTGCACCACCTCTCCTCGACGAAGAAAAATAGAGGCCAGAAGTGGTCCGCCTCTGGTGCGAATAAAACATCGCGGGGTGTGCCTGTGCCGGCCATGACGGAAGTCGGCTAAGGCAGAGGTCACTCATAGCACTAGCTCACGCCAAGGCAGAAGTCAGGTAGCGTGACAGCCTCGAAAGTAGCCTCTTGGGAGAGCAACGATGGATGGAAACGAGCGGCGGAGTCATATTGTTCACTATCAATACCAATTTTTTGAACTACGAACCTGCCTTCAACACTGCAGCGCATGGATGTTGCGCGTTTCCAGCCGCCACCCCACTAGTAGCCGCGCGTTTACTGTAGCACGAGCCAAAAAGTCACGCGGTGGTGTAGTGTTTTGCCGGTTAGTTCGTATCTGTCTCGTGCAGTATCTCTATCTTGTTCTTTCTTTGGATCTCGTGGCATCATTGCAAGGTGACGAAGAGAAAAGAACGAAAACTAACGCACGAGAAAACACAAAGGCCAGAACCAGCGCACTCTCTGGCCAGGATTCACTGCGATCCAGAAAGAGGTGGCCAGAAGGAGCAACCTTTTGTTACGAACACGCAGCCCGTCGGTCGGTGGTAAGGTTACTTACAAAGGCTTTTCTAGAAAGAAGGCGCCAGGGCTGCCTCCGGCGTTTTGTTTTCATCGTAAACTTTTCCGTCATGTGTATGCTTGTGTCTATGCCCCGGTGAGTTGATTCGTTCATATCATGTGGACCCATTTATTTCTCGTTTTTTCTTTTTTGCTTTTGTTCTTACGCAGGACTTGTTTTTTTTTTGCCCTGCTATCTTTCCTCATAAATTTTTTATATCTTCAACATAGGAATAAATATAAATATATCATTTACTGATGCTTTACTTCTTCCCCCGAGGCCTCGGGTTCTGCTTCGGGTTTTTCAGACAGGACGACTGCTGCCTGCGAGAGTGCGACGTCGATCCCTAGGTCTGTACGATCGACCTCATCAATTAATTTTAGGCTTTTATCACTTCTACGACCTTCTTTTTCAAATTCAATTGATTCTCCTGCTATTCATCGTATTAAAATAGTTTGGAAGTAGCGTTTGCACCTCAATCCAGCTTGACAACTACACGCCCCGCGTCACATTTCCAAACTCCGTCCGCCGACAACGCGAGGCGCCACGGCGCGGCGCCCACCGGCGCGAGGGAGGGGACGGGGAAAACAGAAACGGGCGCCCGCTGGCGCAGTCCCAGCGAGCGTGGGGGCGCCCTCCCTTTAGCAGGTTCGGGCGCGTGAGTTTCTGCCGGGAGGGACAGACAGGGCCGTGACTGGGTTCTGGGCTGCTAGACCCGGAGATGGGCGGCCCGAGCGGCAAAGCGCGCGCGAGGGGTGCGCACAGTCTTCGCAGGGCCGGATAAACCTCGTCCTCAAGGCGACCGCGACAGTGGCGCATTTCCAAGCGGTACGCCATCAGACGCCCCGCCCGACAGCTGCCCCAGCCATCTGCGAGTTCCGGTATGCTGGCGCTGCCGCCCTGGCGCTGTTGTTGCTGCATTGGCTTTTCGCAGCCAGGGTTCGCACGCCGCAGCTACCCTGCTGCGCGCACCTTTTGCAGCCAAAACAGGGTCTAATGCTGAAAACGTCAGCTCGGAAGGCTCGCGAGCTATCGAAACGGCAAACCGCTCGCGTTTTCCAGCTTTCCACGCAGAACGAGGGCCCTGCCAGTGCTTGGAGCGCAAGAAGTTTCAGGAGCGCAACACAACTTCCGCACGAGTAGAGAAAATTATATTTTTGAATTACAACGAAAAAGATCACCAGGAGCAAACCTCCTCCTCCTCCTAGTAACCACGCAAGAAATATTAATATTTTTCACTTTCTATTTTTTCTTTCATAAGTTGTAGACGAGCAGTCTATGGCTCCGGGGAGATGAAAACTCACGCTTAACTAACCTATGCCTTCAGTGTCCGCGATCCAGATAGAATTATTTTCTACTTCAATATATACTTGCAATTTTTTTTTTACTGTTCCTGTCGACGCCATCGCAAAGCTTTGCGCTTTTTTTAATTTTTCCTATCGTGCCAGCAATCTATTTTTTATTTATTATTTCTTCATCTACAAAGTCATGCTGTCGCCAAAGTTTGCTCTAGTTTCCAGTCTTCTCATGTCTGTATCGTAAATCTATCCGCTCGCAAATCAAGACTGAAATACTCGCTTTCGATCAAGATGGCGAGTATGCTGCATGGAGATGGAATAGATACATCGCATGGTCGATCCATGAAGAACAACTCGATCCATGGTTATAGACTCGATCAATGGAGAGGAACTCAGTGGTCGCGCGGAAAAATAGAAGTAAGCGCTGAAAGAAGTCAGCTACTTTTTCCTACTTACAGAGACGATAGTAAATTGATGAGAAGTTATTCATAAACTAATCATATTATCGACGATTGCATCTAGTTTATGATCAAATCATTATCAAATAACTTCAATGCTCATGATCATCGCGCTTTACTTCCTCTTTCCGGCGTGCTTCATCTTCATCTTCGTTGCACCTCCTTGATCTTGTTCCCCCTGCCCTTCATCGGCAGCTGGGTCCTCCTCCACCTTGACCTTGAGCGGATTCTTGTTCTTGGTGTTTTCTTTCCGCACCGGCGACTTATTTTTGTTTTTCTTCCCGGACGCGGACCCTGCAGCGGTTGGCTCCTCCGGGGCCTGCGCGACCGGAATCTGCTCCTCCTGCTGCTCCACCGCGATATTCTTGCTGCTCTTGCGGTTCGGTTTCTTCAGCGGGGTCATCAGCTGAGCGTTGGCGGTGACGCTTTGTTTGTTCACCCGCTTGTTGTTCCGCTTGTTGTTCCCGTCCGCACCAGCAGCCTGGAACTGGATGTTGTCCTCCATCACAATGTCCTCCTGCATTACCAGGTTGGCCGGGTCGCGGGCATCTTTCGCATCGACGTTTTTGCTATTCTTGCTCCTCATCGCTTTCATTTTCGGAAACTTCGGCTCCGCCGGCAGTCCGGCCCCTTCGGAAACATCCAACTCGTACCCAGCCAGGCCGTAGGCGCTGAGCTCCTGGTCGGTGTTGGTGGTGGTAGTGGTGGTAGTGGTTGTGGGGACGCCGAAGCTGCGGATGAGCAGCCTGGCCTCCGCCGCCCTCGACGGAGAGATGATGCCCATCCGCTGCACTAATTCGTCGATGTCGTCCTCCGGCTTCCGGACTGGACTGGATTGCTTCTTTTTGTTTTTGGTCGTGGCGCTCGGGGTCTGGTCGTCCAAAATCGGGTTGTCATCGATGTCCGGCCCCTCCGAGCCGAGGAAATTCAGCTCCGCGGGTTCTGCGCTTCCCTTCTTCTTTCGGCGACCCCGCAGGGCGAGGAGCTGTTTCCCCACAGCGGTGGTGTTGTCGAACTCCTGCCAGTATGAACTGCAAAAGTAGCGCACTAGTATAAATTGCATTACAAATCGGCTCAGCATTACAAATTAAATGTGTAATGCTGATTTCTCTTAAGACCTAGATTTGGAATGCATAGCCGCAATTAGTACGAGTGCGATACTTTTGCACAGGATACCCAGTGCGGGAATTCTGGGATTATGTCGGAGAAATCCCGCTCCGTCGCGGTGATTTTCACCCTGATTTCCTCCGCTTTTTTGTAGTTACCTGTTTAGATTCACAAATTAATTGAAAACTTGCAGCCCATGTAGGAGAACTCACACTGAGACTCAAAAGTTGAAAACTTGAGTTTAGATTCAAAAATCTAAAGTTGAAAACCCTACAAGTTCAAGCACAAGCACCGAGTTCAAGCGCAAGCGCCTACAAGTACCTACAAGCTCAAGTACCTACAAGCTCAAGCACCAGTGCGAGCGCATTACAATTCCCAAGTGCAAGTGCGTACAACTTCCAGCACAAATGAAACCCTACAAGGGTACAAGATCAAGTACCTTGTTCCCCCAGCTCAACAATTTTCGCGATGTCCGGCTGCTGGATATCCTTCAGATGCTTCGAAAAACCCAGCACGAAGTCCTTCCATCCACCGTTTTTGCTCTTCGCATTGAAGGCGGCGACCGCTTTGTACACCTCCTGCCGGTCTTCCGCATATTCGGCCAAACTGGTGCGACTCTTCACCGCACCGACGCACTGCGCCAGTACGTGAACCCACGGGTCGTACTTCGAGTCCTTGGGCTTGCCCTGCTCGGTCCACAACAAACCGAGCGGGGGGCAGAATTCCTCGTTCGTCCGCAGCTGTTTCAGCAACAGCTGGTGCTCCGATTTCTTCGCCGCGCTAACCGCCCCCGGCATCAGCTGTTCTATGCACGACAAGAACTGCTGATGCCGGGAGAGGAAGCGGGCGGGCAAGAAATAACCGTCCTTGCTCAACATACATTCGTGAAAACCCGTCATACCATCCAGGATGGGTCGAAAGTCCTCCAGACCGTCAAGCAACAGGCTGACGTCATCGCCCAGCCTCGACATCCATTCGAACTTCTGCGCCGGCTGGATGATCTGAAGTTTTGGCTTGGGTTTGGAAATAAAAGCACTGGCTCCGGGTGGGCTACAACAACTTGCCTCGGTATCGCCGAAACAAAAAAGCCTTCGCTTGCCAACTAAAAACAAGCTTTTTACTGTCCAAGTAGGTGCGGCACTAGAATTAGAAAAAATAACTTGTACAATTTGCTCCGCTTCCATTCCCGGGAATTCCAGCGCAAAGCACTGGCTCATCACCTGGGCCAGCGTGTACCCGCGACTCGTGATCCGCCTGCAAATTTCCGGCAAACCCACCAGCTCCGTCTGGTTCCCAGTAGCCAACACTTTCTGGCACAGTGCTTTGTGCTCTGCTTTGATTTTTCGCACAGTGTCCTCATACCGCTCGTAGGTCTTGGTGGGTCCACGGTCCGCTTCGGCCAACTTCATCAGCAACGCGGCTAACTGTAGGAGAGGGTTGTACTATTTGATTTATTTCCGAAACAAACTCCTCATGGTGTTTCTGGAAAAGTATTTGATTGGAAAAGCAACTACCGGCCGTACCGAAGAGCCAAAATTCTAAATCCTACCCGAGACCATTCCAAAACTAATTCGTAGAAGTACCTCTTCTTTCTTCCCACCGGCCGTCACTTGCGTATTCGTCTGCCCCACGAGCTGCTGCTGCTGCTTATTCTGCAAAATCGACTGCTTCTGCCCGAGCTGCTGCTTCATCGGCTTCACCGTCGTTGTACTTTTCAGCTTCTTCCCCTTCTCTCCATCATCCTCTTCACCACCTTCTGGAGCTTCGTGTCCGCCTTCGAAAAGCTTTTTCGTAAGGTTCTGCGGCGTCACCGCAGCCGCGAGGTTGGACGGCGCTGAATTCGCAGGAGCTTCGGTGGGGGGCTCGTTGTCCTCCGCGTGCTGTTTTCATAGTTTGCAATTGTTATATCAAAGCTTGGCTATGCGCAACAAGTAGCAGCATGCTTATATTTATCGGGGGCGAAAAAAAGGTTTGAAGATATGAAAAAAAACTCATATGACAAACAGCCGAAGAAAGCGAACGATGTGATGATGAGCGAATATTTTTCCCAAAGCAACAAACTAACCCACCTGCGGCTCGCCCTGCTCTTCCTCCTCGGCCTTCACCCGGTCCATGACCAATTTCCGGATGATCCCCCTCCGCGCTTTTTCTATCCCGATCATACCGGGCAAGATGGTCGTGGTTTTTCCCTCTTCCAGCTTCATGCACAGCCGCTGGTAGTACGGCACGTCGAAGACGGACTTATTGGTCAATTCGGCGTACGACAATTTCGACATTTGCTCGGAAGTCAGGTCGTACTGCAAGATTTTTTCCTCAGTCAACGGCTTCGCAGTGTACTGCTGGATGTGCGCCCAGGAGATGTCGGTCCACTGGTAGAAGTTCCCGTCCGAGCCCTGCAAGTACTTATGGACGGGACTGCTGCAGAGGGGATCAAATTGCTCCATATAGAAGCCTATCAACTTTAAAAATGTCTGGGTCTGGAAGATTCTGACACTTGTCATGCACGTTTTGCATGAGCCATGATGTCTGTGATGCATACCTTAGCAATACAGATTTTTTGAGGGCTTCTTGATGCGTATTCCGCATGACAAATGCTTTCTCAGCGTAGCAAAAATTGCACTTCCTTTGGTACTCATGCAAGACAGATTTTTTTGGAATCCAAATGCAGCATCACGAGTTGCATTCTTCTAGACCCAGACATTTTTACACTTGATAAAGCCACTCACCGCGTCGTTTTCCTGGATGAGCTTGGTGATGTCCTCCAGGCGAGTGTTCTCGCCTGTTTTCATGTTATGGTAAAAGATGTTGTACAGCGTCTCATCTTCCACTGTGCAGACCAACGGTAAATCGTCCACGATGCTGCTACTGCTCTCCACGATGCTGTTCTCACCCGCCTGCTCGCCCTGGCCATCGACCGCATGTTCCTGCTCCTGGTGGGAGGTATGTTCCTCCTCCTGGTGGGCCGCCGCCGCCGGGCCCTGCTCCTGGTGGGCCGGATTTCCCTCCGCCACATCTTCCCCGCCCGCCTGCTCCTCCTGCTCGGCGCCGGAGACCTCCGAACTTTGCTCCAGGGGATAGTCCTCGATCGGCTGGCTGCGCTCCAGGGCGGCCTCCGCGCTCAACAGCTCCTCCGCCATGGTCATCTGCCCAGCATCCGTCTGCATGTGCTGATCCGTCTGCACTTCCACTTGGTCATCCGTGGTGGTCGCCGGCTGCGGCTCCTGCTGCTCCTGGCTCTCTTCCGAGTTCATCTCCGCCTCCGAGTCATCCACCGCATGCAAAGATTCGTCGTTGTTACTATTGGATCCACCAGAAACCGCCGGCGCTTTCTCGGACTCAACATCCTGCTCCTGACTTTCAGATTCCGAAGACTCTTCCTCGGATCCGGAAGATTGCTCTTGATTCGACTCCGGATTACTCGCCGCCGCTGCCGCGGGGGGATTGTTCATTTTTTGTTGGATGGAGTCGAGATTCCGCTCGACCCATTTTCTTCGTGCGTCGGAAGCGAGGGTTTGCAGGTGTTCCTGGTTGCGCTGTAGTTCCTCCTGCTGTTTCTGCTGCAGCTGCTCCAGGTGCTGCTCCCGGTACACTGCCGCCTTGTTTCCCTGTGCGCGTCCGTTCGTGATATCCAACAAACCCCGGCAGAGAATCTCCAAAGGCTTATCAACGCCCCGCGCTTGCAAAACCTTTTATTTTTGCGTTTTTTTTTTGAGTTACGAGATAACAAACAGTGCGCGACTACGAAAGAACAGGTTCGTCACAAAGCATATCAAGCGCACTACTTCACTGTGAGAAAAACTAGGACTACGGCACTACAAACACTCCACTACTGAAACTAACGTCTACCAAACTTTCAAAAAACAGAATCTCCATCGTCATCACTACTGTACATCGCAAAACGCCGCCCAGAACGCCGGCTCGCCGTCGAGGACGATCACTGTTCTGTTTGTAGGGTCCTTTTTGTCCTTTTCCTCCTGCATTTTTGCGATCTTCTTGTTTGCCAACGACACCAACTGTTGTTTCTGGTCGATCAGTATGAAATGCAAAAGTGTCTGGGTCTGGAAGGATGCAACTTGTCATGCTAAATCTGAAGCATGCAAAAATCTGTGTTGCATGAGTGCCAAAAGCTGTTCGCTTTCAATCTCATGCAGGACAGGCATGAGAGAGACCTCACAAACTCTGTCATGCTAGGTTCCGCATTCCAGATCCAAGGGTCATGGAAAACCTGCTGCATGACGAGTTTACACTCTTCCAGAGCCAGACACTTTTGCACTTCATAGTCAGCAAGTCCAAGACCTGCGGGCTGTTGCTGCACAAAGCAGACTTGACGCCGTCCAGGTCGAAGACCGGGTGCGATAAGCCCAACCCTTTCCACCTGAAGAAAGGAAATCAACGCGACAGTCATGCTGAAATGCGACAAGCCTAAACCGTCAATGTTGAAGAAAGGAAAAGCATAGTCATCATGAAAATCAAAATTATAAGTGCTCGCGATCATGAAAACGCCATAGCTGGCATGAGAAGCCTATCATGACAATACCAGTGTAAAAAAAAATTACCAAGTCATAAACGTCTCCACAGTGCAATTGACGGCAACCCGTGCCATTAGGGTCCACATCACCTTGTGGACACCGTGGCGCAGGTCCCGACCGTTGTGCGGCGCGGCGTTGTAGACATTCTTTTTGAGTCGCAGGGCGAGTTGCTGGAAATTTGTTTTGTCCTTGGACTTTCTGTATGCAGCGCAAACAGAAATGACTGGGCCTGGAAGGGTGCAGCCTGTGCCGTTGCATTTGATCACACAGCAAATTAAGCAGTCTGTCATGCGAAAGTAAGTTTGTCCTGCGGAAGTAGGTCTGTCATGCGAAAATATGTCTGCCATGCGAAAATAAGTCCGGCATCAGCATGCCCACAGAGAAAAAGTCTGTCATGCGAAAGTATAAAAACGGCAGTCATGCGGGAGCGACATCGTAGAGGACGCGAGTGCCGTGGCTCATGCATAACATGCATCACAAATCCCCACTCTTCCAGGCCTAGACTCATTTTTTTATCTGTCATACGGTAATGCTGAAGCACAGCGGGCTCGCCCAAGCGTTCACCTTTGCGTGCGCGGCCCTCGGGGCGGCGTTAACATTCAGCATGAACTGCTTTAACAATCCGTCGACCCGGTCCGGTTCCTCTTCGTATTCATCCTCATCGCCCAGCTCCGCATTTGAATCGAAGTCGAGGTCGAACGGGTCCCTCATCGCCTTCTTCTTTTTAGCGTCTTTTTTGGCTTTGGCGGATTGTTCGCAACCTGAGTTTTGGTTTTATTTTGCTAGTCGATTTCTTTGCCACTCAGGGCCATGCGTTTACTCTTATGGCGCAGACTGAGTCTAATACTGTGGCATCTTCTATCTACCTAGCTATGTACTAACCATGCAAAAGCTTCGCGACGAGGCTATCAATATAGGAATAGCTCATCTTATAAACGACAAAGAACTTGCAGCTGCGGCAGCTATGGGCTGCCGTTTTTGTGTGAAAGAGGATAAAAATACGCTGCTGCGCTTCGGTCAACCACTGCTGGAACGCCACCGTACCACGTAATTTCCCCACTTGCTTCGCCGTGGGCTTTTCCTGCCGGAAGTGCGTCCTGCACTCGTTCTGCAATCCGAGCGGAATCTCTTCCCATTGAAGGTTCAAACTTGACAAATCCTTCTTGGTCAGCCCGACGCCCTTTGCTGCTTTCTGCAGCTCAGCGAGCGCAAACTCGGGAGTAAATTTCCACGCCATGGCTATGCTTTTACTTTGTTGTTGTTCAGAATTAAAAGTTTTTTCGAAACAAACGGGTTTTTGAAAATAGATTTTTGGCGCTACGAAAGCACCCCGTACTTGGCTCGGGTTACCTAAGCAACCTGCTTGTGTTTGGTAATCGAGGACGAAGGTTTTTCTGGGTAGTGGCAGTGGTAGTAGCAACAGTAGTAACACTAGTAGAAAGAAGTAGCACTAGCAAGCTTGCTAGCTTCTGCAATGAAGGACTTGCTTCCACAAAGAAAAAAAGAGTGACAATCTTATACATATCCAGGAAAAAAAGGACGAGCTCGCGCCCACCATGGACGAGAAAAAACGGAAAAAAAGAACCGATGGGAGCACGGAAGTGGTGCTTGCGCTCCTGGGTGCACTCGTGTGTCACTCTATATTTCTCAGCTTGCTACTCACAAAAACACGCGGACGGAAATCAATGAAGCGCGCCCACAAGAAGGCAATCGAGCCGCTAGTAGAGGCTAGGACTTAGAAACGAGGTCGAGCCGCCGCTTCAGTTATTAGGCGCAGCGCAGGCGGACCGCACCTACACAAACAAAAACAGGCTTATGGACCCACCAGGAGAAACAACCTAATGTTGTAGGCCAGTGAACATAGATATCTATGCTAAGGCCGCGGGCCTTCTCCAGCCTCCAGTGGCCCGGCCAATTTGTTCCTGTTCCCACAAGCGGGGCGTGTTCGTTTTTTCGTGATTTGCAGCTTTTTTTTCGCGTTTTGCAACTTTTTTTTCGCGTTTTGCAGCTTTTTTTTCGCATTTTCCTTCTTTTTTATTTGTCCTTGCCGGTTTTCGATCGGGTTTTCTCCAGCCAATTGCGGGAAAGCGAATTTCCTTGCGAGTGGCCGGGCAGCCCTCGAACGAAAACCCGCAAAACCCGAAAAAAAATGTACAAAACGCAGCAAAAAAATCCCGAAAACGCGAAAAAAGATGGCAAAACGTAGAAACCAAACACTGCGGCCCACCTGCCGCCGCCGGGTGGCAAAACAGCCGAAGGCACGGCTTCCCAACATTAGGGCAATGGCGGACGCGACAAGACAGATGGCCCGCGGCATCCGGGCTCGAAGCAAGTCATGAAGTTCCACCACAAATCATGTCCAAAAAAATCAGAATCATCCGCCAAAAAAATCAGAAAAATTCGGCAAAAAATTCGGCAAAGTGCGGAAAACCCTAAGTGAAACCTAAGTTGAGCCTAAGTTTTTCCTAAGTGAAACCTAAGTTTTTCCTAAGTGAAAGTTGGGCCATACCATGCGGCTTCACTTAGGTTTGACTTAGGTTTGACTTAGGTTTGACTTAGGTTTGACTTAGGTTTCACTTAGGCCAAAATCCGACCCCCCTCATTTTCGACTTAGGTTTGACTTAGGTTTGACTTAGGTTCGACTTAGGTTCGACTTAGATTTCAAGTAGCCCTCGCCGGGGTTTCGAGTGGCTGCGGCATGAAACAGGCGCGCGCCGCTTGTGGAATTTCGGGAGGCCAATGCCCGCCGTTTTTTGCCATTTTCGCAAATATTTTTGCCATTTTCGCAAGTTTTTTTTGCGATTTTCGCAAGTTTTTCTGCCATTTTCGCAAGTTTTTTTGCTAATTTCGCAAGTTTTTGTTGCGAAGCTGAGCGCGGAACCGCGAAAAACGAATCGCCGGGAAGGATCCCACCGGCAATGGCTTGTAGGCCATGAGGGTGAGGCCCATAAATAAAGAGGCCACGCGCCGAAAATACCCCGGGGACCCCGGGCGGCCAGATGTCATGCTTCCCGTCCCAAGCACCTTGTTTTTCTGCGTTTCGCAACTTTTTTTCCCGATTTTGCGAAAAAATGTCCGGAAACAAGAAGAAAAGGGCCACCGCTGGCCCCCCGCAAGCCCAGGCGACGCCCCCGGGGGGGGCGAGGGAATGAGCCCAGGCGCCTGGGCTTCCGGGGGGCCAACGGTGGCCCTTTTTTCCCTGTTTCGTAAGGTTTTTCCGCAAAAGCGGCAAAAAAAGTCGCGAAACGCAGAAAAACGAGGCGGCCGGGGCCCCCGTCGGCACCCGCGCTAAGTTTGCGGGGAAGGGGAGCGATTCCACGGCACCCGGGCGCACGGCCCCAGGCGCACTGCTGAAAAGGGCCACACACTGGTCCCGGCCGCGCGCCTTCTTGCCTTTCTCGATTCCGACGGGCCCGCGTTCATTTTTCGCGATTTGGCCATGAAAAAGCCCAAAAACGCCAAAAAAAAGGGTAGAAACGCAAAAAAAAATGCGCAAAAGCGCCAAAAAAACCCCAAAAAAGCAAAGTCCAAAGCGCCAAAAGCCCAGGCGACACCCCCGAGAGGGAAGGGGGAGCAGCCCAGGCGCCGGGGCTCGCGGGGGGCCAACGGTGCCCCTTTTCTTGCTGTTTCCCAACATTTTTCCGCAAAATCGGCAAAAAAAATGGCGAAACGCAGAAAAACGAAGCGGCCGGGAACCCCGTCGGCGGCCGCGCTGAGTGCGCGGGAAAAGGAAGCAACCCCACGGCCCCCGACGAAATGCTGAAGAAGGCCGCAGCCCGGTCCCAGCCGCCCGCCTTCTTGCTTTTGCGGATTCCGGCGGGCCCGCGGTCATTTTCCGCGGTTTTGCAAAAAAAAGCCCAAAAACGCAAAAAAAAAGCCGAAAAACGCCAAAAAAAAGCTGCAAAACGCAAAAAAAACGCCAAAAAAAGTCCAAGCAAAGCGCCAAGCGGCTTGTTTCTCTTTTTCTCTGAAATGGCTCCGGTCGCGTCTTGCACAACCTCAAAAAATGATCCTAAGTATTTCCGGCAAAGAATGATCTCCAGAGATCACATTCGCCATACCATAGACCTCACCTTGTCGTCGGTCTTTCAAAAGTGGTTTCGTTTTAGTAATGCTTCGTCAAATCCTTTTCGCGGTCTGTCTCGCTCTTTGGATCGCTGTCTAAATTGCTGCTGAGCTTGATTGATTGATGCTTCCAGCAAAGCTCTCCATTCAATGATAACGAAGCACGACGCGCTTCAATATCCTCGGGGGGCACTCTCGTATTGCAAACGCGTTGAATTACCATAGCGCCTCATAAAATGTTGAATAAATCAGCAGAACGCCCCAAAAAAACCTTGCATCTGGTGTCTCTCGTTCGCACGACGGCTGCTGGCTGGTGTCATTCCGGCGGCAAAAGGGTCTCTCGCGGTTGCGCTTTGGCTGCTGGCTGCTTCGGCGCGGGCCCGGCCCCCGGCGCCACGATAGCGCGACTTCCAGCTTTGGCTTTACCGCCCGCTTTCGGCTTAGCCTTTACTCCCGGCTTTGCACCTGTTCGCGCCGTGGGTGCCGTGCGTCCAATGCTGCCCGGCAGCGCGGACGGAGCCGCCGCCGGGGGTGGCGCAGTCCGGCTCGGCTCGTTTCCGGAAGCTGCGAGCAGTGGCTGGGCCGCCTGCTTCCCTATCGGCTTTGCGTGCTGTTTTTTCGGATTCTGCTTCTGCTGGGCCTGCCCCCGCGCGGCGCCCGCTGCAGCAGCCGCTGCGGCGGCGCGGTGCTTTTCCAGCGCGACCGCAACTTGAGTCAGGGTGGTCACCGTACCCAACGTAACCTCCTTCAACCTGGTGTAGGTGGCCACGCGGCCATACTTTCCGAGTTTGCTACCAACTATGGAAGCCAGGGGGCGGGCGTATTTTTCCAGCTCGCTCTGGATGTACTTCAAGCGCTCCTCTGCGGTCCCGAACTTTTGCGTTACGTCGCCACGCTTGAGAGCTACGTCCAGAAGGAGAGACACGCGGCAGGCGTACAGCCTCGCCAGCTTCCACGCGGTGTCGGAAGTCTCCCGCTTCAGCTGGTAGTTGAATGTCCGCACGCCGAGCTGAGACCGAAGGCCGAGGATCTTGCGGATCGACTGTCCGTACTGTGGCAAAGCGCACAAGACCGGAAGGTACTTGCGGTAGACCGGCTCCAACGGCTCCACCTTGACGCTCCTCTCGCTGCTTATTGTTATGGAGAAGCCCCGGTCGGTTGCGCCATGCCGAACTGTTAATCTCTCTGAACGGAGACGACGCTTCCGCTCTGCCGTCGAAAGCAAGTGCAGGTATTGGCCCCGGGCTTCCGGGATTCCGCGCACGGCGTCCTTTTCTTCACCACTCGACTCCTGCTCACTCGCGGAGCCTTCCTTCTCACTCGCGGAGCCTGGACCTGGGCCTGCGCTGCTGGAGGTGGCGGACGACGTGGCTGCGGACGACGACGTGGAGACCTCGCGCTCGGCCGCAAGCTTCCGCGCAGGCGGAGCCGCGTTTTCTGGCCTTTTCGATTTAACTTTGCGAGCCGCAAGACCGGCTACCTTTGGCTTTTCGGGTAGAACAGAATCCCAGGCCATCAGCGGGTTCCGACGGTTAGAACCGCCCAGACTCTTCCCGCTATCTTCGTCGCTGCTGCCAAAGTCGATGTCTGCTTTCTGCACCAGCTCGACTTCGCCGCTTCTGGGAATTTGCACAGTAAAACTCTCTTCCACTGCTGCAACGCCACCGCCTTCAAGCCGCACGGAATGAAGGCGGATTTTCTTCTGGTCGAAGAACCGCAGGCGGTTTCTGTACTCGGGTGAGCAGAAAAACGCGTCCGCCGCAAGTGTCTCCGGCAGTCGCACTTCTTTGAGGTCCTTCTCCGCGTCGTAAATCGGGCTCACCATCACGCCGCCGAAGGCGTACGGTGAGCGCGAAATGTAGTACACTAGGCAGTACGCCGGAAAGCAGGCAGCGTCTTTGAAGATTTTGTTTGCGGGGACGAACACAAGATCGGCGCTCTGCTGCTGCTGTTGGCCGCCGCCCGGTGCTGTGTCTTCCCCGCCGTTTCCCTTGGGCCGCACCCCGACGGAGAACTCGATCAAAATGGCATTTTCGGGTCGGGAGGAAAAAAACTCGTCAACCAACGGCATCTGATTCTGAAACAGCTCACCAACCTCCACTGCCTCGCGCCGCCGCTCCTGCACTTCGTATATCCAGGCCGCAAGCTTTCCCCAATTCTCTTTACATGACCGGGAGGTTTGGACCCAGGCGCATAAGCGCTCGACCCCGGACGGTGGAAAGCGGTACAACTCCGTCGCGACTATGCCGCGGGCTTCTTCCAGGCCCGGGATTTTTTCGCCATACAACCGCGCCCGCAGATCATCGCGCTGCTCGCTCTTTTTGTACTGCAGCTCCGGGTTCTTGTCGCTCCTGTGTGCCTTCTTGCGTTTATTCTGTCCCGTCCCCACGTTGGCGTAGAAGTGGAGCTTCGTCAGCTCTTTCAGTTTGCTGTAGTACCGCAGCTGGCATGATGCGCGGTCATCTCTCTCTATTTCAGCCCGCACACGCTTCTGTCTCTCCGCCCAGTAATCTGCCTCCGCTTTTTCCTGCGCCTTCACCTGCTGAACCCGCAGCTGCTCGACCTGCTGCTGCAGATTGACGCGATCCTTATCCATCTCCTCTTTAAACTATGAAGTGCAAAAGTATCGCACTCGTGCAAATGCATTACAAATTTGAATTTCCTCAGCATGAAAAATAAAATAAAAATTTGTAATGCGCATTTGCCTTAAGAAAAACATTTGTAATGCATGATTGCAATACGAGCACGATACTTTTGCACAGGATATAAACTTCTGGCCAACAATGCCCGTTTTCCCTTTTTTGTACAAGTTCGAAACACTGACGACGCGCTTCTTCTTTGCAAGCTCTGCAGCAGTGTATCCGCCCGGAAGGACCGGCGACTTCGATGTGGAATCGGATCGCTCTGACTCGGACTGCGATAACAACTCCGACCCAGATGAGAGATCCGGATCGAAATCGCCGTCAGAGGGCTCGCTTCCGTATTTCTTGTAGTCCTTCGCATTCAAGCGCCCCCGCAAGGCGTCCTGCCGGATGAGAATGGAAGAAATCCGCAGTATGCCACGGTAGGCAGACTGGAACTCCTGCTGCAGCAATTTCCCCCGTCCTAGCTTTTGTTCTGCGGTCGCCTGCGTTCTCGGGCACTGGCACATCCCAGCCAGTACCATGTCAACGAATTTTACTCGCCGGCTGTGATCCGAGATCCGAAGCAACTGCTTCCTCCAGATGGTCAAACACACAGAGCCGCACGAATTCTCTGGGAACTCGGGAGCGTGGAAGAGGAATTTGCGAAGATAGGTGGAGCGCTGAGATTCCTGGCCCGCTTCCGGTGAACCGTTATCCAAAGCCGCGGCGGTGTTGTATTCGAGACAAAACTTCTGGAACGGGCAGCGATCAACGCTTGCGATGATCATGTGGAACATGACCGCCTCCGCAACGAGGGCGTGCTGCGCCTTCGCGAGTAGGTCCTTCTTCTTTTCCATCGTCAGGAGAGCTTCGCGCAGCGTCACAAACTGCATCTCCTCCAGAATCTGCGTCTCCTCTTGCAGGACCTGAAACGCTTTCCGAAAGCGTTTCTCGGCTGTCCGCTGAAGCTCCACGTTGGTCTCGTAAGTGTGCCGCTTCTTCAGAAACGAGAAGCTCGAAAAATCGTCCAGCGGGTTGGCAAGGTACCCGAGCAGAAGATGCGCGACTCTGTAGCAGGCATGCTGCAGCCCTTTGTTGTTTTTCACCAACTTCCACTCCTCGACCGAAAGGTAATGTGGAGCATTGTCGCCCGCGGAAAAGATCATTTCTGTGTACCCGAGTGCGTCAATCACGGCCAGACGGCGGCAGGCGCGACCAAAAGTCAGCCACCTTTGGTGGGTGGGCTGCTTCAGCAGTCTGTACAAGGCTACCCAGGCCTTGACAACGTTTGTTTTCTGTTCCTTGCTCTGCACCGATATTTTCAGCGGGACACCGTCTCCACCCGGGTCCAGCTCCACGTATGCGTCCTCCATTGCTTTCGCAAGATCCCGCTCACGCATGTGCTCCAGGAACCGGCTCCAAGACCCGATGGCGTGTTGGTTCTTTAGCCTGTGCGCCGCCTCCTGTCCGGGCAGGCCGTTATAACCCGGCCGAATCTGCACAACCTTGTCGGCCTGCTTCTCTACGATCTCGCGAACGGTGGCAGAGCTCATGTTCATCTGCCTCGCCTGCAGATACGTCTTTTTCTCAATGAGCGGCATGTCCAGCTTCGTCGTATCCAGTGCAAAAGCGTCTGGGTCTGGAAACGTGGAACTTGTAATGCTGGTCTTGTAATGCTGGCTTGCAGTTGCTCCCCGGCATAACCAACAAAAGCTGCAACTGTTCTTGTCATGCAGAAAAGCAATCTCTCACGCTGGCTGCCTGTGAGAAAACGTTTTAGAAAGTTTTCACGCTTGGCTGCATTCACAGCTGTTTCCGTCACCCACGTTTTAGCATCACAAGTTTCTTTTCCAGACCCCGAACTAGATATCTGCAATGCATACGTTGTAGTTCCGAGTAACTGCGAGGCGTGCTTGCCGATGTTCGCCGTGCTGTGCTCGTCGCAAGGTACAAAAATCGGCAACCACACCAAGGCTGGGCACTCCCGCTCCATACGATGCTCGACGATGAGGATGGAGCACATTACAGTTGCGCTTTCGGCGCCATCGCCGGAAAAGATTGCGGCAAAGGGGTCGGAAATACCATTGAACTCTAGTCCGTACGACATCACGGTGTTTGCGAGGCGGACGGCATCGCGCTCGTGCGGCAAAAGGTCCGGGTGGTGGCTCAAGCGATGCGGGGGCTTGTAGTGGATGTGTATCGGAAGGTTCGGAACCCGTGGCCATTTATTTGGCTCTTCCCCGTCGACAGCAAACCAGCAGCTGCCGTGGCAGACCGTCCACATTGCGCTCGGGTTGAGCGTCCGCTTCTTCGTCCTGGTGCCCCTCGACGTTCCGTCAACGCAAAACCGCGTCATCACTGCGCACTTCCCTGCAATTTTGTATGCTTCGCGCAAAGCTTTGGGACTTGCTGTGACCGCGAAGTCACTCAAAAGCATCGCAGTCTTCAGGTACCCATCCGTTCGGGGGTTGCTGCGGTAGTTGAAATACTTCTCGACATACCTGCGGATCTTTTTCTGCTTTTTCTTCCGCCGGCGCTGCTTCGACATCCTGCAAAACCTCCCCATCTTGTTTCGTTTTGTTTTCCGTTTACGCGGCGCTATCTCACAGAAATTTGCTAGCTTATATGAATCTGCTTGCTGACTCCCGCAGGACAAAGACGGCTGCTGCTGCTCCCCATGCATGACTGAAGTGCGAAGTCCAAATCGTCCCGGGTCTGCATTACAAGCTGCAGATAATTCCTATTGTTTTGGAGCACGCAGGTGATGACCCATGCCCTATTCTTCACTTCGTTATACTTATATTAAGACTGGGTCTACAACGAGCAAGAGTTCGTTGCTGAGAAGCTAGCGTTTTTCTGTCAGATACGTGAACCGCCGTCGCCGGAGCCGTCTCCATCGGACGAGGGCGCTGAACTCAAAGATCGCGATGATTCTGCTCGCGATGCGGACCCGGAACTGCTGCTCCGACTGCTCTCCGAATCCGTAGAAGAAGACGACCGAGAAGTTTCTGACGACGCCGCCGAAGACGTTGCAGCCCCGAGCGCCCTGTTTTTGCGGCGCCTTCGCCGCTTGTTCTCTTGTTTTCGTTTCTCCTCCGCCCGCGCTGCAAGAGGTGTGGCCTCTCGTGCCCGCATTTTTCTTCGCATCACCGGCTTCGCTTTTCCACCCGCCTTGGCGCGCGGCCGCGGTTTCCCAATTGGCGCCGGAGGCTCACTATCAAATGCGAAAATGTCTGGGTCTGGAAGACTCTGAGATTTGTCATGCATGTTTTGTATGACAACCCAGGATGGACGTCTGTAATGCACAACCGCGCATCACAGATTTTGAGAGGACTTCCTGATGCCTACTCCGCATGAAAGAAGAACGCCCTCCCCGCGTAGCACGAACTACTAGACTCCATTTGCTGGCCATGCAATACAGATAGAGTCCAAAGTTAGCATCACAAGTTCCGATCTTCCAGACCCCGACATTTTTGCATTTGATACTCACCGCCTGCTGACGATTCCACCGAGGACGATTCCTGGTGCGCTACCACCGCACGACGAGCAGCGGCAGCGATGTTTGCGAGCGGCTGAGCAGGGTGGCGGTTTGCGCATCCTCTGGAAAAACATCGATCTCCCTGCTTCCGGATTCAGGCACTGCCTGAGACTTCTGCTTGGCATCACAAGTCGTAGATCCAGACCACATGCATCCATGGAGACACCCCGGACTCGATACAAAAGGAACGAACAGGAAGCTACAGCTAATATACAAATAGAACAAAACTAATAGTGAACTTTGTCGACAGAAGATCCTACTACGAGTCGAGTGTGTCTCCTCTCACTGCAGCGAAGGAAGTCAAGGAGAGCTCCACCCCAATGAGCGGAGGGTACTGCTGCAGCCATGCCGATCATTCTACGGGCTATTTGCAAACTCCGACGCTCGCGAGCCTTCCGAGCGTCCGGAACGACGATACCGTCGCGCTTGGGCAGGTGGTGGCGCCGTCTCTAGCAGATCCGCGAACAAGAAGTGAGCTCCAGCGGGCAGAAACCCGTGTCGTACAGCCAGAAGGTCGAAAAGCGCAGACGCAACAAGACGAAACGCGGCGACCGCGCCTGCCTATAAGCGCGAGGGCATCTTATTTTCTGGCTCCTGGTGCAGAAATCGACTCGCATACTGTGACGCTTTTCATTGGCGTCTTGGAGGACGAAGAAACAGAAGTTAGCAACTATAGCGACCCTCTCACGCGAGGACGAGCGTACTTCTCTGGAAAAAAAACATCGGCTCTGGGCAAAAAAAAAACGCTCTGAGAAAAAACTACTCCTCTCTTGCGAAGAGGAAAAAAAAAGACACGATAGCAGCGAAAACAAAAATCAAAGAAGGGAGGTGGAACCCTGGACCGGGAAAACGCACAGACAAGAAAACACCGGCGAAGCAACGCAGTCCCTGGGTCTACCTAGTAAAAAAAACGTCGCTCTTGCCGAAGGGCTGCGCTAGGTAGCGAACCAACACGAGGCTAGCGCCCCTCCAATGACATACGAAAACAAAGTAGCGGACCCCTCCAATCACATACGAAAACTGGCGGATCCATGCGTGACGCAAGGACCACTTTTACTTTACTTTAGGACATACAGACATTAGCTCCTGGCTCTGTAACTCACGGACAGAAACAGGCACAGGAAAGCGATAGTAATCGCCTCGCTTCAATTTGTTGCGGCGCGACACGGGCGGCCTCAGATGAAATAAGGTTTTCAACTTACACTTAGTATACAGCGGAGTTCTTTCGAGTGGTGCCCGGTGCATCTCTTTTCCTTCGGTAGTGCCGCCCTTTCTTTTTCAGAATTTTTTTGCGATCGAGGGCAGAAGCAGAGCTTTTTATTACTAAGCTTTTCCATTGGTAGGCTTGCTGCGATGGATTCGCTTTCAGTTAGTTTTGTTTTCGTGAAATCAAATTCAATCATTGGTAAACTCATTGGTATCAATCTTAAACCGATATGAAAACTCGTGCTAAGCGACACAGATATTTTTTGCTGTGTCTATTGTGGGCGAGCACGACTATCAACCCACCTATTCCTATTTTGTAAACTTCGAGTCGCGATTTTTCTGCTATTCTAACATACTTCGACCACCAATAAACTATAGGCATGGCGTCACCTTATTAATTTTGTTCATCACCCAGATGGAGTTGCTTGCTTTTCGTAATTTACATACTTTTTTTTTCACATATAGCGCCACTCTTCTCATGATCCACTGCGCCGCTTCTTGCCGCTCTGTTCCGCCGCCCCCGCCACTTCTTGCTCCGCTTGTTGTGGCCGCTTCGGCGACCCGGTGCTGGAAGACGCGCGCCGGTACAACAAGTCGACGATACCTGTGGAAGCAGGGGAGTCGTCCATTGCTTAGCACCGACCACATCCTGGAGCTCAGGAGCAGCGCCATGCAGCTTATTCATAGACTACTAAAATAAATTTGCTTTTCTAAGTAATGTCTCTTTCTACATGATGAATAGGCCAAAAACAACCAAGGTAGTTTTAGCACCTTCCACCGCCCGCTCAAAGAGGAGCACTCCCTCGTCCGATATCGCGAGCGCATGCGCCTCCAACTCCACGAGGAAGGGGCGCAGGATGGGGGCGGACATCTCCACTACGTCGGCCAGGTCTGCCTCCGGGAGATGCGGTGTGCGAAACCGCCGCTGGATCATGTTGATCAGATCCGCCAGCACGACATCGTCCGCCACGGTCGGAACCTGTTTGGTAGTTTTTTTTCCGAAGATAGAAGGGCAGCGCGTACGCTGCTTTCATGTCTAGTAAGTAACTTACTATGAAACGCAAGCAATAAATGTGGAGCTCTGACATGCAAGTTAGTAGCTCTTTCATGTGGAGTTCTGAAACATAAGGAATAAAGCCTTTTCATGCTGTTTCTGTCATACGAGTGCAAATGCAGAAAGATACCCCGCCCGGGTAGGAGCGCGCTGCGAGCCCGGGTAGGAGCGCGGGTAGGAGCGTTGCGATCCCGGGTAGGAGCGCGTCAAGTGCGCCGCCGACCTGGGAAGAGTGTGAGAGTGAGTCAATTTATTATGGCTCAGTTTGACCACAACAATGTAAAAAGTAAGCGAAAAACACATGCAAAAGTTTATTGCTTGATGCAAAAAAAAGCGACGCAAATCAATATAAATATTAAAAAACGAAGTGAGTCACAACTTTTGTCGAAAGTGCAAAGTTAGTAGCATGCTGCTAATGTCCCGACCAAGCAACGCGTCGTGGATCAATGACCTATGCCGAACGAAAAGAAAGAAGCAGGGAACAGATAGGTGAAATTAATATACTTCATACCATCAATCCGCCCTCCTCCTGCAAATTACGCACTTCCACCGCAGAGCCTGCCGACGCCGAGTCCTCGTCGCGTACCTCGGGAAACGGCGGCGCGATGTACGCGAGGCCGATCGGATCGCCCAATCCGGCATCAGAGGGTGTATCTTCTCCAGGGGCGGGACAATCCGCGCTCAACGAACGCGGACGCGTGCTCGTGGCTTGCAGCTGCACGATGACGCACTTGTTCAGGGTGCACGCGTTTAGGTTCACGCTCATTTTATGTTGTTTTTTTTTAGAAAAGGAAGATGGATGGATCTAGCTGCTAGAGGTAGAGCCAATTTATATTCAGAAAACGAAGATCTAGCGGCGAGAGGTTGAGAAAAGGAGCATCTATTTGCGAGAGTAGCTACCAAATAAATTTATTATTATTGCGCGGCCCTGCATAAGCGAAAGTAACAGCGATGCTATTCTAAACGAAAACGCAGCATCAGGCCGGCCATTGCCAGAGCGTGCCCAGGATGCTGCTGCTATTAACAAATAAATTTGCATAAGCGGTCGGGCTGAATCAAAAAAAGAACCGACGCATGCGCTAATCAATGCCGGGTTGAAAAAACAAAAAGTGGCCAAGCACTTGGACTGCATTGGATTTCTAGCATAACATGGGGCTTGGCGTGCCGGAACTTTGGGAGTGCAGCCGGTTTTTTTCATGAATTAAAAAAGCTCGACCACGCTTACTGTACTAGTAGAGGCGGCCATCAAGAGTCAATGCTTGCACTCCGCCCGCGATACCTGACACGGACGTTCCCGGGCCTAACATACAAAACATCCATGCCTGGCGGTGCAAAAAAAGCGGGCTGACATACAACCAGTCCAGACGATGAAAAAAAACGGCGCTGGCAACGACGGCGAAAGACGATAGAAAAAACGCGGTCGTAGACGATGAAAAAAGTACACTTTGTGACGCTGTTGCAGATATGACGCCTATCACTTTTATTATGGTCCAAGAAACAACGCACAAGCTCTCTATCCACCAAAAAAATTCTCACTTCTACGGTCCAAGAAACAACGCACAGGATCTGTATCCACAAAACCAAAGGCACGACGGAGAACATCGAATTTCTTTGTAATGCGGGGGGACAGATGGATTCGTGAGCTGAGAAGGATGGACTCATTTGCTTCTTTCTGTTTTCTGCTGCTGAGCTCGAGAGCGAGAAGTGAGCTAGTTAGTTTGTCGCACGTAGTGCGCTGTGGATCGCATTCAGGCTGTTCATTTTCATTTTTCTTGTCACTCGCTCGAGCTTGGTTTTTCAGATCAAGAACTGCAGCGGGTGATCAGCGAGCTTGTTTTTTCAGATCAAGGCTGCGCCTAATATCAAGGACACAAGTCACAGCTGCTGCCGCTGATGCTAAGCTGCGCCATCGGATTCATTTGACACAATGACGGCGAGGGTGTGGGTTTGTTTCTGTGGTTAGCCCAAAGTAAGACACGTTTCTTTGCACGCTTCTCAGCCTCAGCCACCAAGTCAATCAATAAAGCGCGGCGCGCTACTAGCAAAAATTGCAGAAATAAACTGTAGCTGGTGTTTGCGCGTCGCATATCACTCTGAATCAAGCGGGCGCGCAATTGCTTTCGCCTTCTGTTTGTCAAGCATCGCTGTGAAGATTTCGGTGCCGAGAATGAATGCCGCGGCTGTTCGACTTTGCGACGGACCCGAACGGCAAACCTCGTGGTTGTAATAAGTTTATGAATCAACTTGCGACGCAAAGAAATTCATTCCCATTCTCATAGTTTCTCATGCATGATGATAATTCAACGGGCTTCAATAAAGCGCGCTATCTCAAAACATAATCTCGGTACCGCTCTTAGCTCGATTCGTGTTGTCGTGGATGCGTTTTCGAACTCGAAATCTTCAGCACCGCATAGGCTTGGTGAATCGCTTCCATGCTTCGTCCGGCCTCGGAGTTCGGTCGTTGGTTTTCCGTCCGGTTGCCGATTGTGCTGCGAAACTGCAAACGGTTTTCTGGAAATCTCGAAGCCATCTACTTCGAATCGATTCCAAATGAATCTGTTTGACTGTCGAGGAATTCCATAGTATGCGGATTTTTCCACGCCATTGCGCCCATTCCACGCCGACAACATATTCCGACGCTGTTGCCCGCTAAAACGTACCTGCACCGCGCCCATACGCCCCGATTTGTTTTATTTCCGCGGAATTTTTGTTTCCGCTGGAGCCCTCTTCCGATTCACAATTCCGCGGCTCTGCGTCAGCCGCGAATCCACAAAAACACTTAGGTTTCACTTAGGTTTTACTTAGGATTCACTTAGGCCAACACTTAGGTTTATCGAGAAAAACCATTACTAACATTTTTTAAAGCCGACCCTGACTATGCAAGAGCAGCAAGACAAATTATTTTCTGTTCCACAATGAGCATCAGAAGTTGTTTGCATTCTTCCAGATAATTACCCAGATTGACGATATTTGCATTTGATAGTCGCCATCAGTGTCGTACATGCCAGCCAGGTCGTTCGAGCTGAGCGTATATCAAATGCAAAAATGTCTGGGTCTGGAAACTTGTGATGCTGCGTCGCGAATAGGGAGTGCTCTGTAATGCACAGCCAAGCATGAGAAATATCTGCGCTTCTTTGTGTTGCGTTTTTCGCATGACAAACTGCGTTTTTGCATGACAGGCAAAAGGGTTTCTTCTTGGACACGCATCACAAACTTTTTGGTCATCCCAGACAAGCATGACAAATCTCGCAGTCTTCCAGACCCAGACATTTTTGCATTTGATAGCGTATCGTGATGGCCGACTTGCCCCATCAAGTGCGCTTTGGGTTATGGATTGCAAAAGTACTATCGGGGTAGTACTATTAATTGCAATACAAATTGGGTCAGCATTACAAATCCAATTTGTAATGCGGATTAACCTTCTCGTTCTCCTTCACAACTGAATTTCGTACTTAAATGCATAGCTGCAATGAGTGCGAGTACGACCCTTTTGCAATTCATACGAATGAGGCCGCGACAAATTCGTCCGGACTAAACTTGTCATTCCTTCTATGGGAGTGCACAACTCGTCCCCCTCATTTGTGCCGGGGCAGGAGAAGCAATACAAGCATCGGCCTCGACGAGGAGATGAATGCAGGTTTTGCATGACAAATTCACATCGAAGACTGTAGTGCTGTTTTTGGTCGTCCCGAAAGAACTTGCCATGCGAATCGTGCAAACTGATAGATACTACTACTACATGGACCACTGGGCAGTTTGCATGACAAACGAGGGGAAGTAGGGGGAGTTGTTGTCCACTCTCATACGATCCATCCAGCATGTTGATGGGACCGTGGCGTTCAAAGTCGGTCTCCGTCAGCTCATGATCCGGTCCCGCCATGAGGTGGAAGACATCGGGATCCCCTCCCTTTTCTACCCATTCTTTCTCCGAGACGTGGCCCGGCGCGCCATATCAAAATGAAACATCCCCCCGCCCAATATAATCAAAATGGAAATCTACGATCATGCGGGATGTGTGTACACAAATCGAATTTGCCTTGCGGTAGAGGACTGCACGCAGATCCCGAGCCTACTAGGCCGGGGGATTCACTTCGCGTAGGCGTCTAGCATGGCAGACGTCTCCTGCCCTGTAGGCCGCGGCCTTACAACATGATTACAAACCGCCCGCATAACGCGGCGGGCTCTCTGAATTTGCCGTCTTGCAAGACAGACAGGATTCATCGTGGTCGTTACAAATCTGCATCGAAACTTTTATTCTTTGGAAGGATGCGCTTTTATAATAAATATGGAAATGGGGGGATTTTTCCTCACAATACGCCGTCGTCGTTCGCCATGTCCGACAGGTCGCCCCACGAGAACCGGCCGGCCGGGGCGTGGTTGTCTGCTAGGTTATGGATGAAGTTTGTGTCCGCCTCTTTCTGGTGCTCCACCAGTGCTTCGTTGTAGTCCTCCGCAAAGTCGTGACCATATGAGTTGCAAAAGCATCGCGCTAGTATAAATTGCATTACAAATTAGCCCAGCATGAGAAACAAAATTTGTCATGCGGATATGCCTCGCTGGAAACGATTTGTATTGCATGAACATGATTGCAATTAGTACGACGAGTACGGTACTTTTGCAGTTCATATACCATCGCCATCACCAACATGATCCATCCACTCCTGCACATCGCTCTGCGTATGGATGTGTCAGGTTTGAAATCGTCAAAGTTGAATATAATTTGTCATGCATAAAATGCGATACAAAAAGTGACTCTATTGCAGAGGACCCACGGGAGGCAGATTATAGTCCTGGTAATCGTCAAAAGTTGGACTGCTAACTAGCATGACAGAAGGCAGCTCTTTTGCCCTAAACCGCATGACAGACTCGCTTCCAGGACCGGGAAAATTTGCCATGCACCGACTACAAACAGTAGGCCTGACTGGTATCCGTTTTATGCATGACAAACTATTTCAACTTTGACGATTTCAAACCTGACACATCCATACTGCTGCGCATTGGCGCATTACAGTGAAAAATGCCCCCACGCCGAAACAAGTTGCAACAATTTGTGATGCGAAGTTTCCAAATGAAAACTTTTTGTTTTGCATGAATGGACCGATGAATCTTTCTGGTGCAGAGTCTAGTCGTACTATACAGCGCCATCGCGTGACGCATGACAAGCGCCGCTCTTGCTGGGATCTTTTGCAATACAGATTTTATTTGCCATAAACGATTGAAAATCATCTGTAAAGATGCTGATAAATGCAAACCGGCGAGTGTTTCCCTTGGAAAGGTTTGCAATACAAATACTCCCAATTGGTTCTGGGGTCGTTGGAGCATTTTTCGTTGTAATATGGCGAGGTCGACTATGGAAGCGTCAGGTTTGAAATCGTCAAAGTTGAAATAATTTGTAATGCATGAAATGCATGACCCGAGGCGCGTGTGTTGCAGAGCAGGCAAGTGAGGCCGATTGTAAGCCTGGTTGGGGTTACAGCTCGAGCTGCTAAAGTAGCATGAGAAAACCACTCTTCTTTGCCTAAACAGCATGACAAGCTGGATTTAGGGACCGCCGAAATTTGTCATGCGCCACTTGAAAACTGGGCTCCAACTGGCATCCATTCTATGCATGACAAATTATTTCAACTTTGTCGATTTCAACTCTGACACATCCATATCGACATCTGGATGCATGTACTCGTTAAGCGCGTATGAATTGCAAAAGTATCGCACTTGTACTAATCGCATTTATGCATTGCAAATTTCTTTGCCAAGTTAGATCCGCATTACAAATGTCATTTCCCATGTTGCTGAGGAAATTTGTCATGCGTTTTATACTACTTAGTGCGATACCTTTGTATTGCATAGCGCGTCTTCGAAGGCAACTTTCTGCTCCGCGTCCATGTATGGATTGCAAATACGTCTGCGTCTGCGAGAGAATTGCCAGGTTTGTCATGCATATTGCGTACGACGACCCATGATGCCTGTCTGTCACGCATGATGACCTAGCATCACAGATTTATTTTAGAGGGTATTTCAGCTGCTGCTTATTCCGCATGACCAATTCCCTCTCCGCGCGGCACAAACTGGATCTCTCGGATCTCTCTTGCTGGTCATGCAATACAGATTTTTTTACAATCGAGAGACAGCATGACAAGTTCCAACATTCTTTCCAGACCCAGATCGATTATATTTGCATGTATCATAGCATGTTGCTCAAGTCGACCTCGTTGTCATTTCCCACAACGTCTCCCCAAGAGCCTAGATTATCATCATTACCGAAGTCGGGGAGGGTAATGTCGAAATCCTCGAGAGCGCGGCAGAAGAATGTCGGAAGCAGCAGTAGCTGCCCGCGGGAGGTCGCGGGCATGATCATGATGCGAGCGACGTCTACTACGCAGAAAAAAAGCAGGAAGATGGTGGCAACCGTCGAGACATATCCAAGAAAAAAACTGTGTTAGTGTAACTCTCTTTGGCTGACAGAATTACAGATGCGCTCCATGACAGAGAAAACCTGATATGCGTGGCTTGTAAGGGACAACACAGATGGAAAGAAGACTTGATGGCTGTCTGGCATGACAAGTGTAACAGTTTTGCGTCTTCTGCATCACAGATTTACACTCACATAGTTTTTTTCTTGGATAAGACAGCTTGCACTACTAGTGGCGTTTCATCCTCCACCCGTGGACGACCCTTTTTCCGCCGCCGTTTTCTCATCTTGATTTAGGAGGAGAGACGATGGACCAAGTTCACGAGTTGAGATGACATCTCAATGAATGTATCATTTTTATCGGCACTGCATAATGGTCTTTGACATTCAGATTCAGCACAAGTGCGAAAGATGAAAAAGATTTGTTTTTGTTATACTGGTAAGAAGTACAACTTCGGCACCATCTTCACGCTATTGACGCATGCTACACTTCTTTCCCGCGCCACCGACGTCGTAACTCGCACGCAGAAGTTGTGCCCCGATTTGCAGCAGGCCGCTTGTTGTAATGATACCGTGGAGCTGCTCTCTACTCGTTTGATGGACACGTCGCCACTTTTTGCGTCCCACGCTCAACGAAAAGTACCAATTGCAGGAGCCCGCTCCTCGCTCATCAAAACCAATTGTAATTCCTATTGCACCACCGGAGCTCTACCTCACAATGAAATGCTTTCTCAAGTAGAACAGGAGAGCCAAAGCTTCTCTCACCCTTTGCCGTGTGATGGCGACCGCATGGAAATGGAAATGGAAATGGAAAGGGGTCCTGAAGAAACGCGTCGCTCGTTGTTTTCCCCGGAGGTGGCTAATAGTTCGACACGATTCAGTTTGTTCGCCAGCCTGGTGGCTGGGTACAAAATTTCTCTTCCCCGTTATACGGTAATCGTCGTGGTACCCATACTACAGCCCTGCAATGGATTAATAATTTTATCTACTGAAGATTTTATTTAAGATGGGTTAATACACTGCTGAAGAAACGTGGTCGCTGGCATCTATACAATCGATTTACTTGCAAGTTCGAGTTGTTATTCTTTGTCTTAGAATACATCAAAATTTCCCAAAGGATAAGGAGGTATCCTAGGCAACACAAAATCGAGTTTCTTATGCCTCTCCACTACGATAAATGATAAAGGGCTACTTACTGTGCCTGTCCAAAAATGATTCAACTTTTTCGCGTCTCTGCTACTTAAAAGGAAAGAAATCAGATCAAAACAACAGTGCTGTATTTTCAAAAAAACTGTAGAAATAGCCCTAATAAAATTGTAATTTGGTCGTGCTAGAAATGCTTGTGAAGAAACAATTGAAACAATAACACCCGTTGAAATTAACCCAATTAAGTGTAGCGCCAGTAAGCGCTTGAGCTTGACTGCACTCAAGTGCGCGGCTCCTATCAAGGCATGTGTAGTTGTGCCCGCAAGTATTGGTACTTTTGAAAAAGTTTTACTGGAAAGATACATGTTGGCTTTTTTGACGTCCCTCCCACACCTCCTTTTTTTTCTCACTGACTCTCCCTTACATTCCGCTTATGCACTGCAAATATGTCTCCTGGGTCTGGAAAGTTGTGATGCATGTCAGTTAACAGAAATCACACTGTAATGCACTGCCAAGCATGACAGACTTTGCCGTGGCTCCGTGTTGCGTATTCCGCATGACAGACAGCGTTTTTGCATGACAGACTAGAGGACCTCTTGCTGGCCATGCAATACAGAGCTCAGCGTCATGCCAGACTAGCATGACAGATCTCGTACTCTTTCAGACCCAGACATATTTGCATTTGATACCGCTTCGCCTTCCCCAGCTCCACCGTCCGGGCCCGCTGGGCGAAGGACAAGTATGGCGCTCTCAACTGTTACACTCTCAGTCAGCTGTTACACGGATTTGTGATGCAAGAATGGAAAAAGTGAAAGCGGTGACCTTGCGCGTCTTGCATGACAGATTTGGCACAGATTCCCATCCTCTTTGGCTCTTCGAGAATTTGCCATGCAAAGCAGCTTGATCGCGTCGATTTGGATTGTAGTTTCGCATGGCAAATCATGTAACAGCTGAGCGTGTAACACTTGAGAACGCCATAACAAGGTAGATAGCGTTTCGGTTACGTTGGTCTGGGCCGGACTGCATTGCACGATCATCAACATCTTTGCGTCGCCCCCCAGGCTGTCCTTCAGCATCATCGTCAGCTTGCTGTTCCGGTACGGGACGTGTATGGTGTTCTCAAACGTTACATTCTCAAGTGTTTACACGATTTGTCATGCAAAATCAACATCAACATCCACAGGGTGAAGCGACTTCGCATGACAAATTCCCGGAGGTCTGCACAGCATGTAAATCTGTGCGGAATTTGTAATGCTAGAGGTGCATTTTCATTTATTGTCCCCCTTTGGCTTTTGCTGTTCTTGCATTACAAATTCATGTAACAGTTGAGAATGTAACATTTGAGAACGCCATAACGTGCCCGGACTTGTTTTGCAGCGAAGAATATGCACTGCAAAAGTATCGCACTCGTATAAATGCATATACAAATTTCATCCTCAGCTGCTTGAGAAATGAAATTTGTAATGCGGATTTACCTTAAGGAGAAGATTTGTAATGCAAGATAGTTGCAATACGAGTACCAGTACGATACTTTTGCAGGGCATACAGAAATCACGTCCCCCAGTGCGGAAAGCGACTTGTTGATGTTCTGGGCCTATCAAAACCAAATATGTCCGAGTGTGGAAGGATGAAAAGTTTGTCGTGCACATTTTGCATGACTCCTGATGTCTGTGATGCATGCCCTAGCATCACAGATTTTGTGAGGGCTTCCTGATGGCTACACCGGATGAGAAATGCCCTCGCGCCAAGGCAAAAACTGGATTGCTTTGCTGTTCATGCAATACAGATTTTTGTAGAATCCAAATGAAGCATCACAAGTTGTATCCTTCCAGACCGAGACGTATTTGCAATGCATAGCGCCTCCTTCAGCGTCTGGCCGGTGGCGCCGGATTTCCCAACGTTCTCACTCCCGGCCAAATCGATCAGGTGGATTTTGTATGCATTGCAAAGCGTACCGTGTTAGCAGTCATTGGATTACAAATTTGCTCAGCATGATGAGAAATGGAATTTCTATCATGCGGATTCAGCTTAGGAAAGAGATTTGTAAATGCATGACTGCAATTAATACTAGTAGGTGTAGGATGCTTTTGCAAAGCATATTTTGCCGAAGTACTGCGACCCGGTTTCCAGGGACTCGTTGTCGGCTTTGATGGTAACGATTCGGTTATCCAAGGAAAAAAGTGCATACGGCTACAGGCGACTTGTAGAGAATTCAGCATCACAAACTTGCCTTGCATGACAGAGAAAACTTGTATATGCAGAGTAGATCATATGGCAATAAAACGCACATGAAAAAACGAGGCTCATAAGCATTTTGCGCATGGCAGAGGTTGTTTCTCTTGCGTGTTCTGCAACACAACAAGGTGTAACTGTAACATTTTCATCCTGTGATACTGGTGCGACCGAGAAGAGTACTCGTTCATGTCGGTTGTTCCAACCGCCCGGTTTTTGTCGGCGTCGTTCATGAGGCGCGTGACGTCGTTCATATTTTTGATACTGTACTCCTCCACGTTGGTAAGCTGGATCGCTGTGTCGTGATCAAAGGTTTATTAATTGCAATCAAAGTGCGGAATCAATCGAAAAACTTCTCATGCAAAAGTGAATTTAAACAAAACTACCGAAATGTAGTAACCTGTCGTGCAAATAAATTTTCTTACATCCATCCTGCTGCAGCTTCACGTCCACTTTTTTCCCCCCTGCGCCGCCATTTGTTCCGCTGACCAGCAAGTCGCGCAGAGATTCGTTGTAGATCTCCGTGATCATCATTTTATCGTAACGAAAAATCCCCCCTCCCCATATTGAAAGCGCATCCTTGTGAAAATTTGTGACGCAGATTTGCGACCACAAATCGGGTCTGTCTTGCAAGAAGGCACACTCAGGCTGTCCGCCACGTTATGCGCGTGATTTGTAATGCTGTGAGGCTTACAGGGTAGCCGTCTACCATGCTAGGCGCCTACACCAAAAGGCCGCCCCCGCCTAGGCTCACGATCTGCGTGCATTCCTGTACTGCAAGACAAATCAGATTTGTGTACGCAAATCCAGCATCATAAATTTCCTTTTCGATATGGGGAGGGGGGATTTTTCCTTTTGATACATTTTCAGTGAGATTCTGTTGCTCATCTTTTTCTCCCCCACGACTTTAAAGAGTTCCGTCAAGACTCGGATGTACAAACCCGGATTATCGCTCGGCCCCCGCTATGAAGTGCAAAAGTATCGCACTCGTAGTAATCGCAATGATGCATTTACAAATTTCCATCCCAAGGCCAAGGTAAAACAGCATGACAAATTCCACTTTTCATGCTGACCGAATTTGTAATGCGATTTCTACTAGTACGATGCTTTTCTTTGCAATGCATACCCGCATGGTAAACGTCTTCCCCGACCCGGTCTGTCCGTAAGCGAAGATGCACACGTTGTAGCCGTCCAGAACCGAGGTTGCTAACGCCTGCGCGTTATCCTATGCAAAAACGTCCCCACCCCATAGTCGTCTTCGTCATGCAAATCTGCATGCTCAAAATGTTTCTCATGCGGAGCGTCATGACAAGCGTTGTCTAGTCGCGATTTGGAATTTGTAATGCTCCAATCAGCATAATAGGCTAGCTCTGTGATGCTGCTGAACAAGCAAAACATCACTACACTACGAGGCCAGACTTGTCATGCGCAACAACCAAAACTGGCTGTTTTTGTCTAGCAAATTTTCCATCTTAACTCTGGGGTGGGAAGGTTTTTGCTCAGGCTATGCTTCCGTGAAGACCTCCTCTTGGATGGAATTCGGGCGGAACACCTTGTCGAATTCGAACCAGCGTTTCCGGGCGTCGTAGGCGTATGAATTGCAAAAGCATCGCACTCGTACTAACTGCAAACATGCATGACAAATCTTGTTCCTAAGGTTAAAACAGCATTGCAAATTTCATTTCCAATACTGAGGGAATTTGTGATGCTATTTTTACTAGTACGTTTACGTTACTTTTGCAGCGCTTAAGTCGTTGTAGATCGCGATTTTTGACTCCTCCGAAAACTCGGTCGTTTTGGCGCCGGAGCTATCAAAAGCAAACATTTCTGCGTCTGGAAGTTCAAGTGTGTGTTGCTGATACCTGCATTACAAATTGGCCGCTTGTACGGCATAACAACATGAGAAGTTGTTTTCCTCAGCTACTTCATCTTCTTGCGGATTCATCATTCGTATTTGGCATTACAAACTGGCTTCAGCACGACAAAAAAAATGGATTTGAATTTGATTTAACAGCCGTACTAATGCATTGTAGACCTTGTATGCCCTTCAAATTTCGCATCACAGATCCAGACCCAGAAATATTTGCAATGCATAGGACCGCGGCTCGGAATCCTGCTCGTTGTCGTTCAGAGGGCGAACACGGGCGAACACCTATTTGCCGTTTGACGAAATTTGTATTGCATCAAAGGCATTGTGTTCGTGTGACAGCACGCACAAGCTGCAAGACAACATCCTCTTCTGATGCAATATTAGCAATGCACTGGGTAATCCGTATCCGTTTTTGCATGACAAATCCTATACGTCGCAAAGAAATACTCTATACCCGGATATTCCCTTTCAGTTCCAACACCAAATTGTGCAGCCTCCTTCTTTCCGCCTGGATATTCTTGAAGGAATCTTGCATGCTCGCAATCTGGTTCCCCATCTGCTTGCAGGAACGAATCAACGTGACTAAATAGCTATCCTGGAACTGCCTTAACTCCACCGAAACCGCGGATTTGAACTCGGTGAACTGAATCTTCAAGTCGTTTAGCTTCTGGTTCAGTTTCACCGTCGCGACTTGTTTGGAAGAGGATTCCTTCTCGATCTTGGACTTGAAAATCTGATTTTGCTCCTTCAACTTCTTATTCTCTTCGGATAGTTGCCGATTTGTGACGGTCGTTTCCTCGATTTCTTTCGAGAGTTGCGAATTCTGCTTCTTCAACGTGTCGAGTTTTTTATCCAAACTGTTCTCCCCGCCCTCATACCCGTCGAGCTTTTTCTTCATGGTCTCAATCTGCGTCGCTTTCTTCTGGATTTCATCTTTCAGCTTACTCATCTGCTCCTCCTGCTTCTCGTTCGTTCTCTTTGATTTACTATCCTTTTGCTCGAATTCGGACAATTCGGTTTGGAGTTTCTCCGCTTTGGTTTTCAGATTCTGCTCGTTTTGCTCGAACTGCTTGATATTGTAGTCCTGCTGTTTTAACTTGTCCTGCATCTGAATCACCTGCTGTTCCTATCAGAATGAAAAATGCCCCCACCCCCGAACTGGAAAGCATTTGTATTGCAAACCTTTCCAAATGAAACATTCGCCCTCTTGCATGTATCAGCATCACAGGTTTCCAATCGTGAATAGCAAACATTTGTATTGCAAAAGATCCCAGCAAGAGCGGTGCTTGTCATGCAAGCGATGCGAAACAACACTAGAATCTGCATCAGAAAGATTCATATTCCTTTCATGCATGACAAAAAGGTTTCATTTGGAAACTTCGCATCACAAATTTTTGCAACTTTGGGGGTGGGGGGCACTTTTCACTCTAATAGTTCCAAGTCACTGCAGCGCTCGGAGAGAAACTTAACCCGTTCGTTTATGAATTGCAAAAGTGTCTGGGTCTGGAAGAGTGCAAGTTTCTCATGCTTGTCTGGCATGACTCATAAATCTGTGATGCAGGAGCAGGAAAAGGGCCTGTGGTCTGTCATGCAGAAACGTAGTTTGCCATGCGGAACACGAAACACAAGAGCAGCTCAAAAATTTGTCATGCTTGGCTGCGTATTGCAGCGCGCCAACCAGTCACATTTTAGCATTACAGGTTTCCAGACCCAGACATTTTTGCATGTGATATCGTTTCCATCGGTGCCAGAGGTTTGGTCCATCTTCTTCAGCCTGTCGTTTTCATTCTCCAGTCGTTTCACCTCCAGTTCCAGTTGGGAAAGATTCCGCTGGCTGTCTGCCGCTGACGCAGCTGTTGAAGATGCGCGATTGGGAGACGGAGACGGAAGGGAGCCGGCGCCTGAGGCAAGTTTCGTTTTTGTCTACTTTCGTGCTGATTTGCAACATAGCGAAGAAAAACAACTCTGTGATGCATAGAAGCAAAACAGGATCGAGTGGTGCATGTGCAAATGAAATCTTCACAGTAACATAGTACCAGGGCCTCGTGACAGTTGGTCCGCACTCTTAATCCCCGGTAATTGCTTGGGCGCGGCTAGCTTGTTCGGCCTGTCGGGGCTTCTCGGCAGGGGTCGGAAACCCGCGGTGCTACTCGGTTTAGTCCGCCAAAACTCCTCCGCAGATTTCTGATACTTCGCTCCCATGTCGTTCACGGTCTGCAAAAAGTGCCGGCCGTAGGTGAGCGCGAATGCGTGGTGCGCCTTGTCGGCGATTTTGTACTGGGCTTTCTTCACCAAAAACTGCGAATCCGACAAAGTTGGCATGGACTGCCCGCCCGTTCCATAACGGGAAATCAAGTACTGCAAACCCAGAAACCAGATGTCAATCATGCCACCGTACGTGGCGAGGTCCAGGGTTCTGCCCATAAACAGCAATGAGAAACAGCTGCAGGACTCGTCGCGCGAGGAGGAGGAACTGGAAGTTCCGCCAGCGGATGCTGATCCCGCGTTGCACCGAAGAAAAGTGGTGGTCACCGGGCCGTAGATTATTCCGATACAATATGAAAGCGCACAACTCGTGCCCCTCCCGCCCCTTTTTTGTACTAGGGCCCTAACAGCAACAAAAGCAACGGCAGATATGTGGCGAGTTCCGCAAGACTACAAACCTGTACCTGCGCGCAGTAGATTTTAGTACTTCTGCAGTGTCGTGAGGTAGTAGCTCCAAGATTTGGCATGCAAACAGTGCCTCGAGGCAGGTTGTGGATTTAGTATTTTGCATTACAAATGACAATGAGGGGTAGAAGGGGGATTTGTGCACTCTCATATGCAGTCCCGCAAGTCGACCTTGCTGTATTCGGTGACGGATTTGGTTTTCCCCCAGCGTAGTTCATCTCCCGCATCGGAAATCCAGAAAAGCCGTCGGGTTCGCTTGTAATTTGAGTAGTTGTATTTCACCAATTGTTATCCTGTGCAAAAGTATCGTACTCGTAGTAATCGCAATCATGCATTGCAAATCTTTATCCCAAGGCAAAATAGCATGACAAATTCCATTTGTTATGCTGAGCTAATTTGTATTGCAATTACTACTAGTACGATACTTTTGCAGTTCATAATTGCGCCCCGTTGCGCAGAAGCTCGATCATGTTCTGGATGTTTTTCTGGCTCTCGATGATACAGGACTGGAAGAGGTCGTACCTGATTTAGGTTTTCATGTGTTTGTATATGCAAACCGCGCATGACAAAACATAGAATAAATGCATGGCTTCGCATTACAAATCTATCCGATATTCCTACCAGTGCTCCGCATCTTCCTCCGTGTTCGCTACCAGGGTGTATTCCCACGTGTACGGCGCATGCGCCTTGATCTCCAGCTATCGTGAGAAAAAAGTGTTACAGTTACACACTCTGATGGGAGAAAAGCAAGACAGTCAACCTCTGTCATGCAGGAAATGCTTGCCACCCTCATTTCATACGTGTTTTTCCTTACAGTCTGCGCATCACAGGTTTTCTTTGCCATGTCGAGCAACTTTGTGATGCAGAAACCCCAACAAATGTGTAACTGTAACACTTTTTTCCTGTGATACCAGTACCCCATCGTGCAGCAGATTTACCTCCCCGCTGTGTGCAAGGTGGATTTGCTTCAGGAGCTCCCCCTGGTCATTCCGGTAACTTCTCAAAACCCCCTTCCTCAAAACGAAGTACTCCTTCCGCCCCGTAGAGTCGTTCAGCAAATAGCCGCGACGCTCCATAGTGAAAAGTGCAGGGCAAATTTCCCGCACATTCTACAAAATGCATGATAAATTTTGCTAACTTGGAGCGTCAAACATGTCATGCGGACTAAGATTGAAGGCAAGTTTGTTACGCAGAAACAGCATTTGTACGTGTACGGGAAAATAATTCCTGTGGATACGGTTGATGATGTTCCAGAAGTTTCTTCAAAAAGTTTTTCCTTCTATCAAAAGCTCAAGCTCTCAATCATGAAGTGCAGCTGCCCGGTGGCGTACAGAAAGTCCGCTTCCTCGCGTTGTTTCTGGAAATGCGGCATCAAAAGGAAAAATCCCCCCTCCCCATATCGAAAACGAAATCTGTGATGCTGTATTTGAGTACGCAAATCGACTTGTAATGCTAGAAGGCCAAGAGACGCAGCTGTGGCCTTCGTTGCAGGCAATTTGTCATGCTGTTTCCCACTTCCAGCTGGCCCCTGTTATGCTGAAGATGCAAGGCTTTCCCACGCCAACCAGCACTACAGTCCGCATCTTTTCCCTTCTAGCATGACAATGCTGATTTGTGACCGCAAATCTGCATCACAAATTTCTAGTTTGAATATGGGGTGGGGGGATTTTTCACTTTGATATGCGGCTGCAGCTGTCTCGTCTGAATCACGAAATCGTTCGACGAAATAGTATATCCTGTGCAAAAGTATCGTACTCGTACAAATGCAAGTCTTGCATTACAAACATTTTTCTTGAGGTAAATCGGCATTACAAATTTCATTCCTCATGCTGAGGAAATTTGTAATGCATTTATACGAGTACGATACTTTTGCAGTTCATATAGTATTCTGACTTCTTGTTCTTACCGCTGTTCGTGCTGCTGCAAGGCTGATACTGGTTCTCGCTGAAGAAGTCGCAGTGCTCCTCGTGCTGGGGTACACTGATGTTGCCGACGCAGCAGGACCTGGACCTCCACGACTTGTGCTGGGGACCCCGATTGGTGCACCAGCACCACTACCCGGAACAAGTGGTCCTTCTACCGAGGAAGTAGTCGCCGCAGAGGTTCCGCCAGGGTTTGTAGAGGAAACTAGTTTCACCAAGTACGCGACGATAAAAAAAGTCGTGTACGTTGCCGCCGAATGCGCCAAAATCCCCGCTAGCCCGAAAGGGAAGTAGATCGTCAGGACTAATTTCGCTTGGTGGAAAAAATCGATGAAATTGAGGTAGCTGGCGTGGAGGAGGGATTTGAAATCCTGGACGGCTTGGTAGCAAAAGTTCCTCACCGCTGATGGGACGGTTTTGAATTTGATGAGAAATTTGTAAACCCGCTTGTACAGTGGGGGAACGACTACAACTACCACTTCTTCTACTTTCGTACTCCTCGTCGTGGTTCCACCAAGAGGAATTCCGTTTCTCAGCCACACCTTCTTCCACGGGACGCACTGTTTCACGCTGTCGTAGGTAATCGGTTTTTTCCCGTAGAAACCAACGTTGTTTTGGTTCAGGTCTACTTCTTCGGCGGAGGAGGTTGTGATGGATGAAGATGAACTGGCGGTCTTTAATATAATTTTCGGCTCCGTTTTTACGTACACCCAATCGTAGACTGCTTCTGCTTTCTATGAGAGTGCACAACCCCCCCTCTACCCCCTCATTTGCCATGCCAAATCCCCAATCCAATCGCTGCTCTGTGGGACTGTTTGCATGACAAATTGCGGAACCGAAAACAGTACTACACTAGGCACGTGAACCTGTCATGCACAGGCTCCATGTTTGTTTGTGTTTGTACTGCTGTTCAAGTTCATGCAATACAAATGAAAGGGAGGAGGGGTTGTGCACTCTCATACTTCCGAAGAACAGTCGGACTCTGTTTCGGAATCCGTTTCGCACTCGCTTTCGGTATATGGATTGCAAAAGTGTCTGGGTCTGCAAGAATATAAACTTGCGATGCGCATTTCAGAACACAGAAAGATCTCTCATGCATAGGTAGCAAAAGCTGCCCACTTTCTGTCACCAGAGTGGGAGACTTGTCATGCGGATTCGGCATCGCGGAAGCTTCTCGAGACCTGTGATGCTAGAGCTTCCATGCCAGACCTTCTGTGTCATGCAAAAACAGCATGACTCTTCCAGACCCAGACATTTTTGCATTTCATACGGTAGTTTCACCCTCGTCCTCTGAGCTGCAATCCGTTCCCTCTTCTTCCGAAGATCCGGCTTCGCTGTCGCATATCCTGTGCAAACTAAGTATCGCACTCGTATAAATGCAAGTCTTGCATTACAAATCTTTTTCCTATCGTAAATTCGCATTACAGATTTTATTTCTCATGCCGAGGAGATTTGTAATGCATTTATACGAGTACGATTATACTTTTGCAATGCATATCACAATCAGAGCCACGATTTCCTGACGAATCGGTTTTGTTTTCTGATTCTGATTCTGTCTCCCAGTCGCTGCCGCTTTCTGACTCCGACTCGTCTTCTTGCTGATTCCCCACGCCAAACCCGAAAAACCCTCCACCAAACCGGCGCTGCTGAACGACTCCACCTGCTGCTCTCTCGTCGTCGTCGTCCTGCTCTTCCTCGTCCTCCTCGAGTGTATGAACTGCAAAAGCATCGTACTCGTAGTAATTGCAGTCAGGCATTACAAATCTTTCTTGAGGCAAATCCGCATTACATGTTCCATTTCTCATGCTAAACAAATTTGTGATGCAATTTTTTTATACAGTACGATGCTTTTGCAAAGCATAGAGTGGCAATGCGAACAAAAACCCGTACCGCAACTCCACTAAAGCCAGAAACGGAACCAAGTACGTCAAATAAGCGCAGAAGAAGAGAAACAGCGTCTCCTGGTACTTGCAAATCACCGAAAAACGAAACCAGTAGCTTGAGTAGGAACCGTATTCGAGGTAGTTTTTCTGGAACTCGGAGTCTGCTGTTGTTGGAGCAGTAGACGCGGTGCTGTGCGTGCTTGCTCTCTTCGCTGTTGGGGAAGATGATGGGGCACTGGTCCTGCTCTGGTATGCCAGATGATGTTCCGAGTTTTTTTTGTACTGGCTGCTCGTCCTCGTTGTCCCTGTAGTTGGAAGGGAACTTACTTTCAGCAGGCTGCCCGGGACAATGCTGAAGTCGTCGCTTCCTTCTTGTTATCCTGTGCAAAAGTATCGTACTCGTACTAATTGCGTTTATGCATTACAAATCTTTTTCTTACGGCAAATCCAAATCCGCATTACAAATTTACTTTGTAATGCTAAGCCAATTTGTAATGCAATTTATACTAGTTGTACGATGCATTGCATACTTCTTGATGTTGAAAAACCGACGTGGTCTGCAGTAAAATCCCCAAATCTTTCGGGATCGGTATTGCAGTGAAAAATGCCCCCACCCCCAAAATTGCAAAAATTTGTGATGCGAAGTTTCCAAATGAAAACTTTTTGTCATGCATGAAAGGAGTACGAGTCTATCTTTCCGATGCAGATTCTAGGCGTATATCGCATCGCTTGCACGACAAGCGCCTCTCTTGTTGGGGTCTTTTGTAATACAAATGTTTGCTATCATTCACGATCGGAAACCTGTGATGCTGATAGATGCAAGAGGGCGAATGTTTCATTTGGAAAGGTTTGCAATACAAATGCTCCCAAGTTCGGGGGTCGTGGGGGCGTTTTTCATTGTAATAATCGGGCAGTGCACTTTCACCCACCGGGGGAGCGAGCACCAGGGAAACCAAAAAAACGAACAGAGGAAGGTGAGGAAGGAGGTTTGTTGCTCGTCCTCGCGATGATGATGTAGGTCTACTTCCGGGTGGTCGTTCTGGTCGTCCTGAAGGTGGTTGTAGTTGTCCGCTGTTGTTGATGCGTCTACTCGCGCGATCGAACGACCCGAGTTTTCTTCCAAATTGACCTCACCTTCGGGGGAACTGTCAAAAGAAAATTCCTCCTGCTCGCTACTGCTACTGCTACTCGGTGTCCTGAGCGCCCACGTACTGATATGCAGTGCAAAAGTAGTATCGTACTCGTATAAATGCATTACAAATTTCCTCAGTATGAGAAATGAAATCTGTAATGCTGATTTACCTTGACAAAAAGATTTGTAATGCATGGCTGCAATGCGAATGCGATACTTTTGCACAGGATAACTGAAGCCGCTATAATCGTCCAACACGTCGTAGATACAGAGTCTCTTCGGGAAAAACCTTATGAATTGCAAAAGCTTATCGTACTCGTATAAATGCATTACAAATTTCCTCAGCATGAGAAATAAAATTTGTAATGCTGATGCACCTTGAGAAAAAGATCTGGAATGCATGATTGCAATACGACGAGTACGATACTTTTGCACAGAATAAACCTGCCTTCTCGTTGATGTTCCACCTGCTCCGAAGGAGCTGCTGCTTCCACCACACGACCTGCTGCAGTCGGCAAGAGACCACGTTGGTCCGGAAGATCTTCTTCAACTGCGAAATAGTACCACCACCAGGACCCCTCTTCAGTGTAATAAATATCCTCCAAGAACTCGATGAGGTCGGTGAAAAGGGTCTTGTCCGCGTTTTTAACAGGCGGCCGTGGTTCGTGGTTCTCGAGAATGGCAACAAGGATCACGACACCTGACAAAAAACTTAGCAGCCCGCAAGTTGTCCACGACATTGACGGCTCACTCGTGCCCGGAAGAACCGCATGGAGCGTAGTTGTGTTTGTGTATTGCAAGAGCACCGAAGGCTACTTTATGATGGTGGCGCTATTCTACTAGGACGGCTGATGTTGATGCGCTGTCGTGTTGACTACAACCACACGAAGATATGCCACCAACAACCTGTATACAACAGAACAGCTGTGCTCTCTCCAATACTTCTTTTGCAAGTTTATTTAGCTGTCGCTGTGCTTGTTCTTCATCTCACATGTGTACCCTCTGAAAAAAATCCGCCGGGCACACTCTGCAACTAAATTGTAGTCTGGCTCAAAGAACCTCCCACTCAAAAGATGGTGCCCCTGCACCTTAGCAGCACGCCTGTTTCTCAACTCCACTACAAATAATTCCGCGCGCTCAAATAAAAATTGCTCTAAAACAAGTGCTCTCATCATGCCCCCGCGGCAATTTGTTGTGTTTCGCCCACCTGGCGCAGGAGCCGCAGGAGGTCCTCGTACGACTTGTGTTACAAGCAGAACGAGACTGTTTAAGATTTTTCTCGAGGCTTGCCAGAAGTTGTGCGGGGAATAGAGCGGGGCCGTCGTGCCAAATGTGAAATCGCCTGTATTTTCCGGGTTGTCTTGGCTTTCACAAGCAGATTTCCGAAACGCGCACCGAGCAAACGAATAAGAATCTACAACCAAGTCAACCGAGGGCTCGCACACTACCCACAAGCCAATAGTGTTCTTTAGGCGCAAGCAGAAATAAATCCCGGTAAAATGTAATCCAAAAAGGGCACAATATCCATCAATGTGTTCTGGCCGGACCTAGTCCAGCCCCAGCGTAGTAAAGGTTCTTTGTGCTTCATCCTAAAGCATCGCGTAAGCCCCTAACGTTTCCCGTGGTGTGGACGTTCCTGATGCGGTAAAGACAAAAGTGGCGCGCAGTTAGTCAGTGCAGGAACCTAGATCATGCAGCAGCATGCTCTGCGCTTCATTTTCTGAACCCTGCGTCGGATTTCCGGTCCTACCAGTGGAAACTGGGGCGCCATTTTGCGCCTTTTGATCCATTTGCCATGCATTTTTGGAACTAAAATATGCCATTTTTGACCTGAATCAGGCCTAATTTGAGCTAAAATAGAGCCTAATTTGTTGAATTTACATGAAAAAGGTAGCTGTACGTGCCAAAAGCGGAGATTTTCCCAGAAGAGCTGCAACGGTCGAAGTCGAAGACGACCACGAGCGTTGTAGCCATTATAGTATAGCGAAAACTGTAAAGCCAAATCACGCCAGCAAGGCTACCCCAATGTAAATCTGTAATGCGAAAAGGAAATAAATATAAACCTGAACCCAGCTCCTGCGTGAAGTGATGCGGAATCGCGCATCTCCTCCAAGCGCGGCCGCGGTTCGTTTCAAATAAAGAAGCGACAACCCTTGTCGCGCTGATGTGTAGTATATGCAGCTAACTATCTTCATAGAACAAACCATGCTTCGTTCTTCGCTGCGCGTCAAGTAATCACAGCCAGAAGTTGTGCGCCAGAAGAATCACTGTTCAAGATTTTTCTGGAGGCTTGCCAGAAGTTGTGCGGGGACTAGAAAGAACGGGGCGGCGGAGAAAAAAGAGTACTCGTCTATTTTCCACGGCAAATGGCTCATGGTGTGGGACGAACGCTAGCAGGACAGAGAGAGAGATTGGAGCACACACTCTACGCAAAATAGACTTTCGAAAGATACTAGTGCGAGGCACGGGGCGGAGCCATCTGGTTATTGGTAGGAAAAAACTTGCAACGCCTACTGTACGCAACACGACCGACGTCTTTCCTTGAAGATCTTTTTCGATCATGGATCTGCGTCAGGATTTTACTTGCTTTTAATCTTCCGCGCATTACAAATTTAGAAAGAACGCCCACGCGCGTTTATTTGTCAAAAAAAGCCAATCAACACGACGAAGCTTTCGCGAGCATCAGGTAAAAGCTTAACCTGTTGGATCATGTAGTGAGACCGTGCCAAATGGTAAAAACTTGTCATCTGTGTGTACGAATCGAGCAGGGCGTGGCGGGCTAAGTAGACACGTGGTCACGCCACTTGATCACGAAAACGCTTAAGACGGGAGCCGTAATAAATGCAAACGGAGCTGCGCGACCGCTACTAAGCTCAGAGGCAGGACGGCTCAAGCACAGGCGCTCCTACTTGCCACCCATCGCCATTTCTTTCATGATTGCCAATGGGCACCGTTATCAAGTTGGCCACTGGACATGACAAAAGCAAAAAAAACTCGCATGACAAATCCACTTATTTGCGTGAGCTCTTGCGTATCCTATTTAAGGCCAAGAAGAACACCTGCATCTCCGCATTTTTTGCCAGTGGAGGAAAGGCTACCGAGCCAGCCGCCGTGGGGGCCGACGCATCTGGGACTTTTCTGCGCTGCCACCCTGCCGAGTCGCGTGCTCTCCGTAGACGAACCTGCTAGACATGTGGGTTGCGTATGAGGGCGTTTATTTCGGTACTTGGAGTAAGATTTTTCTCGAGGCTTGCCAGAAGTTGTGCGGGGACTAGAAAGAACGGGGCCATCATGCCAAACACATGGTTGGATACCGCAGAAGCAGGCAGCAATGCCTTATTTTGGTTGATAACTTCTAATCTTGTTGGATTTCGCTCTGTACAGTGTGATAAAATTTTCAACAAGTCCTCAAAGTTGTCGTGGTCTACTCCTGCGCATTAACAAAATCTTCAAAAGCTGTCGGACTTGCGGCTCTGTGCAACGTCACAAGAGTGTCTGAAGATCTTCACCCCATAGTCATAGTCCTAGTAAAGCTTCTGGGTCCGTAAACAAGTAGAATCCAAATTCTGTCTCTGTCTCGTCTGTCTTGATACTAATCTGTCATAATCTGTTAAAACGGTTTGCTAATAAGGTTTTGCTCCTGCCGTGAATAATCTGTGTCATAATCTGTTAAAACGGTTGTCGGTGTATTGAAATTTGTCAATAAATCTGAGTAGTATTAAAACGGTTGGCTCTGCGAGATATCAAACTAGTCCGATAAAGTTACGATCACAATGAAGTGAAAGCTTAGCTGGCTCTGATCGGCAAACTTTCGATTACACAAAACGAGTAACTCTTCTACCTGTGCTCTCAAACGGTTCGCTGTTCTGTAAAGTTTGTTGAAAACTTCCTTTACTTCATCCCCTTACGCCATCTGCCGGATGACTGCCAGCCCGAGTTCTCGCAACTCTGCTTCCCACGTGCGCGCCTTATGCATTGCAAAAGCATCGTGCTAGTATGAATTGCATCACAAACTTCCTCAGCATTAGCAATGGAATGTGTCATGCTGTTTCACCCTAGAAGGAAGAAGATTTGTCATGCATATTTGCAATTAGAGCGAGTGCGATTCTTTTGCAGTTGATACGCCTCGTTCTCGTAGAGAAGCTTCATTCGGTTTCGTCGGCGCTTCGGGTATGGTGGGGGAAAGGACTTGTTGAGTTTGTCATGCAACATAGGATGAAAGCATACCCATGCGATAGTTTCTCATGCACAAAATGCATACACAAAAAACATTCCCCATAGAGATCTATGCATGACAAAGTGAAGAACTACAAACGCAACAGCAAAGTTCTTTCCCCCACCATATTTTCAACTCGATGTTGGCCTGTTCCAGCTCCTCGTTGATGGCCCTGATATTGTTTTTTTTTTCGGTAAGGATCGATTTGTCATGCGTTTCTTTGCATGACAAAGTCTGAGATGTAATGCACGTTTCTGCATGACAAATTCAAAAAACTCTAGTACTCCGTTTCCCTCTTCTGGTTGTCTTCGAAGTCGAACTTCACCTTCTGTTCAAACCACCAAATTGTGCATTGCAAAAGCCGCATCGCACTCTTTCTCGTACAACTTCTAATTGCGATCTTGCATGACAGATATTTTTTCTCTAGCTGGATCAGCAATGCAAATTCCTTTCTACTTTCTCAGAATTTGCAATGCAATTTCCTCTACAAGTAGTGCGAACCGTCTTTTTGCAATGCATAGCAGTCTCCCCGGCGATCTTGACCATTTTCGAGCAATACTCGCTGGCCTCCGCATATTTATCAAATGGAAAAATCCCATATCGAAAAGAAAGCCACAGAAAGTCTGCAATGCTGATTGGTGACCACAAATCGTCTCTGTCTTGCAAGAAGGCAAGTCCACAGGTTGCGCCGCATTACGCAGGCGGTTTGTGATGCTGTTGGGCCGACAGCGTGGAAATTTGTCATGCTAGACGCCCTTGTCAAAACCTTGCTTCCCAGGGTTGGCATAAGCGTGCAGTCCTCTACTGCAAGACGAATCTGATTTGTGTACGCAAATCCAGCATTACAAACTTCCTTTTCGATATGGGGAGGGCGAGGGGGGATTTCTGCTTTTGATAATATTTCGTGTTTTCCTTCACCCGCCTCTGGATCACGAAATCAGGTGGGAGTTTCATCGCCATCTTTGCTTATACTTTGATTTGTGAAGGATTGAAAAAAGTTTATTTCACAAGTTGCTGCTCATACACGACCACTTTGCTCCTAATATCAATTTCGTTTATCTTTTTACAACTGAGGAGGAGGAGGAATAAACTCTACAGTCAGCTTCTAACTACTAAGCTACTCTCTCTGTGTAAGCTAACCATAGGAAAGATTTTCGCTGGGACTAGGTGCTGCCTGCCGATGGTTTGCAACGCTTCAACTTTCCAGGTAGTTGTAGCCGGTTGTCTCTTTCGGCTGGTATGCGACCCCCTCAGCAGGTCTACTCACGAGTGTCCTTTGTCGTCTTCGCTGCTTTTTACAGTGGCTCTGTAGATCGGTCGACGTGTTGACTTAGTTGTGGTCTGCCGCTGGATCTTAGTTTTGTGACGTTCTGACTACCCAAGGGTGGGCAGCCGAAGCCGCCGTGGCCAAGGGATGCCAGGTTGCCCCTGAGGGGACTTATTCGTCACCGCGGTAGGAAGAAGTGAGCCACTGCGACGGTTAGTTGTGAGGACACCCGAGGTAGAGTTACCCGTCGTGTGCCGCCCGCTGCAGAGGATTTGTAGTCCCTCCGCAGTCGTCATGAAGTAATGCAGAATGCTGATAGTGCGTCGCCCGCTCCGACGTAGTACAGAAAGCTCCCCCGTCGTCGATCCTCGGTTGACCCTCCCCCGTCGTTGGCGGAAATCCTTCTGTCGCGCGTGTAGGCGCGTCCACGTCCGACGTCGTTAAGAGGGGCGTTCTTCTCGAGCACGCTGGCTGTGCTGATGCACAAAGAAAGATAGCCTGGGTGGAATCAAAGGAAATAACCAGGGGAACGGAAAAAGATCGATGAGGACAAGCCCACGGGTTCCCCTCACTGACATGTCCTGCGCCCTCGTCCCTAAGAAAAGCGCAGGCCCTTGTCGCGTCGCTCGATCACGGCACGAAGGTCACGACCACGGCGGGCGCGGAGGTGGAGCGTGTTATCTACTACTAGTCATTATTTTTTCGTAGGCCCGGTTTCTACTTCTGTGTTGGTCTCGGTAAAAGGAAAACGCGTAAAGTAAAATATAGACTATCGACACGCGCCTGCGCTGTGATCGCGGGCGGCAGTATCCGTTCCCGTGCCTGCGGTGTGCCGGGGCCATTGAAGGGGGTCAATGCACTATGCAATTTGTCAAGCAGTATATCTACCTGACCTTCTTTTTCAACATCATGCGCACTGTATATTTGTCTATCCGTATCCGCCCTTACACTGCGTAGCGCAGTGGGCACCTCCGCTCTCACATGACATCATGCCTACTCCGGTCGCGGCGGGCAAGCATGCTTATTCGGTGCCTTGTGCACGAGTCCCCCCCTCCGGTCCCCATCCGCGACGGCCCTCATGGCTCACCGCGGCTAGTCTGCTGTTTGGGTTCTATGCCTCTTTTCCACGATATCCCGCGGGGGGGGAGGGGGTGCGGGTCCAAGGTTGGCGGGCACGCCTCGCGTATCACCGAGCTTGTGTCTCCAGCCGCTAGTCTTACTGCTACTTTTTATTTACTACTCTATCCGGAGCCTTCTATCTAACTCCACGACGGGGCTATTCGGTGGCCCGTGCTGCAGCGGCGCTGTCAGTGAGGGGGGCGACGCCATCATTTTCTTTCTTGTATTTTTGTAGTAAGAGTGAACTGCTACAGAAAGTTTTTGTGTTGTTAGCACTACTGTAAAAGGGGCACAGAGGACCCGCCACGTACGGGTGTTTATTTAATTTCATTTCGAAACTCCACTGCAGGGAGTCGGGGGAGGTACCGACGTGGCGTCAGTGGTAGGTAAACAATTGATGAGAAAAACAAGAGATGGTCCTACTCTACGGCATAGCTCCCCCTGTTCTACATTGATGGATCTCAGGCAACAAGACAAACGTCTTGAGCCAAATTTATCTTTTTACAACTGCTGCCCATGAAGATGACAACTTGAACTTTCATCACTACCCTCTTTCGTGAGTGAAAACAAATTCCTCGACTTTGTTCTACTTCTTTCAACGGACCCACTCAGGAGGACCCCCTCGCTTGACGACCCCGAAAAATTCCCCTCTGAAAGAATCCCACGTGAAAACAAGAGCATCGAGTTTATTGCGGTGGTATTAACGCGAAGGCGAAGAAGGTAAATGATATAGAATTTGTTTCATATTGCTACCCAAGGACACGGAGCCTACGACACAATATCGCTCCAGATCCGGCACTAGCCCTTGAGTCAGCAGATCGTGCTTTGTAGCCGCTCAGGTCCAGTACCAACATTCGCATTACGATTGCCCTTCGCTTCGCGGTAAGTGGGAGGGCAGGCACGGAAAAATCATCCGCTCTGGTGTAAGTACTTTTTCGCCTTTGTCTTCCTGCTTTTTCTGTACATTGTTCTTCGGCAAAGTCCAATAAACCAACAAACTGTTCTTGCAGCAAATCTGAGCTGCCGGTGAAGTCACCAGGACGGCGCTCGTCAAGAACGGAGCCATACCGGTGCTGGCTGTGTGCTATCATACATAAAACCATAAAAACTTTCCTGAAAATCAAAGTCAATTAAAGTCAAAGCCACAAGCTAAAATTCCTACTCAACTGAAACTAGCACGACGAATAAATACAGTTTTGGTCCTCGTCGCGGTATTAATCAAATTCGCAGTGAATAGAACTAGTCAATGAGTCATAAAGCCACAATTCGAAATTTTTTTTTACATTTTCTAACGATGAAAAAGTCAATTAAAGTCAAAGCCACGAAAAATGCCACACTTGCTCCTTCGTCTTGCCATTGTAAGTTTATCTTCCAAATGAGTCAACATCTACTTAATCTGCCTATCAAGCGGTACGAAATTATTTTAAGTCAAAGTAAGTGAGAAAATCTGGATGAAAATAAAGTAGTTGCAGAAGACATGCAACTCTTCTGCTCTGATGCACCACCCGAGATCAGCATCAGTACCGATCCACATTTCGGAACAGGCGGAAGTCGGGCTCCACCACGTGGTGGTTCGAAGGCGGCATAATCACATCCTTCACAATCGCACCCGTTCCGATCATCCCGCTCTGTCGCTTGTCACTCACCCGATTCACATCGGGTTTGTTGGATTTCGGCAGCGCCTGACGGTAGTCGAGGACAGACCGGTCGTTTCGCATCGGCTTCTCGCCGCCGATGGTTTCGATGGTACCTGGGGGGGGGGTGATTTTCCGAGAAATTCATGTACTACCGCACGAAAAAATAACAAATGCTGGAAGGACGAGAGTATGCATGACAGTAAACTCGACCTCGAAGTCAGACCACAAAGGAAATACTCAGATTCGGCCCCCTCTTAAAATAGCGCGGCTTTGTGTTCAGGATTCCCTTTCCCGTTTTTGGGTCCTCCTCTACCATGCAGTACTGCCACCGTGGCATGCCACTCCCGACTACCCCTGGTACCATACGCATGCCGAACATCCAGCTCGGAGCTTCTGGCGCGAGGGAAGTGGACTGAACGTCACCGTATCTGGTAGAAGTTTTGTTTCATTCATCACGTATGTGTCCCTCTCATCTGATGCGACATGATCCGCATAACAAATCACAATCGTCAATGTCGCCACGCAAGTTATGCAATACATCAATCACAACTCTATGTACACTATACCCTATCATTCCGTTCCCATACCCAATGTGGTCCTTTGATTTCTTAATCAGTTGCGCCTGCTCCTCGGTTTCTAGGTTTGGTCTGCTGACACCAATCGTCTTTCTCGTCACGTCGTGATACCTTTTTATTTTTGATGATTCTGTTTTCTCATGCGTTTTCTTCTTGCATCACAGATCATGCGTGTCATGCAGTAGTCGCTCCATCACCCTGTTGCAAACCAAATAAAAAAGGTCTTATTGTACCAGCTGTGTTTCCTGTAGTCGTACACTTCGTCGGTTGCAGACCGGTTTTTCCTATCCTGTGCAAAAATATCGTACCTGTAGTAATCGCAGTCATGCATTACAAAGTTCTTTGTCAAGTTGAATCCGCATTACAAATTTCATTTCTCATGCTGGGAAAATTTGTCAAAGGATTTATACTACTTAGTACGATCCTTTTGCAGTTGATATTTCCTGCCACTCGCCACTGCCGGAGCATCGTAGGTATAAACCGTGTCGTATCCACCTGTGCAAAAGTATCGCACTCGTACTAATTGCAGTTATGCATTACAAATTAATATATTTATATATGGAAGAAAACGGGGCCGGAGAGGTTCCGGTAGAGGGTGGGGAGAGGTTCCATAGAGGTAAAATAGAGGTTGGGAGAGGTAAAGTAGAGGGTCGGGGAAAAATAGAGGGTCGGGGAGAGGTAAAGCGAGAGGTAAAGGAGATGGTAGGGAGAGGGTGGGTAGTATGTCGGCCCTTATAGCGGCGCTATACGCCCGAAGAGGGTAGGTAGAGGGTGGACAGAGGTCAAATAGAGGGTAGGGGGAGAGGGTCGGGAGGGTCCGAGAGGGTGCGTAGTATAGGGCGACCCTCTATGTGACCCTCTACCGCGACCCTCTCCGGGAACCTCTATTTTACCTCTCCGCGGACCCTCTCGGGACCTCTCCGACCCTCTCCCGGACCCTCTCCGGGACCCTCTCCGAACCTCTCCCGGACCCTCTCCCGGACCCTCTCCCGGACCCTCTCCCGGACCCTCTCCCGGACCCTCTCGCGGACCCTCTCGCGGACCACCTCCAGGAGCACAGCCTGCCCACTTGTCTGCGCGCGGCGCCCCCTAAAGAAGCTCGCTAGGGCGCAGCGACCGGCCGGCATTGTTTTATTTCGCTTTCAGATCAGAGCGGGCGTTCAAAGTGCGTGCGCCGCTCTGCGTCCCCCAGAGGGGGCGCGGCGCCACGCCTTAACCTGGTCGGCCACCTAGGGTGGCCGCAACTTCTTTCCCACAGCGACCGCGCGCGCTGGCAGCAGGTGCGTCGCCCTTGTGGCGTCTTGAACGTTGGCGCCCGGAAATAGTTTCCTGTGCGCATTTTCCCACGGCGCGCAGCTACTAAGGCCGGGCATGGTGCCGATCATAGCCGAAACATGGGCCGGGTTCTTTTTATTTGGTTGTGTAGCGGCGCGCGGTCATTGCTGGCGCCACCTTCCCCACCGGAACACCTCCACCGAACAGCCCCCTCCCCGGCGGCCTCCGCCGGGGGGTGGCTGGTCTCTTTCTTAAGGCAAATCCGCATGACAAATTTTATTTCTCATGCTGGGGACATTTGTATTGCAATTTATACTAGTACGATACTTTTGCGATGCATATGTCGACGGTGAACGGCTCGATATTGCCCTCGGATTTTGTTGAGCGTAAGGTACCGATCGCGGGGTTGATTGAGTATCACCTGCTCAGGAGGTGTTACAATCTCAACTGTTGCAATAGAGTCTGGAATTTGTGTTGCAAGAAGTGCACTATCTAGCCAACTCTCAAAGGATTGCGCATGACAAGTTTCGGAGTTCCAATCCGCACCAGAATCTGGCGAAATTTGTATTGCAGAAGGTGGAATGCTCTGCGATTCTGTCATGCTCATCATGCAACACAAATTTCAGATTCGATTGGAACGTTTGAGATTGTAACCTTTGAGCAGGTCATATTGACGGATTTTTGTTTCTGACCGCCAGATTCCAATGGTGCATCTCATTCGCCAGTCGTTTCTGATAAGTACGGGTCATTTTCATCGCTTGTCATGCAGAAGCCCTGCATAAGAGCTGGGACATGCAACACACGAAACGCATAACATTTCATCCAAAAGTAAAACAAAATACGTCTGCATTTGTCCGTAGTTGTTGCTTCCCACTGACCGCTGTTTTCCAGTATGAGTCGTGTGTTGGTCGTCCGAAGCTCCCGGGTGTGTCAAGGTCAAAAAAGATTTTGAACAACTACTCTGTGCATGACAATGGTAGCGTCTCATGCAAGAAAAAGCATGACGAGTGTCGTGTGGTTCATGATTTCAATTTTGATATCCTGGCAAATGTGGGTTTCCGCTCGTCGCTCGATTTTTCCTTGTTCGGGTACCTGTTGTTGAATGAGGGTGAGAATAGGATGTCATGCGCTTTTAGCAACACAAAAAAAATGTGACGACGAATGGGAATGCATTTTCGGCTTTACAAAGATTTACAAGCCGATACACAAACCGTTGAGATGAACCACCTAAATACCTAATCCCAGCTCTTCCACCGTTTCTCTGCCTACCGCGACGAACCCCGGGGCCGGGTGCTTGCTGGTATCTACGCGATACTCCACCATGGTGATAGGAGTAGTTTTTTTTTGCCTGTGCCTTGTGTTGTGCAGTGGGCGTGGGTGTGTATTTTTAGATACTGATGGTAGTATACAACATGACAAAAAAAAACAGCAAGCGACCTCACAAGAGCGATACCACGACAACTAGCAGTTTAAGGCAAACCAAGAGGAATGGCATCTTTGATAGTAAATACAGTACAGACCGTGGCCGTGGCGTTTACGAAAGTGCAGTAAAATAGTTGTCAATTTTATGGTACAGAGTAAAAAAAGTATGTTGTTGCGTCGATATGTATTTTATACACGAGAAAAACAAAATGCGATACAGGTTGTGAAATTCGAAACGATGCACGACGACTTCAAAAAAAGTTGTTTTCAACTCCCACGAGAACTCTTCAAGTATCTCTTCCAAAAGTCCTATGGTCGTTCAATTATGGTCGAGCGAGATTGTAATTGATCCGTCCCATAGGTACCCATTTCAGAAAAAGCATAAGGACGACCCGATATAATGATTTCAATCACACCAACTCAACATGAAGATGGTTTGCATGAAAACCCCAATGCAACGTTGTCTCACGAAGATCACCTTCTGTGACAAAGGTATAGCCTGCAGAAGTGCTGTCATGACGTAGTGCCTCACTTTCGCTTCTTTCTACGACGCGCTCCGTCTCAGTCATGCTCCCTCTCGTCTTTGGAAGTGCTATGTATAGCGGGCAAAGAGACGGGCGTCGCGCTCCCATCCGGATGCAAACAGTGGCCATTTTCTTCTTAGCATTCCCACTCGCCCTGCCTGCACGCCAGAATCTGCCAGCACAACTTCTAACACTATCAACTGCAGCTCTGACGAAATTCCTATCGGGCCGCGCCCACCGAAATGAAATAGCCCTCCGGGGGCCACGAAAAACCGGCGCGCCCAAGGAGACACAACGTGGAGGCGGGCAAATCGTTGCAACACATGCGCAACGGGCTGGCGCAGAGAGAAATAGACCAGCCCGGCGCCCCCATGCATGCGCGGGCCTTTGTTTTAGTGTTGGCCCACGCCAGCCTTGCCGTGGGAGCCGCCAGCGAGCCTCCCTGGAACGCGGCGCGGCCTGGGATTACGTAGCCGAAAGCCAGCGCGGCGGGCGAGCGTGCGCGCGAGCCTGCCCGCCGGCACGCAGGCTGGCCGAGGCCCGGCGGGGGGGCGCGGGGGCGGCGGGGTGTTCTCCACGAGCGAGGCGGCGGGGGGCGGCACGCATCCGATGGGACGGCAACAGGCCCGGCCCGCTGGCTTTCGCCCGCCTGTCGTTCCATTCCAGCACTAACCGCCGGCCAACCGCCCCAAGGCGCGGGCCCCGGCGCCACTGTTCCTGCGCGTTTCCATCCTTTCCGGGATCCTCGCGGAGACTTTACGCCAAGGGCCGGGCTGGCTCACCACGCCCGCGGCCCGCGCCGGGTGCCCTCCTGGCCTTCGCCAACGAGACAAACACCACTCAGCCGCGCAAATGAGCCCGCCCCCTGGCACTAGTGGCAGGAGCGATACACACTAAGTGAGGCCAGGTAGCCGAGCGCGGAAGAACCGCCACGCAGTCCTGGATGCCCCGCGGCCGGGCGGGGCCACGACATTGCGATCCGCCCAGCCAACCTCCAACAGCACCGCGCGAAACAGCTCGCGGGCAGTCACTGGCTACGTCAAGATAGATTGACGATGTTGTTTGAGTTTGCTTGGTGCTACTCTTCGGTGCGGTGCCCACTCGTCTTCCTGCTTCGCTCAACACTCACACAACATAATTACATCTTGCTCCCCCCCTTGCGTTCACACTCACAGGACAGGTTTGCTTACAAAAGAGTATGAGAAAATACGCACGACACGCCACACGGAGACTCTCAAACGGAAATGCAGCGGTCTACTCAGCTCTTTCTAGCCACAGAAAAGGCCCCTCAACCCGAGCTGATCTCACTCCGAATCTAAAACACCCAGAACAACAACGCTCCTGCAAAGAAAAAGAAACCATCGCCGAGCCAACACACAACCAAGCCCAGGCGGATCCTGCTCTGCCATTTGTTGCTCCGTGATGGCTTCTCCTGCTTCGCGCCACCAAATTGAACGAGAACTCTTGCCGGTCAACAACGCTACAGAGGCGACAATCAGGCGGCACCATGGCCAGCATCTGTCCGCGTTTCCTGTGTTTACTCCACGAGGGCGCGGGCTGCGGCAAAATGATTAACCACACCTCGCGCGGCCATCGGGCGACGTGCGCGCCGAAAGCTCCCAGGCGCAGCCATGGCAATGGGCGGCCGGGCTGTTCGTTGCGTATCGCAAAATAAGCGTCGCGCGGTTCCGGTGATATACCGGGCGCAATATATACAGAAACACGGGGGGCCGGCGATGCCGGGGAAAGCAACCCCCCAACGAGGGTGGATGGGGGGTCGCACGGTGTCCATCCCCCCGCGCGCCGCTCTGCCGCAGGTGGGGCGGGGGGGGCAGACGAAAGGCGAGGCGCCACCGCGCGGGCGCCTCCTCCATAGAAGAAGGCCGGCGGCCCGCGGCCTTGGTGGCTGTTTGGCGCCGAGCGTGGGACCTTCGCGCAGCTTCTGCTCCAGGGGCGAAGCGGCGCAGCGCGCTACGCCCCTCCCCCTCTTTTCCTTCCCCTCTTCGTATTCTGTCCCCGTCTCTCCTCCTCCTCTCTCATCGCCTTGCACCTCCACCGCCGGACCCCCTCCGCCCGGGCGAATACAGCCCGGCGACCCATGCAATGCGCCCTCCCCCTCGCTGCTTCTTCAATGGAAGCGTCGCCGCGGGGGCGCTAGCGTGCGGGGCCCAAGGCGCCGGCGCCTTTCTCTACAGTCGTCATCATCTACTTGCTCTACCTTCCTCAACTACACACCAAGACGCCAGAACGACAGGGACGCGTATCATTGCTCTCTCGTTCTTTTCTCTTCTAGTCGACTCAACACAAGACCACCTTCACCTCTCGCTCTCGTCATCCTCGTAGTCAGCGTTTTTGCTCCAACTGTGGCGTCTGCCTGAACAACGACAAGGGTCTGAGTACTTAAGTTGTTGATTAGTTCTGCACCAGAAATTTTCAATCTTTGTTCTTTGCAATTGCAAGTGGTTCATTAATTTCAACATTTAACAGAAGTAGAAGATCTGTATTCTTTTCGTATCATACAAGGCTCGGCTGCAGCGAGGTTTGGGCCTGCCAAGCGCGTTTAGGTCGTGACTGAGAAGTAGTACAAGGGTAAAGAGTTGCTCATTGTCTAAAAAAATTTGGTTCATCGGAGGGTATGTTGCGATAACATACGACTGACATAAAATTTTCAAATGGAAACTCTCATACTTTTAAACTACCGGTAACAATACAATATTTGAAATAATCAAGTGGAGAAACGATAGTAGTTCACGAAATGACGATTAAGACAGTGCGTGCTGGTACTGCTGGTACCTGCTTTTATTGTGTAAATATTGACAAACGGAAGCTCTCAACAGTGATCTTATCTGGAAAGATTCGTGTAATATTGACAAACGGAAGCTCTCAAGAGCGAAGAGAAAAGTGTAATATTGACAAACGGAAGCTTTCAAGAGGGATGTAATTTTGGAAAGATTGGTTAATTCTGGCATAATATCGGCGATACAGCCTACAACAGCCGTACATAGCGTTCAAATTTTTCTTGGAAAAAGTGGAAGTTGTGGCAATACTTCTTCTTTTTGCCATCTTGTTGAAAAAAAGTAAATTCCCCGTTTTGAAAAAAAGTAAATTCCCTTCCTAAACTCAGTCACTGAAACTCCACCGCTCAATAATTATCATACCCAGCGCCGGCCCCGACGTCTTGTTCACTGGTGTTGTAAGTAACTTTCATTCGTTTTGCCCGTGGTCGCCATCGTGGTGATCTCGTTTATTCCAGCAGCATGAGCATCGGCATGGTGCGCAAAATCGGTTTCTTGGTAGCACCAGACGCCGTACTGATTATCCCGCTGGTTGGTGTTCATGAGATTCGGATCAGTATATTCAAGCTTGTCTTCTTCAAATTGCAGCCACATTTTGCTCCTCTTCCCGGTCATCTTCAATACCGGCCCGCCGGGTCCCCGCCCCGTCCGTGATGCGGAAGATCTAGATCTTGCATACTGCATGTAGTTCTTGTTTTGCGCAGGAGATGTTGCTTCATCGCCGCGGTCTCGAACAACGGAGGAATGATTTCTCCTTCTGCTCTCATGCCGGCGCAGCTGCCGAGGGTCTTCGTCTTCTCCTTTAGATCTAGTTCGAGTTTTCCCACAGAGGAAATTATCAAGTGTAAAAATGTCTGGGTCTGGAAGATTGCCAGGTTTGTCATGCACATTTTGCATGACTCCTGATGCCTGTGATGCATGCCCTAGCATCACAGATCTTGTGAGGGCTTCCTGATGCCTATACCGCATGACAAATGCTCTTTCCGTGTAGCAAAACTTGGACTCTCTTTGCTGCTCATGCAATACAGATTTTTTCAGAATGCAAAATCAGAATGACAAGTTGGATTCTTCCAGACCCAGACATTTTTACATTTGATAGAAATTCAGACTCGTTTCCATGATGTTCCCGCAGGTGAGCCGCGTGCTGTTCGTCCTCGTAGTTCCTTTGTCATGCAGCTTGTAGTCATTTCTGCTCCTCCCGCGGCTCTCGTCTGCAAGAAACTTATCATCAGAAGCTCTCCCTCCACCAAGTCCGACGTCCGCGTACCTCCCCGGGTGGTTCTTATGCATTGCAAAAGTATTGATTCTATCGTAGACTACTACAGATCGCATTACAAATTTTCTCACAAAAAAAGTGGAGTTTGTCATGCTGGAAAAGGTAATGACTGATATCTGTCATGCATGATTGCGAATGCGATTACTACGTAGACGTACGAGCACGATAGTACTTTTCTTGCAATGCATAGTTCTTCATCTGCAGCAACTCCTGCAGTCTCGTCTGTTCCCTTTTCTGGAGACAGAAGTACGCGAGGAGAAACAAGATCGTGCAGTAGATCACCATCGTGAGCAGCTCTTCCGTGCCGTACTTTTCGTAAAGGGAGATGTGCTCATGCTCATCGTGTCCTTCTCCATCTTTGTGGGAGGTGGAAGAGTCATGTTGTAAAGGTTGGATGTATGTTTTCTCGTAATGGTAATCATGATCTTCAACATGTTGGTGATCATCGTGCAACCTGAGCTGTGCGCCGTCTGTTCCTTCAACAACGTCTTCTTCCTTTGGAGAGATGGTCATGGTCGCTTCGTCGGTCAAAACGTGTTCTTGTGCTTATTACAATGAAAAATGCCCACACCCCCGAACTTGGGGGCATTTGCATTGCAAACCTTTGCAAATGAAACATTCGCCCTCTTGCATTTATCAGCATCACAGATTTCCAATCGTGAATAGAATAAATTTGTACTGCGCAAGATCCAAGCAAGAGCGGCGCTTGTCATGCAAGCGATGCGTTATACCCCTAGACTGTGCTGCATCAGAAAGATTCATAGTCCTTTCATGCATGGCAAAAAGTTTTCATTTGGAAACTTTGCATCACAAGTTATTGCAACTTTGGGGGTGGGGGTATTTTTCATTGTAATAGTGCTTGGCCGTATTTCTTGAGATTTTTGTTTTGCAGTTCCTGCTTTTTCGTCTGCTCCTCCAGCATCTTCTTGGTGCTGCCCCGGAGGTTCATGTGCGTCGTGGTCGTCTGGTGGTTTGCCATGGGAGGTTTACTAGTTGTGGAGGAGTGTAACACCACCGCTGCAGCTGTTGTTGCTTCTGGCGCAGCATCTTCGTGATCTGCTGGTGATTTTAAAGTACCATCGTCAACATCGAGCGGGACCACAGTTTCAACACTGGCTGTAGCGGCTTTTGCTTTCAGCTTCGACGTGCCGCGGAGGTTGTACTTCTTTGTCGTGCCCTGCTGGTAGTTTTGCTCTACTGCTGCACCTGTTGCTTCAGCCTCAGCTCCAAACACCGCCGGCTCCGTCTCCTTTTCGAACAACGCCTGTGTCACCGTGTCGTACTCAAACTTCGTCCACGTTCTTCTCTCCGCACTCCCGGCCCACCACGTTTCGATCAAGTGTGTACTATCGGCAGACGGGCTTCTTTGGAAGGGGGCGATCGTCCAGTCCTTGAACCATATCCACAGAAAAACAACCATCCCCATCCATTTTTTACATGACAAACACAGGATGGGCTTGATACGTGTTTTGCATGACAAATTGGATGTGGATGGCTGTTTTTTCATGGGTAAACCAGATCAGATTCGTCGCTCCGTCTTTGTACCACTCCACCAAAGGCTTGCTTTCTTGGTCCTTGATGTTGGCGTGGTGTTCATCTCCTTCTTCTTTTCCGCTGTTCCTGCTGTAGTCTTTGCCTTTCTGGTAGTCGACGCCCTTCCGTCCCTTCCCCCGACCGGCGCCTTGTGAGTGGCGACGAGAGGAAGAAGTTGTCGTCCTGCTTATTTCGTCGTCCGCCGAAGAAGCACGAGTCGCCGTACTACTACTAGTGTCTTGTTTCGCAGGCTCTATTTGTGGTTCCTGATTGTGATGTTCAACATTTTTCTGTTGCTGTTCCTGCTGCGGTACTGCTACTGAATTACCGTGTTCTGCGACGCCGTCCTGTAGAAACGACAGAGATTCGACCAACACGTCCAGGTCGCTGTCTTCCAATTCCGGATCGGCTACCTCCTTTCTACTAACCACCGGCGCAATGAGAAATCCGTTCTCGTCTGGAGCTGCACCATCCTGACTCGTTTCATCAGTCCCTGTCCCGGCCGTGTTTGTGACATGTTGACCATCTTCAAAGGTGCTCGAAGTAGATGAGGATGTCGCCAGAAACGACGACGAGGAAGTAGAAGAAGCCTGCTTCAACCCGCCGCCGCCAACACCCGCCAAAACCGCACCGTTTCCCGTGGCATTCAAGTGCAAGGTCGGGTTCTCATCCCCGCTTGTTTTGTGTTGTAACAGGTCCGACAACCACTTCTCTTTCGCGGTTTCCGGGAGCGTGGGGTTCGTGATCGGTTTCCCAACGCCGATTTCAAGTGCTGGGTTAGTATTTTCCGCTGGTGGAAGTGGCTGCTCGTGGTCCCTCGCTGCCTCCGCATCCTGCAAATTTTCCCAGTGTGCTTTATGGAGTTATCAAATGTTACATTTTCAATTGTTACATGAATTTGCAATGCAAGAACGGCAAAAGTCCAAGCAGGGAGGTTGCACCTGTAGCATATACAAATTCCGCACATATTTAGGCGCTGTTTAGGTTCTCCAAAATTTGTCATGCGAGGGAGCTTCAGCTTGTGAGTCTTGATGTTCGTTTTGCATTACAAATCATGTAACAGTTGAGAATGTAACAGTTGAGAACGCCATATGCTTGTCTCGCTGTTTCCAACGCCTTCTGCTGCGCTTTTTCTTTCGCAAGCTGCAGTGCCCGGAGTTGCGATTGCTGAGCCGCGACGCTATTCTGTTCCGCTGCGTCCTGTTGTTCTCTCTGCTGCCGCTGCTGTTGCTGCAGCAAGATGTGCTGCTTCAGTTTTTCCTGCATCACCTGCTGCCTCTCAAGCTCCCGCTGCTGCATTTTTTCCTTGTCGGCGTGGTTCATCTGCATGACAAAGGGATCATCCACAGACGACGAAGGCTGCTGCTGTAGTTCCGATTCGCCCTGTTGTTCGTCCGCGTTAGTGGCCGAAAGTCCGAGGAGTCGTTTTGCTTCAGTAGGCGTCACAGACGAGGAAGATGAAAAAGATTTTGCCTGTTGTAGCTGCTGGAGTTGCTGTGCAGCTTGTAACTTTTCCTCTTGCCCCAACGGGTTTTGCAGCTTTTGCTGCCGCAGCATCTTTTTCAGGTACGTCGTGCTGTAACCGGGGTACTGTTCGTGGAGCGCTTGCAGCTGCTGCTGTTGCTGCGTCGACTGCGCCTGCTGGGCCGCTTCTTGCTTCTGGCCACCGCTTACCAATTTTTCATCTCCGCCACCGAGCCGCTGATCTTTCGGAACGGCGTGTCGGGGCAAAAGCTGTGTGTCGGCCATCGGTGGCGTTTGTGGAAAGTGTTCATCATGATGCCCCAGCTGCGCAGGTGTAGTTTGCGCCGCGTTCACCTCTCCTGTGTGCGCGTGTTCGAACGGCGTCACATGTTGCGCCGAGGCTTGTTGCGCTGCGGCGTCTTTCGCGCGCTTTTGCTCGGCCAGTGCAGCTTTCGCGATGGCTGCCCGCAAAGTGTAAGAGACATCGTCCCCTGGAGCCGTGTTCGTGTCGTCCAGTCCACCACGAGTCGCCACTTTGTTGGAGATGGCAGCTTGTTGCTGCGCAGGGCCGTTTATCAACTGTAAAAATGTCTGGGTCTGGAAGATTGCCAGGTTTGTCATGCAGGTTTCCTATGACTCATGAGGCCTGGAATGCAGCACCTAGCATGACAAACTCTGTGAGATCTCTAGCAGGCCCATCCTGCATGAGAACTTCCCCTTCAACTTGGTAAAAAACGACGGCTGTTGGTACTCACACAACACAGACTTCTTGCATGATTCAGATTTAGCATGACAAGTTCCATCCTCCCAGACCCAGACATTTTTGCATTTGATACCGTTGTGGCTCGGACTCGCGTTCGTAGCCTCGTTGAGCGGGTCGCCGGAGCCAGGCACGGGCTGCAGTTGTGCGGCGGCAGGGTGTCCGAAGGGTTTACTTTGCGGGCCGTGGGCAGCTTGTTGGTTGTGTAGTTGCAGCTGATGTTCCGCTGCAGGCACGGGTTTTAGTTGATCGCCGCCCGGCGCCGAAGATGGCGCACCTCCAGCACCGGCGTTGTTGTTCTCGTCCACTGCCGTTTTATGAATTGCAAAAGTATCGCACCACTCGTACAAATGCATTAATTTTCTCAGCATGAGAAATGAAATTTGTAATGCGGATTTACCTTGGGAAAAAAATTTGTAATGCATGACTGCAATTACTACCAGTACGATACTTTTGCACAGGATACGTTTGAATCTGTTGCAAAATTGCGTCCGCCTCCTGCTGCGCAGCTTTCTCCGCTTCCGCCCGTTCTTTCTCTTCCTGCTCCTGCTGTCGCTTCCATTCTGCCTCTGCTTCTTGCTGTTCCTTTGCGCGCTGCGCTGCTTCGTCCTTCAATTTTTGCAGCTTTTCTTGCTCTATCGAGATTGCAAAAACTACATCGCACACGTGGTAGGTACTGATTGCAGATATGCATGACAAAATCCCTCTCCTAAGGTAAATCAGCATTTAATGCTGATTTAAAAGTTGCATGACAAATTTTTTCAAGTTGAAAAGTGAAATTTCTAATGATTAGAAATTTCACTTTTCAACTTGAAAAAATTTGTGATGCAATTTGCACTAGTTGTACGATATTTGTGATGCAATTTTTGCAATGCATATGTTCCAGTCGATTCTCCTCCCCTACCTTCTTCTCCTTCTGCGCGGCCAGCAACGCCTCCCGCTTGCCCATGGCGGAATTGCGCACCCGCGCCTTGTATCGTGTTAATGCATTACAAATCTTTTTGTTAAGTTCAATCAGCATTACAAATTTTCTTTCTCATGCTGAGGAAATTTGTAATGCATTTATATACCTTGTCTTCTTCCTCTCGTTGGTGGGCGTCCTGTTTTTCCTTTGCGCGAATCCGCTCCTGCGTTTGGCCAGCTTTCCGCTATATCCTGAGTAAAAATGTCCCCACCCCAGAGTTGTCACGCAGAAACGCACGCTCAAAATGTTTCTCATGCGCGCGGGGCTCCATGACCGGCGTTTTTTAGTCGTGTTTTGGAATTTGTAATGCTCCAATCAGCATAGTAGGCTAGATCTGTGATGCTTCTGAACGAGGTAAACAGGATCACAGTACGAGGCCGAACTTGTCATGCGAAACGCCCTAAGCTTGTAGATTTGTCTAGCAGATTTCCCATCTTGACAGTGGGGTGGGAACGTTTTTACTCAGAATACGCTTCTGGTGCAACTTACTCGCTCCGTAAAGCGCCGCGGTTGCGATCCCCGTTTGAATATCAAATGCAAATATGTCTGGGTCAGGGTCTGAAAGGATACAACTTGTGATGCTACTTTTGGAATCTACATAAAATCTGTATTGCATGAACAGCAAAAGAGGTGTAATTTGTGCTACGCGGAGAGAGCATTTCTCATGCGGTATTAGCATCAGAAAGCCCTCGGAAAATCTCTGATGCTAGGGCATGCATCACAGACCTCATGGGTCATGCAAAATCTGCATGACAAACACAAACTCCTGCATTCTTCCAGACCCAGACATTTTTGCAATCCATATTGAACCGCGTGATTTCGCATGTCCGCGTGGTACTGGTCCACGTCGTATCAAGTGTAAAAATGTCTGGGTCTGGAAGATTGCCAGGTTTGTCATGCATATTTTGCATAACCCATGATGTCTGTAATGCCAGGGCAACCATCACAGATTTTTAAGGGGCCTTCTGATGCGTATTCCGCATGAGAAACGCGCGCTCCGCGTAGCACAAACTGAAGTCCTCTTGCTGGTCATACAATACAGATTTTTTTTACCTTCCAAAGACAGCATGACAAGTTGCATTCTTCCAGACCCAGACATTTTTACATTTGATACGTCGTGCTTGTGGAGTTCCTCCGCCTGCTCTTGCACCGCTTTCCAGTCATGCATGTCCATGATACCATATCAAGTGCAAAAGTGTCTGGGTCTGGAAACTTGTGATGCTGAATTACGCATGATTGAAGCGCTTGCAATGGCAGCCAAGCATGACAAATTTTTGAGACGCCTGCTGATGCCTAGCACGCATTACAAATTGCGTTTTTGCATGACAAAGAAAGCCTCTGATGTTTTGCTGCTCATGCAACACAGGTTTTCCGTGAATGCATGACACGCATTACAACTTCTACTTTCCAGACCCAGACATTTTTACACTTGATATGCCATCCTTGCCCGCAAATTTTTCGAACTCGTCTTCTTGGATGTCATTATCGTTGTCCTCGTCGAGCTATCGAATGCAGATATCGATCTGGGTCTGGAAGACTGCCAGGTTTGTGTTGCATATTCTGCATCAGCCACGAAGCCTGTAATGCATGGCCTAGCTGCATCACAGATTTATTTTAGAGGGCTTTGCGATGCCTATTCCGCATGAGAGATACCCTTTCCACGTGGCACAAACTGGCCTCGTCTTACTGGTCATGCAACACAGATTTGCTTAGAATCCAAAGACAGCGTCACAAGTTGGATCCTTCCAGACCCAGACATTTTTGCATTTGGTACGAGCACCCGCCACAGGTCGGAACCGACTTCCGGCCGGAGCCATATGCATTGCAAATATGTCTGGGCCTGGAAGAGTGTAACTTGTCATGCTACATCTGGATCGTGGAAAAATTTGTGTTGCATGATTACCAAAAGGGGTCCACATTTGAACAAGTTTAGAGGCAGTTTCTGATGCAGGAAAGGCATGATAGAGATCTCACAGAACCCGTCAACATGCTAGGCCGTGCATGCCAGACCGCGTGGGTCATGGAAAACCTGCATGACAAACCTACCAACCTTCCAGACCCAGACATTTTTGCATTTGATAAGCCAGCCATACGCACGAAACGCGTGATAGCTGACGGTGCGAGCGTCCGCGTTTCTCAGATTTTGCTCTTTCACGTGGTCAGTGATGCCGTCCTTCTCGTCGATGATCCCATCCTGGTTCACATCCAAATTATCTCGGTACAGACTCGCCTTCTCCAGTTCTTTCGTGTCCAGCATGTGGTCGTGGTCTGTGTCAGCAAGCGCGAGCTCGTTGTCATCCACCTTCCCATATGGATTGCAAATTATATGTCTGGGAATGCTGGAAACTTGGGATGCTAGTTTGTGACCGGTTGGCGCACTCCTGCGATAGGCAGCCACGCATGACAAGTCTTTTGTGCTGTTGTGTGTTCTGTTTTTCGCATGACAGGCTCCTGGGTTTTTGAATGACAGGCAAGAGGCCCTCTTCCTGCTCATGCATTACAGATTTAAGAGGCATACGAGACAAGCATGACAAACTTGCATTTTTCCAGACCCAGACATATTTGCATTTGATATCCCATTCCCGTCCATGTCCAGCTGACCCGTCAGGGGGGATGTCATGCCAGCAGGGCCTTGCTGTATGGGATTCTCAAGCGTTACACTCTCAACTGTTACATGATTTGCCATGCAAAATCACCATGAGCCGCCAGACGATCAAGCTACGACGTCGCATGACAAATCCCCGAAGGGCTAGTCAGCACCTAAATCTGCGCCGAATTTGTGATGCGAGAGTTGCAAGCTTGCCCCTTTCACTGTTGCGGTTCTTGCATCGCAAAGCCATGTAACAGCGGAGAATGTAACGTTTGAGAACGCCATATGCTGCGCCAGGGCCTTGTGGATGTCGTCCATGGACTGTTCGTGGTTCAGAGCATCCAGGATCTTCTCGTTCTTCATGGCCACCACGTCCGTTTTGTCAAACTCCCCGTCGTTGTTGTCGTCGAGCTTGGCCATCATGTCGTCGGCGTCTTTGAGCCCCAGTGCGTTGAATTGGCTGGGCATCAGCTCGGCCTGCCGCAGCTCGTCTTTGTCGACTTTGTCATTGTGGTCCTTGTCCAGAGCCTCAATCGCGTCGATGGCGTCTTGTCGGTTTTGGTGATGCTGCGCTAGCTTTTCGATCTGCTTCAGAAACTCTTTCCGCTCTTCCGGATCCGTCGGAACTTGATCGCGCGCGTCGAACTTCCCGTCGTGATTGGTGTCCAGGATTCCCGTGATGGGTTGGTCGTCTTGGGCGTCTCTGTATCAAAAGGAAAAATCCTCCCTCCCCATATCGAAAACGAAATTTGTGATGCTAAATTTGAGTACACAAATCGACTTGTAATGTTAGAAGGCCAAGAGACGCAGCTGTGGCCTCGTTTACAGGCGATTTGTCATGCTGTTTCCCACTTCCAGCTGCCCCCTGTAATGCTGAAGATGCAAGGCTTTCCCACGCCAACCAGCATTACAGTCCGCATCTTTTCCCTTCTAGCATGACAAAGCTGATTTGTGACCACAAAAAATCTGCTTCACAAATTTCTATTTTGAGTATGGGGTGGGGGGATTTTTCACTTTGATACTCTGCTTAAAATCATCTCCTGCTTGTCTTCGTCGAAATTCTCGAATCGGTCCACCGCTTATCAAATGCAAATGTGTCTGGGTCTGGAAATTTGTGATGCTGGGCGGCGTATCATGAGGAGGCCACAAATGCTGGCCCAGCATGACAAGTTTTTGAGCTTCTAGGTGTTGCCTATTCTGCGTGACAGACTGCGTTTCTGCATGACAGAAAAATGGGCCTCTTGGGTAACATGCATGACAGATTTAAGAGTCATGCCGGACAGGCATGACAAACGTACATTCTTCCAGACCCAGACATAATGCACGACTTGATACCGCTTCAAACCGGTTCTCCATGATCTTCTGCTGTTGTAGGAACTCGCCTTCGTCTATGGAAGTGTCAGAATCGAAATTGACAAAGTTGAAATAATTTGTGATGCATGAAACGGATACCAGTTGGCGCCTAGTTTTCAAGCGGCGCATGACAAATTTGGGTGGAACTGAAATCCAGCTTGTAATGCTGTTTGGGTAAGGAAGACGGCTTTTGTCATGCTACTTTGGCAGCTCAATTTCTACCCCTGAACAGGCTTACAATCTGCATCCCTTGCGTCCTCTGCGATAGAGGCAACTTTTGTGTTGCATTTTATGCATCACAAACTATTTCAACTCTGACGATTTCGATCCTGACGCTTCCGTATCGTCGACCCGACCGTCGTGGTTTGTGTCCACCGCGTCAAAGTCAGCTTTGCTCACCGCACCGTCGCCGTTCGGATATCAACTGCAAATCTTTCTGGGTCTGCAAACTCGTGATGCAAGTCCCTCCGTGAACAATAAGTGCTCTGTAATGAGTGCCGACAAGCATGACAAGTTTTCTCATGCTTCTGTGATGCGTGTTTCGCAGAAGAAACTGCGCTTTTGCATGACAGGCAAGAGGACCTCATCTTGGTGGCAACGCAATACAGAGTTGTGCAGAGTCATGCCAGACTAGAATGACAAATCTTGCAATCTTCCAGACCCAGACATATTTCTTGCAGTTGATATCGTATCAAAGATCGCAACGGGGTAGTCGCCATCGGCATCCCACTATGGAGAGAAAAAAGTTTGTCACAGTCACTAACTTGCAGGCTTTGCATTACAAATTTTCTCAGCATCACAAACTTTCCTTGTATTGCAGAAACACTAGGGAAATACCTAATGAAGTTTGGCTGTGATGCATTTTTACGCATGACAAACAATTTTGTATTGCAAAAATGCGCATGAGTGATCGTGACGAACTTTTTTTCTTTGATACCCACTCGACTCCCTCTACTCCTTCGTTGTTTTCGTGCTGCGCATATGGATTGCAAATATGTCTGGGTCTGGAAGATTGCAACTTGTAATGCTATCTTTGGATTCCAAAAAAATCTGTATTGCATGTTGACCAGCAACACCAACAGGACTCCAGTTTGTGTTACGCGGAGAGGGCATTTCTCATGCGGAATAGGTGGCAATAGGAAGCCCTCTAAAAATCTGTGTTGCTAGATCATGCATTAGAGGCATCAATCATCATACAAAATATGCATGACAAGTCTGCATTCTTCCTGACCCAGACATTTTTGCATTTGATAGTGCAGAAAGAAAAGAATCGTAAAAGGTGTCCCAGGCTGAGTGCAGCCCATCGGGGTCCAGCGGATCTTCGGAAAGCTTCTCCTTCATAGCAATTCCGGAAAAAGCTTCCGCGGCCATCTTCTTCCCCTCTTCGGTCTGGTCGTCCGGCTGGAACGGGTCCAAATGCGACAGCAGATCGGGTACATGAATGTGTTCAAACGGATTTGGAATCCAACGTTTTTTACCCCTCGTCTCTACGCTCGTCTTCTGCACCAAAGACGACCCGCTTCTACTTCTATCACCCGAGCTTGGAGGAAGCAGCTGCTGCGCTCGATGTGTTGATGTGCTGACTACATCTGGTTGTTGTACAGGCCGAGCGCCGTGGATACTGGCATACCGTATTTTTTCATTTCTCGCATTTTTACTATCACGACTCCCTCGTTCACCTCCCACGTCGATGTGGCGAAAATCATCCGTGTCAAGAAAATCCTCTTTCTCATCGTTCCCGACCACTACCGCGAAGCAGAGTTTGGACAAAAAGGTGTTGGAGAGGACAAGCAGCACGAGAAGAGCCCCCGTAACTGTGCAAGATGAACCGCTAGTACGAGGACTTGAAGTAGCGCAGGGTAATTTATTGGGTGATGTCGCAGCTGTCGTACTCCTGCGACTGTAAAATGCAAAAATGTCTGGGTCTGGAATGTTGCCGGGTTTGGCATGCAGATTTTGCATGACCCAGCATGTCTGTAATGCATGACCTAGCATCACAGACTTTTAGAGGGCTTCCGGATGCCTAATCCGCATGACAAATGCCCTCCCCGCGTAGCACAAACCAGACTCCTCTTGCTGATCACGCAATGCAGTTTTTTTTTGGAGTCCAGAGTTAGCATCACAAGCTCCAACCTTCCAGACCCAGACACTTTTGCATTTGATAGCGACAGGGCCGTGCCTGGTCATGATGAACATGATCAGGCGGGTCGCCATCGTGTTTAAGAAGAAGCTCCTCCTATCAAAGTGAAAAATGCCCCCACCCCCGAACTTGGGAGAATTTGTATTGCAAACCTTTCCAAATGAAACATTCGCCCTCTTGCATCTACCAGCATCACAGGTTTCCAATCGTGAATGGCAAAAGTTTGTATTGCAAAAGACCCCAGCCAGAGCGGCGCCTGTCATGCAAGCGATGCGATCCTTGCCTAGACTCTGCATCAGAAAGATTCATACTCCTTTCATGCATTTCATTTGGAAACTGCGCATCACAAATATTTGCAATTTCAGGGGTGGGGGGCACTTTTCACTGTAATACCTCCATCTTACGCATAGGTCGTGAAGACCACTCGGTTTATGTTTAAGACATCTTCTTGTTAAAATTAATCCGGATGTTGTCCTTGAAAGATGAAGTCGAAGTGACCATAAAATCATTCGTCTCGATCCTACGTTTCGGTGATCTTGAGCATGAGAACGACTGAAAGCAGAAGAAATTCTTCTCCTTCTCCTCATCCGATGACTGTAGAACAACTTCACTAAACTCTCTCTCTTTCTCTCTCGACGAGTCTTGTACAACTGTGTCACCTGATCCACGACAGGCGCGAATAAAAAGAACGCTCTTGTTTCTCACAATCTCTCAACGCGAATCAAGTCAATGTATTTCGGTGGTAGAGGATGCATCCGCATCTCGATGAACACACAAATTCAGATTGAAATTCCACCTGCAGAGAAAAAAATCATCAGCCGGCAGAGAAAAAAATCATCAGCAGAGAAAAAATCAGCGCTATGGCAAGGAGCGCTTCATCGTCGCCGTTTGGTATTGCTTCCGTCTCCATCAAAACTTTTGGCGGGCATGCATTTTTACAGAAATAAAAATCGCCGATTCTGTCTCTGTCACCAGTGTTGCGTCAAGCGACGTAAATTTCCCGGGGACAGCAGAAAAACAATTCTTTGCGCGTCTTGGTCTTCTTGTTCAATATGTGCGTTTATTACAACCATATACCGCTCTAAATGGATCAAATTATTCGTGTTTCTGTTCAAAACGTCAAGATCAAGAAACAGCAATAAGAATAACGAAAGTAGCAAAAAAAAATAAAATAAGAAACACGAAATCAAAGCTGAAACAGATTCCGTCGTCCCATGTTCAAATCCGATGAAATTATCCCTACACGAGGACACTTGTTCTCGTCATCACTATCACAGCTACTTAATTATATCATCTCCTTCTCCACCACTACATCCTCGGAATCGGTCTCTGGTTCAGGAACAATTCGAGCAATTTCAAATTTTCATTGTTCGTCCAATTGTCCCTGTTCAGCATCCCGTTATTTCCTCTTAAGATCACCGCTTCGGCAAGTAAATACAGCTCCTCGTTGTAGCACTTCACAAAAGTGTCCTCCTCCACCACCGTTTTGAAGTGTCTCGTCGGATCAATCACCAGCGTCATGAACACCTTGTCCTGGTAACTACTCAAAATGACTTGCGGCTGTATGTTGTAGAAGTAGACGAAAATCCCCTTCACCTTGATCCCGTCCGCGACTACCAAGGAGCGAAACGCGGGGTTATCTTTCGTGGAATCGGTTTGCGGGAATAACGTTGTAGTTGATGGGTTTATTGTTGTGCCGCTTCCACCAGTCGTCTTCACGGGCACCACATATCCGGGCACGTTGGAGAAAACCAGCCCGTGTCGTAGAAAAATGTCCCCGACCTGCTGGGCGGTTTGCTTCGCGGGCAAAAGTCGGCTGGTCACTTGAGTCAGGAAAAGGGAGACGAAGCCAACCAGGCTGGTTTTAAACTGATTCATGATTTTCTGCGTGAAAAAAACGCGGTTGACCGCTTTGGTGGGTTCAGGTCGTGATAGGGAGGTTGATGCAGATGTGGCCGTGTCTTGGATAATGGGCAAAGTGTCAGCAGCAGCTGTTCTTGCGCCGCCCGGAGACAAATTGCTAGAGGCTTCTGTCCGCGCTTCTGGATTCGTGATTTCGTGGACTGCGAGCGGGGTACTGAGAAAGGTGAAGTTGTTCAGCAACTGGTCTTGTGGATCCTTCCTGTTCTTCACCGGTAAGGCGCAGGGGATCAACGCTTGAAAGGTGGCCTGACGATAAAGTTTTTCTTGTCATGCTGTGACAGATGATGGCGAAGCGTGCTGGCTTATATTTTAACATCTGTATCTATGAGTGTGGCTGCATCACAAATTTTCTCAGGCTCTCCACAAACACATGATGGAACCATCAATTTATCATCAATACCTTTTCCCGCATTCCTCCCAGAAAATTCTCGTCCCGCTTGACCTCCCCACAAAAACGCCCAATGGCGCCCGCAAAACAGCTCATCAAAACATCGTTCACCGTGACCTTCAACTCGGTTTTCAACGCTTTTACCACTTCGAAAGGAATCACCGGAAAAAACACCACCTTCCGCGGGCCGTATCTCATGTTCTCCACGAAGGAACTGTCTTTCCGGACCGGATAGAAGGAGGAAAACGTAGATAGCGGTCGGATTGGCAAATACGCCGTCGCGGCAATGGAGCGGAATACGTCGAAGATGAGCCAGAAAACGAAGCCGATCAGCTTCAAAATCGGAAGGAAAATCAAGTCGATGAGGAGGATGAAGCGGAAAAACCGGAAGCAGAAATTTTGCTTCGACGCAGCCTCCGTTTTACTATTATTTCTCCCGCCACCGCGACTGGATTTGAACTTCGCTTCCGCGGCTTGCAAAATATCACACCTTTCGTTCAGGTCATTCTTGAAAAAATCCAAGATTTTCATGCCGTTCACCCCGTCAGTCACGGCGTGGTGCATGCGGACGACTAAACAGGTGGTGCAGAATTTCCTATCCTTTGCGGGAGAAGATGATCGCTTTCCGTTTTGTTTCAGTCTGACCACATACGCTTTCCACAGCGGTTTTGTCACATCTAAATCTTTATGCACTGCAAATGTGTCTGGCTTGTTATACGGCATAACAGCATGAGAAGTTTTTTGCGGCTTGTGCATATTCATTCATGAAACGCATGACAGAATCGCTTCCAGCACGAGAAAAATAAACGTGCTCATTCCTATGCATGCATTACCGATCATGTTGGCCTTCAAACTTCGCATCACAAATCCAGACCCAGACATATTTGCAATGGATAATCTTCGTGGTCCAGTACGCTGGTGATTTTCTGCTCAATTGCCGGGTGCATCGTGTACTCGCTTGGCACTACGGCAGGGTTGGTTGCACTAATACTACTAGTACTTTCCTCCACCTCGACAAACCGCATATGATAAGTCCAGTCCATACCACTTTTCCCCACCGCCAGTGTCTCCATCTTCCACTTCCCCGTTTCTACATCCGGCACCGTCCGCAGCCGCGCGTGTTTGCTCGCAACCGTTTCCCAAAAGAAATCTGCCATCGCTTCGGTCAAGAGCTTGTTGGTTTGTTGTGGTTCTTGCGAAGATGCAGGAGTTCTTGTACCGTACTTCGCCACTACATCCTCCTCATCCAACAAAAATACCGCATTGGGGGTAATCGCGTATTTCGGGTAATTCAATTCCGCTGGGTATTGCTCGTTCCGCAGCATACCTAGTTCCACTGGCGACATGGGGGAAAGTCTCAATACCGAAGCTCCTTGCGCACCCCCGGTTCTTCGTGCGGTAGTCGCGGAGGATGAGGACCCCGCTTGGATCTCTATCGGTACGCCCCTGCTGGTGATTCTGGAGCTTTCGTCCGCAACCAGAGGCTCGGCCATGGTGGCGAGCTCTACCATCTCGTATTCTTGGGCGTCTTCTTTGGAGGATCCTGCAGTGCTATGCATTGCAAAAGCGTAATTTCGTACTCGTACGTAATTGCAGTGATGCATGGCAAATCCTCTATCTTAGGTATAAATCAACATCACAAATTTCATTTTTCTTCTTGGCAAAACTTGTCATGCAGTTTGTAGCTAGTATCCGATGCTTTTGCAATGCATAAGCGCCATCTGCGAGCGAAGTGTTGTTCATGGCGCTGTTGGCTCGGCGGCGGGGTTGTAACAGGTCTTGATCGCCGGAATTTTTCATCGAGGAAGAGAACATGGCCGCGGAGATCTTGAAGTAGAATTAGACTCGTGCGCTTTCAATTACCCGGCGCAGCGAGTAGTGTATAAATCGTCTGTCGTATTGACAACAACTCACAATCTGAATTTAATCAAATTGCTGCGATTTCCTAGAACATATGTGGTAGCGGTAGGCGTAGGGGTGTATAATCATCTTGGAATGGAGCTGGACAGGGACATCCTCTAACTAATTTTCAACACACTTGTGGAAACCATAAACTTCTCTCATCTTCGGATATTTTCTTGATCCAGTTCTTTCGCCAGCCGACGAAACTCTCGTCGCACGGTGGGAGTGTCAGTACTTTGTAGATCATGAGCTTTTCAACTCATCGTCGGCCACTCACCCGCTTCCGCTCAAAAAAATATGTTGGCTCTCTCAAAAGATGCTTGCAATTTGCTGTAATTTCTTCCATCTCGTCCTGGGACTGGTTCCTTCTCTAGAGTCTCTACTTACATGACCCCCAGGGAGCAGGACACGAACTGCTCTCGCTCTCGGCAGAGATGATCTTTAGATAGTGCAACTCGTCGGCATCTTCGTAGTAGAAATTCACTCTGGCCCCGTGCAGAATTCTCGATGCGCTGCAAATCATCCATACGTAAGACTGGTGCTGCGCATTACTTAATTCTTTTTCTTGTTGCACCTAAAACGCCCCGCAAAAAAAAATCCTCTCACTTGTATTCGAAAACAGATTTCGCTCAGCTGGGCTTCATCTGAGTTTTTCCGTACTGAAGATGAAGAAGAACACATCTTCGGGGCTACACTGCCATCCAGCAGTGAGGTACTATCATCCTCACAGCTGCTACGAAGTTTTTGCATCCCGATGAAGGAAAAATGCGTGTTTCGTAGCAGAGGATCATCTGTTTTTAGTGGTACTATACAGTTTCATTTTACAAAGCGAAACGATCCGTTTTGTCTTTGTACAACTTGCTTTATTTTGGGTTCATTCGGCGTTTTTTAGGTGTACAAATACATAGTGAAACGCAACGCTATTGATCTCCACAAAAGTTACAGTCTGCATTGAGAGAGCGGCTCATGCTATCGAAAGTCAGCAAAGCTTCTCTAGGTCAGGTTGAGTTGTTAAATTCTAAAATCGAAATTGGCTGGTATGCGATACTTACAATGCTGGGTACCATATTACATTTAGCGCCACTGCCCGCTTTTTGCTCTTGGTCATACTCTCTGAATTCTGTATTCCTAAGTGTAAATAAAAGTCAAGTAAATGCTAGATGATATTCGCTAATTTTCCTTTTGCTTCTTCGAAAAGTCATGCGGTGATACTGTAGTAGTCTTTGTCTTTTAATATTCCGTAATTGAAAAAATGCAGTAGAAGTTGAAGTCATCATACATTGGCATAGTGGGAATTGGTGCTCTCCGGCACTTCTTCCCCCGAGTCAGAATCTTCTGAGTCGTAGGCCCACTCTTTTCCCTTCTTGACGAAAGATGAACCTTTCGCATTCGTAGACTTCATCGGGTTTCTTGTTGTACTTGAGCAGTTCATTTGCTGTTGCTTTTTCCTCTTGCTGAGGCCCGACATGTTGTTTGTGTTGCTCTCAGAAGTTTCCTCCTCGTAGGTGGATTCGTCATAGGGTTCGTCGTAGCTGCTTCCTGGTGGTATGATCACACGACCACTGTACCGGCGGCCTTTACTCCTCGTCCGTTTCCTACTCGTCGCAGTTGTTCTAGTACCGTGATGAAATAAACGATGATCTTCTGCCCGCTCTCCTACTTGAATCGGTTTCTTCCGCCTGCGAAAGTAGATGAAGCCCAGGACGAGAACTGTTGTTAACAGGCAAATCATGGTCACGAAGTTGTAGTAGAGTTCCTCTGCTGGTGCTGCACTGAGGTTGGTCGTAGCAGTACTTCTGCTGTTCATCTCATCTCCACTATCCAGCCGACCCTTGTCATTTCTCCCGTGCCGGCCATTCTTCATCTTCTTCCCACGAGCGTTATCCCGTCCGAACCAGTTAGCCAGATCGGACGTAGAGATCTTGAAACGCGATGACCTCCTGCGGAAGGCGGATTTATTTCGCCGCGAGCTGACCCGCGTGTCGTTGCCGTCATCTTCCACATCGTGATGTTGAACTACTGCAAGTGGGCCGCGGGTCTCTTGTAGTTTCTGATGCTGGTTTATTTCGTGGCCGCTTTTTTTGTTCTTCACCCTGGTCGCCGTCGTGGTCCCCGCATGTTGATCTTCTTTCATCTCAGCCGGTACCGTTTTTCTTTTAGACGCTGCTTTGCTCCTGCTCTCCTGCTGCGCTCCCTTGTTCGTCCTCGCCGCCCCGCGAAGAGATGTTTTACGCCGTTCCTGCTGCCTCTGCGTGGTGATCATCTGCTTCGGGCGGTGCTCTTGGTCGTGCACCTGATCATCTCCTTCTTCCAGAGACTTGTTCTCGTCCCGTTCTCCATCGTGGTCCTTATCTTCGAGTGTGTAAAACATGATGGGTTCGTCCACCAACTCGACAGTGCTGCTCGCCGCCGCAGAAGACGAAGAGGAGCTAGAGGATTTTGATGACGCCGCACCACGACTACTTCTTTGCTTGCTCGTCAGTTTGGCTCTACTGCGCGCAACATCCTCGATATCCAACAAGGAAAGAAGTGTTACAGTTACACATTTGTTGGAGTTTCTGCATCACAAATTTTCTCTTTGTGACACTAATGCAAAGATCATAAGACAACGAAAATACGTAGGAAAGCATTTCTTGCATGACAAAGGTGGTCTGTCTTGCGGCTCCTGCAACACAGTGTGTAACTGTATCACTTTTTTCTTGCCATACTCGACCTTCGTTCTCACTTTCATCCCGGTCTGCTTCTCCCACACTTCGCGGGAGTAGGTCCTGTAGTATGAGAGTGCACAACTCCCCCTCCCCGTCATTTGTCATGCAAAACACCAAATCCACCCTTTGCCCCTTGGCACCTTTTGCATGACAGGTTCTGGTAGATCAAACAGCACTATAATCCTGGTTAAATTTGTCATGGAAATAAACCCGCATTCTTGTCGACGCTTGTATTGCTGCTCATGCAATACCGATGAGGGGAGGGGGATTTGTGCAGTTTCATATGTAGGTGGTGCTCTGCATCACGTAGTCCAAGTCGTCTGGCGCGTCAGACTATGGATTGCAAAAATGTCTGGGTCTGGAAGAGTGAATGTTTGTCATGCTTGTCTGGCATGACTCTTACATCTGTCATGCACGTTACCCAAGGGCCACATTTGTCTGTCATGCAGAAACAAACGCAGTTTGTCATGCAGAATAGGCAATACCTAGAAGCTCAGAAACTTGTCATGCTGGGCCAGCACTTGTGGCCTCCTCATGATACGCCAGCCAGCATCACAAGTTTCCAGACCCAGACATTTTTACAATCCATACAGACTCTGTCGTCAAACTCGGCTTCGCAGCTGTCCATGCCCGCGGCGGCTTTTCGACGATTTTCGTAAACTCATCCGATTTCGCTTTTCGCTTCATTTTATGCACTGCAAAAACGTCCGGGTCTGGCAGGATGAAACTTGTCATATGTCATGCTGTCTTTGGAATCTAGAAAAATCTGTATTGCGTAAGCAGCACGATGAGACCAGTTTTTGCTACGTGGACGATGGGCGCATTTGTCATGCGGTGTAGGCATCAGGAACAAGCCCTCACGAAATATGTGATGCTAGCGCATACATCACAGACATCGTGGATCATGCAAAATGTGCACGACAAGTCCTCCAATCTTCCAGACCCAGACACATTTCCATTTGATACATTTCCTGCCGTATTTCCGTGGTGAGGTCGTTGCGCTTGCCTGCTTTTTTGTCTTTTTCCGCCTGCTCCAGCCGCTTTTTTAACTTGTACTGCATTTGCTTGCTCAGCCTTTGTCGAATTTCCTCCTCCTTCTGATACTGTTTGATTTCTGCCATGACCTTCTGCCGCAGTTCCTCCCGCTCTTCCGCTTCGCGCTTGTCCTTTTTTCGCTGCTGTTCCGCTTCCTGCGCCTTCTTTGCCCGCTCCCGCGCCTTCTTCGCGGCTTTCAAAGCAGCTTGCTTTTCCTTCTCCGCCCGGCGAATTTCCTTTTCTTTTTCCTTCTCCCGCTTCTGCCGCTGATTTTCTTTTTCTCGCGCCTGTTCCTTGTATCCTGTGCAAAAGCATCTTCGCAGTGTTACTTCTACTCGCACTCATGCAAGATAAATCTTCTTCTCAAACAAGCTAAAGCAGCATGACAAACTTCATTTGTCATGCTGAGCTAATTTGTATTGCAATAACCAGAAAGAACAAGTTGCACGATGCTTTTGCACAGGCTACCTCCTGCTCCGCTGCGAGTCGCGCTTGTTCTTCCATGCGTTGTGCCCGCGCTACTTCTATCAAATGCAAAAATCCCTGGACGTCAGGAAGAGTGTAGACTTGTCATGCAGATTTTCCATGACCCATGAGGTCTGGAATGCGGGACTTAGCATGACAGACATTCTGTGAGATCCCTATCATGCCGATTCTGCATGAGAAACTCTGTTCCAACTTGGTCAAAAGCGGACAGCTTTTGGCACTCAGGCAACACAGATTTTTGCGTGCTTCAGATTTACCATGACAAGTTGCAATCTTCCAGACATCCAGGGATATTCGCAATGCATAACTTCGGCCGCGTTCACCTCCGGGGCGGTTTCTTCTTCGTCTACCCTGAGTAAAAATGTCCCCACACCAGAGTCAAGAAGGGAAATCCGCTAGACAAATCAGTCACAGCTGGTTGCATCGCATGACAAGTTTATCCTCGTAGTGTAACCCCGTTTAGCTAGTTTCGAAGCATCACAGATGTAGCACATCATGCTGATTCTAGCATCACAAATTGAACACAACAAGATTAGAAAACGGTCCTCATGGGGCTCCGCATGAGAAACTTTTTTGGCATGCAGATTTGCACGACAACTCTGGGGTGGGGACATTTTTACTCAGGATATCGTCTTCTTGTGGTTCCAGCTCCTGTGCCGGCGGTTGGGGTTGCAGACCCTCGTCTTGCTCGGGTTCTTCTTCTTCTGCCTCTGACGCCTCTTCCTTTTCCGCAGGGGCGGGCGGCTCTTCGTCTTCTTTTGGTTCTGCCTCGTCGGCGGGGGCTCCGCCAGCGGCGGCTTCCTCGGGTTCTTGTTCTTCTGCGGACTCCTCGCCTTCGCCCGCCTCCTCGGCAGCTGGTGCACCCTGCTCTGCTTTGCTTGCTTCCGCATGCTCCTCTTCTGGTTGTTCGCCCTGCTCCTGTATGCAACAAGGAGCGGACAGCACCATGCAACGTCCGCATGACAAATCCACGGCACTCGCACTCGGACCTACTTCGCACTATTCTCATTGCTACCTCCTGAATCAATGAATTGTCACATGCAAATACTGCTACATCAAGAACAAGACAGAGATCATACTTACTATGCCGCACCACCGTGCGTCCGAAGTGAGGTGACTAAGTTGGAGCAGCTACACGGGAACTACCCGTCCACTACCATATCTTCTTCGGCATCTTCGTCGTGTTGACCCTCCTTGCCCTCGGGTGCAGCTTCCTCCTCAGCTTCTTTGCCCTCGGCCCCTGTGGTTTCTTCGTCACCTTTGCCGCCTTCTGCACTGCCCTCCTCGACGGCCTCGCCTCCCCCTGCCTCGGCCTGCTCACGGTCGTCTTCCGCTTGTTTCTCTGCAGATGTTGTAGCCTCCTCTATGCAAGAAAAAAACTGTGTAAGTGTAAGTTTCTTGGAGGAATAGCATCACAAGTTTGCTCTGCATCGCACAGAAAACCTGTCATGCGTAGCTAGTACTTGAAAACACGTACGAAAATGGCCTCTGCTCCATAACCAGCATGACAAGTGTATACAGTTTTGCATTTTCTGCATCACAAAGTTACACATAGACAGTTTTTTTGTTGGATATCCTCTTCCTTCTCTTCACTACCCTCGGGACTGGTCTCCTGCTGTTCTGTTGCTGGCTTCTCGCCCTCCTTTATGCATTGCAAATATGTCTGGGTCTGGAAGAATGCGTACTTGTGATGCATGTTGCGAATCATACAAAAATCTGTGTTGCGTGACTTGCAAACGGTGCTCATTTCTGGTCATGCTGAGAGGGCATTTCTCATGCAGAACAGGCATCACGACAAAGAGGCTGCGCGTCCTGTGATGCTGGGCCCTGCGTCCCAGACTTGGCTGAGCTTGGAAAAACTGCATGACAAATCTCAGAATCTTCCAGACCCAGACACATTTGCGTTTCATATCCTTCTCAGTGGTCTCGGGGCTGGTCTCCTGCTGTTCTGTTGCTGGTTTCTCGTCCTCCCTCTCAGTGGTCTCGGGGCTAGCCTCCTGGTCTGCTTTATGCATTGCAAATATGTCTGGGTCTGGAAAGGTTGAGCCTGTATATATTGCGTGTATCGCCTTCCTAGAAAATCTGTATTGCACAAAGCACCAAAAGCAGCACCACATTTTCGTCATGCAAAATCGCAGTCTGTAATGCGTGCTGCGCATGAGAAAGCGCTTGAAAAATTGTCATGCTGCCCTGCGCTTCAAGGCGCGCCCAAACTTGACCATTCAGCATTACAAGTTTCCAGACCCAGACATATTTGCATTTGATATGCTTGCTTTTTACCTGATTCGCCCTCACCTTCCTTCTTCTGGTCCTTCTTTTTTCCGCCCCTTGTTGCCGCTGCTTATGGGTTTTTTCCACAACTCCCCCTCCCCCTCATTTAGATGGCATCCACAGCAACACAAGCTCTGGCAGAGATGCAGCTTGTGCATGACACACTGACATCAACCAAAAATTCTACGTGCTCTTTCAGCATCCGGATCTGCCATGCAAGTAGTGCTAAGAGGCTGCGGCCAACGGGTAGTAGACTTGGTATTTTGCCTGGAAAAAGAGGGGCGCGGGGGTTCTTGTACTTTCACTCCCATACGAGTCCAGCGGCGCCAACAAGCGCGGCAGCTCCCGCCGCTGCGCCTATTTCCCTTTTGTGGGCTTGCAGCTCTTCCAGGATACCTCCTCCATCCTCGCTTGCTATCAGTTTGTCTACGCTGTCCAACGCTTTTGTCTTTTCGTCGCCTCCGAGGTCGTTTGTCAGCACGATATCAGAAGGACAGAAAGCGCCGCCCCCAGTAGCAGTACTACCCCACAACCTGGTCGTGCGCCAAGCGTTTTCCCCACAATCTGAGATAGAACAAGGCGTTCAGTTTCTTAAGCGGATACAAACTTCATGCATCACAAGCAACTTCTCCTTGAGCTTCGTAAGCCAACTTCCGGTGGAGGTGCGCGCTCTTCCTTTTGATATGCGATGTCTGCTTGCTATTGAAGCGAAAAACTCCCCCTCCCCATATCGAAAAGGCATGTTTCCGAAGATTTGTGTTGCTGATTTGAGGTCACAAATCACGTTTGTCTTGCAAGACGACAAGGGCAAAAGCTTCGCCCCCATTATGGAAGCGATTTGCCATGCTGCTGGGCCTAAAGGGCAGCCGTTTGCCATGCTGAGCAACTAGATCGATACGCCCCTACATAGCCTGGGGATCTGACTGCAATGCCTTCCTGCAATACACAACGATTTGTGTACTCAAATACAGCAACACAAATTTCGTTTTTGATATGGGGAGGGGGGATTTTTCCTTTTGATACTTGCGAAATCTTCCCATCATGATCCGTGTCGAGCTGTCGATGTCGTTCGTAATTTTCTCATTTGTACTTCTTCCGTTGCTCATTGTGTAGGTAGTTTCTGCATGACAAACACAAATACCAATGGTACGTCTGCATGACAAATAATTTCACGAGAAAGCTACACTTTAAACTAGCACGACTACCTTTCCCAGTGTGTCCTCCTGGTCGGCCGGAATCTCGACTTCGTGCGTATGCATTGCAAAAGTATCGCGCTCGTAGTAATTCTTGCAATCACGCACTACAAATCTTTTTCTTAAGGTCTAAAAATTATATTTCTCATGCTAAGGAAATTCAAATTTGTAATGCATTTATACGAGTACGATACTTTAACTTTTGCAATGCATACTGCGTTGCATGGTCCAATTCGTCCTGGGTGAGTACCCCGTCTTTGTCCCCGTATGCATTGCAAATGTGTCTGAGTCTGGGTCGTCCTTTGGGAGATTGAAGATTGCAAAACTATCACGCTTGTGTTTGTCATGGATGGGAGTGCCCGAAAAGCTTTGCACCCCTGTCCGAAGCCAAAACGAGCTTCGTCATTCGGGATACGAAAGGCGTGGCCCTTTAAAGGCTTCTCGACGTCAAGCATATTTGGCTGTACTTGTACTACCCGTAATTATTGCAGGAGCGTGCTCGTCGCTCGCTCGCTCATCCTTCGCGAGCCTGCATCACAACTCTCGAACAGACTACAGACAAATTTGCATTTGCTACCCCGAGTTCTTCACCCACTTCGTTGAACTGTTCCTCCGTCAGGGGCTCTTCTATATGCACTGAAAAAGTATCGCACTTAGTATGTTTTGCTTACAAATTTTAGTTTTCCCAAGGAAAAAAATGTTGCAATTTGTCATGCTATTTCAGGTAGAAAGTGGGATTTGTCATGCATGTCTGCAATTAGTACGAGTACGATACTTTTGCACTGGATATTCTGGTGCTGGGGGCGATTCGAGGGCATCCGGAATGGCTTCCTCCAGTTCTCTTGCCCGCTCGGCGTCGATCGGGCCCTTGTCATCATCTTCCGCTGCCGCTACTTCTATGGGGTTCTCAAGCGTTACATTCTCAACTGTTACATGATTTGTCATGCGAAATGACCATGACCCGCCAGACGATCAAGCTGCTTCGCATGACAAATTCCCGGAGGGCTAAATAGCACTGTCATCCGCACCAAACCTGTAATGCAAGACGCGCAAGGTTCTGCCTCTCACCTGTGCTAGTCTTGCATTACAAATTCATGCAACAGTTGAGAATGTAACGTTTGAGAACGCCATAACTTCAGCCTCCGAGATGGAACCGTCGCCGTCGGCATCGAGGAGCTTGACTTGCTCGTGGGAGAGTTTTATCCTGTGCAAAAATATCGTATTCGTTGTAATTGCATTATTCATTACAAATTTCTTTCTCGAGGTGAATCAGCATTACAAATTCAATTTCTAATGCTGGGCTAATTTGTGTACGATGGTGCTTTTGCATTGCATAAGTTCTTGGTCAATGACCAAAAATGCTGTTTTAGCGGAAGATTCCTGCGCCGCGTCCACGTCTTCTGGCGCCAGTTTTCCTTCGTGGTCTTCGGCTGGGTATAAATTGCAAGAGCAGTAGCGTAGTACTAGTAGCATAAATTGCACGACAAATTTGATTGCTTGAAATTGCATGCTGAATTTGTAATGCTGGTTTATCTATAAAAGCATATACATTTGTCATGCGTGATTGCAATTCATTAGTACGCGCACCGTTACTTGTATTGCGCAGCATACTAGGGCGTTGAATTGTTCCTCCGACACGGGGTGGTCGTCGGCATCGTGCCTATGCAAGAAAAAAACTGCGTAAATGTAAATCTGTGATGCAGAAATTGCAAAACAGTTACACTTGTCATGCTGGAAGTGCGTCATAGCCGTGTTTCATACGTGTTTTCACATACTAGATGCGCATGACAGCTTTTTTCTGTAATGCGAAGCGAATTTGTGATGCTGCTCTTCCTACAAAGATACACTTACACAGTTTTTTTCCTGGATAATGCCCGGGCTGTGTGTATTTTTGTAAACAAAATGTAGTAGTTCTACTTTCATCTCATCTTCACTTCGATCTTCCACACCATCTTTCTGGAACGAATGTATGCCAAAATACTTCGTTCTCCCACGTTTCCTTGTAGTGTTCGTAGTCTCCTTCCTCCCCGTATGAAACTGGACAACTTTCCTCCTCCCCGTTGTCTGTCATGCAAAAACAAAAGGCAAGGCTAATCCTTATCTGCTGGGCCTGGTTTGTTCCCTAGCCATGTTCGCATGACCACACGTTCCGCGAAAATGCATCGAGCTTCAACTACGCTACAGTCTGGGCGGCGCGGATCTTTTTTTTCTAATACAGAGGCTACTTCTGTAAATTTCTGTAGAAGAGCATGATCATGCGCAGCATCTTTACGGTGGGGGGGATAGGACGGGGAGTACTAGAAGCTCTTGTCCACTTGCGTATCGCGAGCGCTTCCTTCTGTTCATTGTACTCGTTCACGTCTACGTCGTGTTCCTTTTCAGCTTTCTTTTGATACTCCTCGTAGGTGACCGGGGCCTCGGTGGTCGTGGTCGTCGCTTCTTCTGCTTCTTCTGCTTCTTCTTCCTCTTTTCCCTCCTTCTCGGCGGCTTCCTCCTGCTCGGCCTTTGCATCCTCGCCTTCCTCTGGATTGCCGTCCTGGCCAGCAGTGCGTTCTTCAGTCTCCGTCCCGGCTTTGTCCGCAGCGTTAGCATCCTCGTCGTCGTGCTCAGCCTCCCGTTCTTCGTCTGCCCCTGTCTCGCCAGCTTCCGCTGCCTCGTCCTGCGTTGCCTCTCCGCCCCTGTGTTCAGCTTCAGCCTCTGCATCTGCATCTGCTGCTTCCGTAGGCGGATGGAGGTGTTCCGGGTTGCTCTCGTGTTCGTATCCGTGGGCCTCCGCCCACTCGTGCTGGTCCATGTGCTTATCCTCGCCGAGATGCTGATTAAAATCGGCCTCTGAGAGCTCGTGTTCCTTCTCCCAGTCGCCGAGGTCACCGCTCTGTGCGTGGTCGTGGTACTCCTCATAATTCCACCCGTCTTCGCCCCAGTCTGCGTCCGCCGCCTCGTCCGGGTAGTGATTATAGGCTTCCGTGTACGATATTAAAGTGAGAAATGCCCCCACCCCAGAACTTGGCAGCATTTGCATTGCAAATCTTTCCAATGGTGGAAACATTCCCCTTCTTGCATGTACCAGCATCACAAATTTATTCCCATGCTGAATAGCTCAAATTTGGGTTAGTACAAAGGAGCCCGACAGCAGGCGCATCTGTTATGCAAAAGATACATTGCGCACCCAGATTCCGCATCAAAAAGCAGGCTCGCAGTCCTATCATGCAAAACAAAAAACTCTCCTTTGAAAACCTTATGTATGAGAAACTTCTGCCAATTCCGGGGTGGGGGCATTTTTCATGGTAATATACGACAGATGACCATCATCGCCGGCGGCTTCGTTCCACTCCTCGTGCGTCATTTCGCCACCCGCGTCGTGGTAGCCGTCCCAGGTGTATCAACTGCAAATATGTCTACTGGGTCTGGAAGGTTGCAACTTGTCATGCGAAGTCGCGACCACAAAAATATCTGTGTTGCGTGAACCCCCAAATTTGCCAACTTCTTGGTAGGCAAAAGCCCGACTTCTCATGCGGAACAGGCATGAGGAACGTTGCGCAAAATCTGTGATGCTTCTGTGTGCATTCCAGACCATGTGGGGTCTCCGCGAGATGCGTGACAAATCTTGCCCTCTTCCAGACCCAGACATATTTGCAATGCATAAGGTGCCTCCTTCGTAATCTGGATCCGTGCTTACGTGTTCCCACTCGTCCGCGCTGATTGTGTTGTCATGACTCTTATCACCTGCAAAAGCTGTGTCATTGTTCTCGTAGTAATTGCAACCATGCATAGGCATGACAAGGGTATTTTCTAGAGGTTCTTTTTCAGCATGGCCAAACTCAGTCCGACTTTTCACATGTTGATCATTCTTGGCAAAATTTATTGTGATGCAATTTCTACTAGGAGTACGCAACTTTTGCGATGCATAATCCGCATCCCAATAATCCATCTCGCTCGGATCCACCGTGTATGCAGTGCAAAAGTATCGCACTCGTATAAATGCATATAATCCTCAGCGCGAGAAATAAAATTTGTAATGCTGATCTACCTCAAGAAAAAGATTTGTAATGCATGATTGCAATACGAGTACGGTACTTTTGCTCAGGATACCGTGCCATCGTTGTCGATGTCGAAATGATCAAAGGCGCCATCTTATCCACTGCAGATATCGTGATCTGGGTCCGGAAACTTGTGATGCTGACATTGGGCATTGCACAGTGGGTGCCGGTACGGCATGATAGCATCAGAAGGTCTTGATTTCCACGCTTCCTTGTTTGTAGCATATTTATGCGCAGAACGCATGACAAACTCGCTTCCAGCATGACAAAACAAAATAAGCAGTCGTGTTCATGCACTGCAGATCTTTTACTTTTTGTCCTTTAAATCATCTCGCATCACAGATCCAGACCCAGATCGATATTTGCAAAGCATACGTCTGGAAGGTCTGCATCGCCGAAATGTTGGTCGAACTGTGCGGAGTCCAAGTGGTCGCCGATTTCGCCGAAGTTAAAGTCCACAAAAGCCATGGCCGTGCGGATCAAGTAGAAGTGCGGTAAAACGAGGAAATAAAGGAGCAACAGGACCATGATGTTTACCAAGACGGCAAGATGAATTACGGCAATACTTTTAAAAACCGGTAGATATTGAACCGTCCTTGTACAACTCGTCGTACTGTGGAGGGTAAGATGTGGCGGGAGATGAGAGCGTTGTAGCCGGTCTTCACTGCGACGTCGCCGGTTTAATATCTTTGATGATGACGTCGTGCTGCTTTTATCACCTCCGGCTCCGCGTGTAGTCTTCTTTGTTCGACTACCCCGTCCAGGCAGCACCACACCGTATGTTCTTGGTTCGTCCGCTGCTCTATCAAATGTAAAAGTGTCTGGGTCTGGAAGAATGCAACTTGTCATGCGAAATCTGAAACAAGCAAGCATCTGCGTTGCATGATTACCAAAAGTCGTCCAGTTTTCTTGACCAAGTCGGGAGGGGGTTTCTCGTGCAGGATAGGCATGAGAGAGGTCGCGCAGAATCTGTCATGCTAGGTCCTGCATTCCAGACCTCCTGGGTCATGGAAAAGCTGCATGCCAAGTCGCTCACTCTTCCAGATCCAGACATTTTTACATTTGATATGCTCGTCCGTCGGTCCTGAAGGGGGCTCCAGTCAAAGCCCGCAGAGGTCGTGGAGAGGAACTAGGTCGTGAGAACAAGGATCGCCTTTCGCTTTGTTCTTGCCCCCGACTTCTATCCGTATCCCAGGTTGATGTACAAGAACAATTTGCTGTCGTCGTGGAGGTTGGAACCGGTTTTTTGTGACGCCGTCGTGCTGTTCCGCGCGTCGAGCACGTACTACTGCAAACCCCGGTACTAGAAGTGGAACAGGCAGTAGTTAGTGGTCGTGGTCCTCTCGCCCCACCACCGCCAAGTGGAACATCATGCGAGACGAGATGACCTCCGCGGGAAGAAGCTGAAGATTTTCCGCAGGCACATGAAAAAAACTATCACTATCACAAAAACCCATTTTTTGGCAAAAATTGATTTTTTCTTGATTTTTTTTGCGGCGCATTGGGGCTCGATCCTTGTACCTGGTATATTGTTGTTGCGATTAATGAATGATATATTTAGCTAGCTAGTGGTCGCTTGTGATGATTGTCATAGCTAACAGGAGAGCCGAAGGGAAGGCCGGGCCGGGCCCTCGCTCCGCAGGCGAGCTCCCGAGCCCTTGGTGGTGCCCCGGCCTTCGCGGGTCGGCCCCTTCCGGCCCGGGGCTGAAGGCGGGGGGGCGGCCAAAAGGTGCGCGGCCATCGCCACTCTCCCACCGTGTTTGAAAAACGCTATCACACCCCTTTTTGGACCTGATTCCCAGCTTTCAGACCTGGGCTGATTTGATGCTCCGGCGGTGGCGGGTGAGCTGCCTTCCGTTGCGAGGCTGGAGGCGGCCAAAAAGTGGGGCTCGATCGCCCGTCTCAGGTCGTGTTTGAAAAAAAGCATCACACCATTTTTTGGACCTGGCCGCCGACAGCCAGTCCTCCCCGGGTTTTTTTGGTTTTCAACACTGCGCGCGCAAATTTTTTCAAGAATTTTAAAAACCCGGAAAGTCGACCATTTTGGCTGTGATAGTTTTTTTTCTGACGGTGGTCCTATGTGGGCCGTGCCGTCGTGTTTGAAAAAAACTATCACACTCACTTCCGGCACTCAAAAAATACCAACTTCGCACCTTTTTGCACTTTTTCTATAACAAATCGGCCAAAAGTGTGGTGTGATAGTTTTTTTCAGCGCGAGCTAATGCTGCGAAAACAATGAAAAACAGCTTTTTTTAAAAATGCTAATCACGATGCTATGGCCCAGGTCAAAAAGGAACCCAAAATCGCCACAGCGTCGTGGCTAAAAAAAACTATCACACACAAAAAAGCGCAATTTTTGACCTCCCCGGAGAAGAGAAATCAAGGAAGTTTCAAAATGTGAGCACTAAAAAAATTAGTGCTTGCGCCATCACCCATTTCTGCCAAAGGTTGTGGCCTTTGGCCTAGCCCCTGGAGGCTCCGGATGTCAGGCCTGGCCTTCGAGCCCCCAGATCCATCTGGGAGCAGGTCTGAGAGACGAGCCCTAGAAAAGTCGCTCGCTACCCACCAAATCCACCAACTCCAGACTCGTCGTGAACGAGCATGGTGGAGACACGCTTCCACGCCCTCATGGCGCTGGCTGACTGGGCCGCAACGAATGGGGCGGGAGCTCTCGCCGTCCTCAAAAATGACCGGGATTGTGATGGTGGTATTCGGTTGTCGGTGCTCACAGCCTGCAAGTGTCTCAACCTGCAAGCGAAAGCGTCTTGCCAGATCTCTCCTGTTAGCTGGGTAAATCATCACAAGCGGCCACCAGCTACCTTCTGACATTCATCATTCCAAATCAATCAAAACACTACTCAGGTCTTACCTCGCCGGCGAGAAAAAAAATGAAAAAATAATGATGCTTTTTTGTAAAAAAAGTGGCATTTTTGGGTCGAAAAACGGCGCTTTTGTGATAGTGATAGTTTTTTTCAGCGCGATAGATGACCTCCGCGGGAAGAAGCTGAAGATTTTCCGCAGGCACATGGACTCTGTGACTGTGACTGTGACCACCACCTCCAACCCCACCCGCCCGACGGCATTTTTACATGGCTGCGCAGAGCAGGAGGAGGTGCTTGAGCGGCGGAACTGCTGTTTTTGCAGCTGCTCTGCGGGGTGAACAAGGTAGAAGAAGTGCAGTTCCTCGTGGAGGTCCTTCTGCTGGTCATCTCGGAAGTAGTCGCTTCGAAATTTTTTACGGTTTCATTTTCCACATCCTCGCGGCCCCGATAAATTGTTCTTGATGTTGTTGAGACCTTTTCATCATCATCTACCGCAGTGCTGCTGCTCGGGCTGCTGGTGGGAGAAGTTCTGGAACTGTAAGAACTGTGCCCTCCTCCAGGAGCTGCAGAAGATGAACGCGGAGGAATGATCGAGAGGTCGAAGATGTCGCCGCTCATGTTTATTTTCGGTCGTGTGCGGGAGTTCTAGAAATATAATATCACATCAGGTGGCGTCCTCTCAAATTTGTCAAATTTGTTTCATCCTCGTTGGGCACCACAGCACAAGGTGGAGGTCCAGGCCGAGTTTACTATATTATGTGTTGTTGATCACGTCGTCGTTCTGGTAATCATACGCCTTCTACTCGCGGTTTTCAAAATTCTTGTGTCAGGCGGTGGTCTATATCGCTCGCCAAGTTGTACAACCAATAACGGGGAGCATGATAGCTTGAGTAGTACCGAAGGGATTTTTCTTTTCAACACGCGACCGCCCATCTAACTAAGATAGAAGCAACAGCGAGGCAAAATCTCGATTAGCATAACGAATCTACGACCACGACATGAAACGAGCGGACCATGTTGATGCAGCTTTCTAAACAAGTATACAACGAATAACGCTAGAATATTAAACAGCGCTCCTGTACTAGTAGTTCTTGCATGTTGCAGCTCTCACGGCTCAAATGACATGTTCAAGGTGCTCCTTCGCTCTCAACTTTGCGTAAGCGTACCCGTGCTCGCATCGCCAAAACGAGTTCCAAAGGTCATGCTCGTTGCTCTCCCGGATATCACGTTGCTGTTGCAGCTATAGGAAGCAAAAGCGAAGGAAAGCAGCTCCATTTATTCAGCAGGAGCCGCATCGAAATTACAATTGCCACAGCTGTGTCCTCTGCAGACCGGCTCTGCTGGTCCTCCTGCTCTATAATCTCCTGCTCTACTTCTGGTACAAATCGAGGCAAAATCTTGAATACAGTTGAGAGTTGTGGTTGCGCGATTGTGTCGAATACAGAATAAAACTGGTGCTAGCGCCTTGTGTTCCTTGCAGTATTTCTTTCCTACTTTTTGTTTTTCAAATTGTTTCCTCCCATCATCTCTAGCGCCCATGAGGCAGTGAGACAGGCGCTGGCCATTCTCACATCCTCTTTTTTCGAAGATTAACGTCGCGTGCATTCGCGCTGTGTTTTCTCGTAGAATTAACTGAAAATCCTATGTAACGCTAACGCAATAAGGAGCTACTCTAGTAGTGTACTGCGCGTTCCCCCGCCGGCGCAGAGCAGATCATTTACATTTTTCAGGAGCCGAAGCAGGTCATGTACAATCATACATCTGAAGGCGAAGTCTGTGCATTTGCTTGGTTTCTTGAAACGGTAAACTTTGCTAAATTTTAAACTCTTGGTGTAAAAAAGTGAAGCTGAACATAAGTAGATGTGAACTCAGTAAGATTGTGGAACTTGTTGATACGGTTCTTGATCTTGATGCGCTTTTTTGTCGATAAAACGAAAGGTGAAGGTACTAAAATCATTTTTATTTCCAATTTACTGCTGCCTGTGCCTCCTCATCTTCATCATCCTCAAATTATTCGTTGCGATGGTTTTCTTTCCTGTGGTTCTTCTCCCGCATTGATGATTCCAGAACGGTCTTTACTTACACGTTCCACCACCGGCTCTCCCTTCCTCCAGAAACCTCCCGCTCTTCCGGTGGTTTCCCTGCTCCACTGGCTCTTGCATCGCGATGCTGTTTTTGCGCGCGGCCTGCGTCTATCAAATGCAAAAGTGTCTGGGTCTGGAAACTTGTGATGCTAAAATCTGGATGGCTGAAACGCTTTCGAATGCAGCAAAGCATGACAAGTTCTCGCAAAGCTGTCTCATACGTAGTGCGCATGACAAACTGCGTTTTTGCATCACAAAGAACGCTGTGCGTTTGTTAGTCATGCAAGACAGATTTTCTTGCAATGTAAGGCCAACATCACAAGTTCACTTTTTCCAGACCCAGACATATTTGCAATCCATAGCGTCGTGTTCTTCGTCGTGGAGAAATTGAAATGGGTGCGGCTGGCCATCGTTGTACGCTGTTCCGACGCCCTGTGGCCGCGATTATTGCTGCTTCCACGGTCCTGGTACTGGTCCCTTCGCTGCCCCGGGTCGAGGTGTAGGTCCTGTTGTTGTTCACTGCTGATACTACTGAAACTGATCTTCGCAGGACCCGACTTGTTCTTGAATCCCGGGGGCTCACCGCTGCGCGACGCCGTCACGGGTTTCGTATTGTTTGCGGTTTTGTTCCGGAAAAAGAGAAACAGTAGCACGAGGACGGTTGCGAGGAAGATAAAACCCTGCGTCGTCCACAGGGTTGTGCTCCAGACAGTGGAAAAGTCCGCGTTCTTGTTCCCCAGTTTGCTGCGTAAAAACGTACCCAACCCGAACAACTCAAGAGAGTGATAGTTCTATATACACAGATCGATGCACACGGTTCGGCTGTCGCGCATATCAAGTTTGAGTCTGTTGTAGTGCAATCGAGGTCGGCTTGTGAAGTCACATGATCTTGTTCACACATCTTCTAAAGGAGCCCTATCCTAATTAGACCAGCATGACGAAGTCACAGTCACCATTGGGCTGCTCCTTCGCATGAGACCACATCACAGTCTGAGTATGCAAATACGCACGCCATGTATAATCGAGAGGTGGGGACGCTTTCACGCAGGATACCCAACTTGCCTCCACGACCAGCAGAAGGTCCGGCAAACCAGTTTCGCAGATCCTCGGTGGAAATTTTGAAATGGGAACAGGAATCCACTGCAAAAAATATCGCACTCGAACTCATCGCAGTCACGCATGACAGACTTTTCTTTACCACCTGAATCTGCATGACAAATTCCATTTTTCCTCGTGAGATGAAAATTTGTGATGCAATCTGCAGTCCTAGACCTAGTGCGATATTACTTTTGCAACGCCTAGAAAGCCCGCTTTCGGGTGTTCGTTCTTCTGCTGTAGCTGCGGCCCGTGTAATCCCCATCTTCCCCATCGTCTGCCGCCAGATACTGCGCTCGCATCTTGTGGTAAAGCTCGTACTTGTCGACGGTGGTTGTATGTGAGGAAGGAGAAGTACTAGACGGGCTGCGTGTGGGTTTGTCTTTATCTTTTCCGCCGCGATTGTTTTTTTTGCTCCGGCTTTTGCTTTTCTTCTTGCGCTGCGACGCCAGGCTCCGAGACGTCGGGGCTTTTGGTTTTTTCCTTCCGTATGGAGTGTTCATCAGAGAGTTCTGGTTGTTTTCGTAGTTTCCACCTTTGCTATGCGTTGAAAATGTGTCTGGCCGCTCTGGGAAAGGATGGTGCAAGCTTGTCATGGTAGTCAAGGTGAACAGAAAAATCTCTCTTGCATGATCAGCAAAATAAGGAGTCTTTCCACTAGATTGTCACTTCCCATGCAGAGGATTTATTGTCATGCGGAGTTGATAAGCTAGCATAAGCATCGGAAAGCATGTGAAATAAAACCTGTGATGTTTTGGCTTGCCTTCCAGAGCAGGAGAAACTCTGATGCATTGAAGCATGATCTATCATGAAAAAACTGCATGACGAAGTGTTGCACTATTCCTTCGGATCCAGACATCTATCTTTCAATGCGTACTCTCCTTGTCCTTCGAAGGGCATCAACTCTTGACTGCTTGCCGCGTTGTCCAGCACACCACCCTCCAGCATAGCTGCGGACGACGCCACCTCACGAGCCGCACGGGCCGCGCCGCGCAGAGAGAAACCCCCACCGCCGGCCGACTTCTGCTTCGTCTCTCGTTTCGAGTCCGGAACCGCGTCCAGGAGGCCGTGATCTTGGGGCGAGGAGGTCTGCTCGTCCTCTCCGACCGGAACAGCATATGGCAGTGCACAACTCCTGCTCTAGTCCTCTCATTTCTATTTTTCGTGCAAAATAATAATGATGACCAGTGCAGCACCCTTCGGTTCGCAAAGTGGCTCTCTTTGCATGATAGGTTTGGTGGAGAGTAGCCTAATCAGGTATGCAGTAAAGCCTGCATCTTTGGTGCTAACGTTCCTGTTACTGCAAAAGCCCTTCATCAGGTCCTGGGGAGCCGTCGAGAGGGACGAGTTGTGCATTCTCATAGAGATTGCTTCGTGTGGAGAAAGAGCTCGTTGGTAATTGGCGTTGCGTCTTGATCTTCTGAGGAAGCAGCAGGGAGAAGCTGCTTGGAGTTCAGCTGCACCGCACTTGTCACTTTTTTTCCTGCGCCCTTTTTAGATTCTTTTTTCCCGTCACCCAACAGGGGTTCCTTTTCTTCACGTGAGCCCTTCGCTTTCGCTTTCTCCTTGCTCTTGTTGGACAACAGCTTGATAGCTGTGAGGCCAAGGGCTCCTGCGGCAGCAGTACGTCCAAGAAGCTGTAAGTCCCCACCCACGTTCGTATCACGCCGAACAAAGTTGCCATCATATTTTCATCTTTTCCATTTTTAAACACAGCTGGTGCCTTGCTAGCTTGCACCACACTACAAACATGTAATTGTGAGACACTGTGTGTAAAAATATCTATACTTAGTCGAGGACTTCTTTTTATTGTTTCAGACCTGCAGAAACGGATCAGAAACTCACGTGTTCGCGAAGATGCAAAAGCAGAGCGCGTCAACCTCACAGATCCGATCGTCCATGCAAAACATGACAGTATGGATATCGAAGGAAAAAAGATGAAAGTAGGGCGCTGCTTCACTGCGATAACCCTGAAACAAGTGATTTTGTTCTTGATGGGGAACGAAATAAGGTTATCAAACAAACTCGGATAACTAGTGTCACGACCAGTTCCGAAAAATAAATGCAAGGAGCTATAGTGGAAAACACCTACTGAATCCAACCAATGCAAGGAGCTATAGTGGAAGATTCCAACCTGTCCGCCCTCCGGCGCACGCAGGGCGAGATATTCCTCCTTGGTCATGTGTTCCCCGACTGCCTGGTGGAAGTCGTCGTCCTATGGATTGCAAATATGTCTGGGTCTGAAAAATTGTGCTGCTAAAATGCGCATGACGCAAACGCTCCCTCATGCAGGAGAGCATGACAAGTTTGCAGAACGCTTCCTCATACGCGCTCCGCATGAGAAACTGCGTTTTTGTATGACAAGAGAGGCTGCGACTTTATTTGTGGGTCATGCAATACAGATCCCATTATGCAAGACCAGCACTCTACAAATTGCAACTTTCCAGACCCAGACATATTTGCATTTGATATCCTCGTCATCGGGTGATCATGCTCCCACTCTCCGAGGTCGTGAGTTTCCGCTGCTATCTGGTACTCGTCGTACTCCATGCCCCCGTCGCTCGTCCACTGGTTGCTCAGGTTCTCCTTTTCAACGGCCGCGCCACTATCCCAGGAAAAAAAATTCGTATTACACCATATGTTCACGAATGGTCGAGTACTAACTATGGCAGACCCGATTGACAAATACTACAAGCGTGTTTTTCATCATTTTTGTGCGATAGAGTGCACAACTAGCATGATGTGGGACCTCCAGGCGTGTTGTGGCCCGACAACTTGCCTGCGCAAGCGCACAGTGTTCGACAGGCGCGAGGTGGATGAAAAAGATTCATACTCAACTGATCGCAATAAATCATGGCATAGGCATTACGAATTATAGCATGTAATTCCGTATTGTGCGTCGTGGGAGATTTGGCTGTGGTCGTACATTTCCTTGTATTTCAGGTGGCCGTCTTCCCCGGCTATTGCGTTGTACTGCTCCTCATTTAGGCCACCCTGTTCATGAGGATGTTCGTCTCTATAGTCGTCCCAGCTCGTTGCACAAGTCCCGATGGAGGTCGCCCAGGCTCGCTCCCATTCTGTGGTACTCAGATGATGATGCTCGTTGTCTCCTTGGCCGTTCCAGTTTTCCAGGTCGGTCGACTCGAGATTCCCGCCGTCCTGGTTCAAAACTGGTAATTTTATTTTTTATTTTATTTTGTGACGAAAATATCCACAATGTAGAAGGTCCCCGCCACTACAAGTACAGCACAGGAGGTGCAAACATGGATGCCCACGATCTTTCATTTGGTGTTGGCAGACTTTGCTCAAAAGCTACATGAAATGCATGCGATGTGGGCCCATAATAAGAGTGCAACATGATCGCACAAAAACTATATCATGTCATTTATACTGTCGAAAGCATCCCCCGCATTCATGCCGGGTGGGAGGTCGTGATGGAGGTTGTTGGTTTCGAGAAGGTTAATAAACTCCGTTTTGGTATATCCGTCGTCGTGCTCCCCCGTGAATATTCCCGAGAAGTCAATGTCGAACGCGAGGACAGAAGTATCGACCGCAATCTGTCTGGGACTGGAAACTTGTCAACACGAGGACACACCTTGTTGATTAATGTAAAAACGAACTTCAGCTTGAGCTGCAGCACAGCACTTACGATCCACGCATGACAAATTTTCGACTTCTGACAAATTTTCGACTTCGACGGGTTCACAAGAATGCGCACCTGGAGTGAAGACGAGAAACCAAACCGCACTTTATTATTTGCATGACACGCTACGCAGCGGTGCTCCCCCCGATCCGCTTTAATATGCATCGAAAGTCTTGGCTGGTGCATTCGAATTGTGCAATACAGATATGCATTTCTTGTTGGTCCGGAGGACCCAGACATATTTGCAATGCGTACTAGAATGGAAACAAGAACTCATGCGCCGCGAAGAACAGGAAGAAGGGCTATCACATGAAAAAAATGCAAGAAACACGTTCGTCTTCGTTGCATCACCAACTACATAAAAAAGAACAACAAAGTGAGCTCGTAAAGTTAAAGGAGGAAAACACGCACGAAACTAGGCGCTCCATAGCTGCTGTAGCATTTGTGGCATGGCAGCGGTCGCTTGTGCTGCTTGTCTTGTCGCAACTACGCATCTATCAACGTGTTTACTGATACACTTTTTCCTTTGGATAGCAGTTGCATCACCATCATCGAAATCCTGTGCAAAAGTATCGTACTCGTACGAGATACAATCAAAAACAAAACCCATTGCAGCAAACACGCATGACAAATGTGTCCTTTACGGTTGTAACAAAATCACCATATACCAACTGCACTTCTCAACTTGTAAATGCGATTTCTATACTAGTGCGATACTCGTCATGCAACGCATAGCTGGCAGCTTGACACTCACCCAGCGCTGGAAGAGGGACGAAAAATCGCGGAGACTCGCCGAAAACGAAGATGTTTTTGTTGTTGCACCAGCGAAAGTCAAAGTAGCAGATGAGCAGAACGTTGTTCTTTTTGTTTTTACCGCACAACTACCCGGTCTTCTTTTCGCAGGCGTGCCAATGTCCACCGTTTTGATATTTGTAGACCCCCTTTTTATTTGCGTCATCTGGCCGTGGGCTTCTACTACCGGCATGTTGATGTTACTTTGCAGTTTCCGTCCTGGTTGGATGATGGCAAAACGTTCGATGCTCCTGGATCTGCTCCTTCCTTGCAGCACCCTTTTCGTTCCTGCTTCGCGCCAGGAAGGAGAAAGATAACCTGGTCCTCTACAAAGATCTGCTTGTCAGTGGAGTACGATGGTAAAAATTGAAGGAGGTGCTGTGCCGCTATGAACTGCAAAAGTATCGCACTCGTATAAATGCATTACAAATTTCCTCAGCATTTCATTTTCATTACAAATTTCCTCAGCATGAGAACTGAAATTTGTAATGCGGATTTGAATTAACAAAAAGATTTGTGATGCATGATTGCAATACGAGTTAGTACGATACTTTTGCACAGGATAGCCGCAGAAAAGTTTTCCCGCTGTTGGTCGCGGTCGTCGAGAGGTGTTCGCGGGATGTATCAAGTGCAGATATGTCCCAGTCTGGAAAGTTGTGATGCATGTCAATGAATAATGAGCACACTGTAAAATGCACCGCCGAGCATGACAAGTTTATTTCATCTCTGATGCTGGGTTGTGATTGTGAATAGGTGCTAGTGAATCCCCTGCAATATGCACAGCCGAGCATGAGAAATACTTGCGCGGCTTTCATCTTAGTGTCGCGCTTTTCGCATGACAAACTGCGTTTTTGCATCACAAGCAAAAAGGTTTCTTCTCGGACACGCATCAAAAACTCTTCAGTCATGCCACACAAGCTTGAAAAACCTTGCATCCTTCCAGTAGACCCAGACATATTTGCAAAGCACAAAAGAGGAACGCGGGCACTTGGCTGTGGTCCGGATGAGATATCTCCTATGGAAAAACATCCCCACCCAGTAGTTGTAATGCAAATCGGCATGCTGAGAATGTTTCTCATGCGGAGCCCCATGAGAAGCATTCCCTATTCGTGACGTTTCGGAATTTTTCATGCTCGACTCAGCTGCGATGGATATGCTAGCTGAAGAACTACAGCTGAAGAGGATTACACTGCGAGGCCAAACCTTTCATGCGCAACAGCCACAGCTGGTTGATTTGTGTAGCAAATCTTCCATCTTGACTACGGGTTGGGGGCGTTTTTACACAGGATAGAAGAAGGAGAACAAAGAACTACCCGTCGCCGTCGCAGTCGAACAGGCACGGTCCGCTTATTCCGCTGCGCGCTTGTCCGAGTGGTCGGAAGATACCTGCAGGATGATGATGAACAAGCGAAACGTCACTCAGTCATCAGTTGAGGTGCCTACTTTCGCTGTTAGATATATAAAAAATACCAAAAAAAAAAAGTGGTAGTAAGTACACAGCTGCTCCTCCCGCGACGCAGCAAATTTGCTTGTTCCCTGCACAGAATGACCTCCCTCGGAGATGATGTTCTTGTGCCGTCACAGAAAATTGATGTCTCCAACTGTTTCCCGTCTGCAAATCATAAATTGTTCTACGGACGTACCTCTGTATCAAATGCAAACATATCTTCGTCTGGAAGAAAGGGGCATTTGTGATGCTAAAACAACCGCACCGACATTGCCATTGTCCAGCAACGCTGAGGAGGCAAGCCTGCACAGGCTCCGGAACGGCATAGGGGCATTTGTGATGCAGTTTGTGCATCTGCAAAAAAACAAGCTCGAATGCACACAGAGCATGCTGTCCCTTGGAGAGGAAAATCTAAATGGCCCATCTTTTGCTGACTATGTAATTATGTAGATGCTCGCCCGTTCCAGAATCAGCATGACAAGTGTGCATCCTTCCAGACCCCGATCGATATTTGCAATGCATACTACTAGAAGAACTACGCGTCGGCCGTCGCAGTATATGAAGCACGGTTCGTTTATTCCGCCGCGCGCTCGTCTGAGCGGGGTACCACGAATAAGGCCGCTTCCGCGGTAACGACGCAGCTACCTGTAATTTATATTGCAATATTGAAGTTTGAGTAGAGGAATTTTATACAAAAAGATGATTTTGATTGCAGAGTTGGTTTTTGTTGTCCGGCTTCCTTGCAAACACTGCACCACGACGACCACGCTTCGAAAACGTGCAAAAAAAATAAAAAGCAGCGGGGAGTTGTACTTTTTACCTGGTGCCCCAGCGACACAGCAAATTTATTTGCTTGTTCAATATTGTTCCGGCACAGGACGACACCTGGAGATGGAGATGTCCTCGTGCCGCAGAAAACTGATGTCGCCTCTTTCGTTCCTTCGCGCCAGGAAGGAGAAAGATAGCGTGGTCCTCTACAAAGATCTGTTTGTCAGTGGAGTACGATGGTAAAAATTGGAGGTGCTGTGCCGCAGAAAAGTTTTCCCGCTGTTGGTCGCGGTCGTCGAGAGGTGTTCGACCTACTTACTGTCGTCGCGGCCTGCTGGAAACGGTAGTTGCAGAGTCTCCATCGTGGTCTTTCTTTATACAATTACAACCGGTCGTCTGGGTCTGCTTCTTGGAAATGAGGCATCTTAGCTCGTCGATATACGTCGAAAGAATTTCTACATAAAGTACTCCTTCGTGGTAGAAAATTCATGAACAATGAAATTCGAATGAACCGAAATTCAAATTTGCAACTTTTACTAGCATATGAACTCTAATTCGCAGGCTCCAGAACGCTCAACGACGAGGACGAACCCGAACCCGAGCGACGACGACATTGACAGGTTTACTCCTATCTCATTTTGTCTAATTTTGATCATTGCCTCGCCACTATCCTTGACCAGAGGAATTCTTCGATTATGATTCCCACGACAATACCACATTGACTCTTCACTCGCTGGTAAACTATCGTAAACACTCCTGTAGGCTCTCAACCCCAACGAACTCTGTCGTCGTCCGTTATCTTTACCAACGGTAAGGCGCACACTACATCTACAATACAGCCACGATCTCGCAATACTTGGAGGTCGCGATACGACACCTTCATCGAGGAAACGGCAGAACTACTTACCCACAACTCCTTACAGCGACATGAATAGAACAGACGTATTGTTCTTATCCCAGCACAAGAACGACCCCGTCAGAGGTCAGAGGGACCTGTTGGCACAAGAACTCCTATGATCTGGGTCGCTTTTGCAGATTATTAGTTTCTATGCCGATGCTTGTTTGTTCCAGAGTTGTATCCTTTTAAATCCACCACCGCTGCAAAAATCAAGAACCGCCAGTAGTTTTATACCCAGCGGTTGACGAGGACGGAGTTCGATGCGTTAGTAAATTTCTGAAACCTTTTACTCGTTGTTGTTCATCTCCAAAAGGCCCTCGCACATTGTGTAGTTCTTGTTCGATTAGTTATTCGATAGTTGATTCGTCCGTAGGAACTACATCAGTTCGCTGATTCTTGACATCCTCCAATATTGCAGGTTCTCTCCAAAAAGTAGAAGTACTAGCATCACAAGCTATTGCCAATGCTATACGGAGTTGATCATAACGATTACCCTAGAAAGATCGCAAAAATCAAACTTCACTGAGACACCTAATGGTACCGCGCCCTGGTGCTCATCGTCCGGCCCATTGGTCCCTTGGACGAACTTATCAAATGTAAAAATGTCTGGGTCTGGAAGTTTGGAACTTGTGATGCTGTCTCTGGATTCTAAAAAAATTTGCATTGCATGACCAGCAACAGAACTCCAGTTTGTGCTACCCGGAGAGGGCATTTCTCATGCGGTAGAGGCATCACAAAGGCCTCTAAAAATCTGTCATGCGAGAGCATGCATCACAGACATCATTAGTCTTTCAAAATATGCATGACAAACCAGGCAAGCTTCCAGACCCAGACATTTTTACATTTGATAGAACTGTCACTTGGTCCGCTTACCCATGTATGCATTGCAAAACTTGTATCGTACTAGGAGCAAGAACTGTTCTGGACAAAATTGCACCTCAATAAAAAGATGAACAAAGCTGAATGTTGACTTTACAATGGTGCCATTTTGATAGCTTAAGGTAGGAGGATATTTTCGATGCAACGCTGCAGCTGGTGTGCGAATAATTAGTACTTCGAGTACGATACTTGTTTTGCACCGGATAGCCCACGAAGGGAATGTTGTGCACCCCAGATTCCCGGATGGCGCTCGCCGTTCGGAGTTCAAATCTCGGATGACGAGGAAAAAAACCGTCGATCACCATGATGTACGTATTTTTCGCATGACAGATAAAGACACTGCGGCATGTTTTGCATGACAAAGTGGCTGATAATTAGGGGATAGTAGATTGGTTTTTTTCTGGGCGTATATCAAATGTAAAAATGTCTGGGTCTGGAAACTTGTGATGCTGGGCGGCGTCTCATGATGAGGCCACAAATGCTGGCTCAGCATGACAAGTTTCTGAGCTCCTAGGTGTTGCCTATTCTGCATGACAAACTACGCTTCTGCATCACAGAAAAGCGGAGCTCTTGGGTAACGTGCATGACAGACTTAAGAGGCATGCCAGACAAGCATGACAAACATGCATTCTTCCAGACCCAGACATTTTTACAGTTGATAGCGTATCTCGTGGTGCCATTGTACAGATTGTCGTGCAGTTGTGGGTATGCTGTGCAAAAGTATCGTACTCGTATGAATGCAGGTCTTGCATTACAAACTTCTTTATCAAGGCAAATCAGCAATACAAATTTTATTTCTCATGCTAGGGAAATTTGTATTGCATTTATACGAGTACGATACTTTAACTTTTGCAGTTCATAGTGGGATGTCCTGCACGCCCAGTTTTAGCAGCCCGGCTTTCCCTATCCCCTGCAAATATGTCTGGGTCTGGAAGGATACAAGATTGGTCATGCATCTCGCGGACCACCCACATGTTCTGAAATGCACACAGAAGCATCACAGATTTATTTGCGAGACCCTCCACACGCCTATCCCGCGTGAGAAGTCCGCGCTTTTCCCAGCAAGAAGCGGGCAACTCTTGGCGTTCATGCAACACAGAAGATTTTTTTGTGATCAAAACTTCGCATGACAAGCTGCAACCTTCCAGACCCAGACATGCTTGCAATGCATATTCACACCCAGCAAGTTGAACGGGATCAAATCCTGGATGGACCCTTTGTCGATGACCGCGCCGGAAACCCCCTGCGCCACCTTGATTTTCTGCCCCTCGGCGAAGTACCGCGTTGCGGAACCAGAGGTAATCCCCGCGGTTTGGCCCGTGCCGCTGGCTTTCGAATTTCCGGACGCGCTCTTGTTTATTGCAGTGAAAAAGGCCCCCATCCCCAAATTTGCAATAATTTGTGATGCGAAGTTTCCAAATGAAACCTTTTTGTCATGCATGGAAGGACTATGAATCTTTCTGATGCGAAGTCTAGGTGTATAGAGCATCGCTTGCATGACAAGCGCCGCTCTTGCTGGGATCTTTTGCATTTTTACAGATTTTTGCTATTCACGATTGAAAATCTTGTGTGATGGTGATACATGCAAGAGGGCGCGTGTTTCATTTGGAAAGGTTTGCAATACAAATGCTCCCAAGTAGTTCTGGGGTGGAGGCATTTTTCATTGTAATATTGTTTTCCGTGTCTTTTTTCGTCATGGCCTCGATGCTGCCCATCCCCCGGTAGCACTTCATGCGAACCCCGTCGTGGAAAAAGTACTGGCCCGGGGATTCCTCGGTTCCCGCGAGCATGGACCCGCACATCACGGCCGAAGCGCCGAGGGTGAGGGCCTTCATGATGTGCCCGGATTTCTTATGCAATACAAATTTTCATCCGTACATGTAAAAAATGCATCACAAATTTCACCAAGAACTTAGAAGAAGCTACTTGTCATGCTGAAGAAGAGGTTTGAAGGAAAACTTTGTCATGCGCAAGCCACATTTGTACGTGTACGGGAACTTTACTGTGGATATTTCTGGATACCTCCGTCCGCGATTACAGGGACGTTGTACCTAAGAGAGGTTTTGAAAATGTGCGAGAACCATCAAAATGGTGTATACTTCATCTTGTATTGAATTTGCCCTTGGCGTAGGCGCAGGCCCTTGTCCATTTCTAAACTGACTCATGATGCTGCGCTTTCTGTGGCGGGCCGAGTGAAACTACTGTCGTGTAATTACTGTCATGTACGGACTAGAGGACGCTCAAAGCCAATTGCAATTTCTACAATCTATCTTCATGTAATTACTTTTCCTGAAGAAAAAAACAATCGCATTCTACTTGTCCCGGCAAAACTTCGAGACGTGATAGACGGCAGAGCCTTGTGGCCTCCCCACTGCGCACACCTCTTGCGTCGTGCAAATGTATAAAAAGGAAAAGTCCCCCCTTCCCATATCGAAATGGAAATCTGTGACGCAGGATATGTGTACACAAATCGGATTTGTCTTGCGGTTGGGGACTGCAGACAGATACAAAGCCCGGAAAGGGGTGGCTTGCGGTGGGTACTTAGCATGGCAGACGTCTGCCCTAGTAGCGTAGCAGCATTACAAATCGCCTGCGAAATGCAGCGGAGGCCCTGGCTTTGCTCTCTTGCAAGACAGACTCGATTTGTGACCACAAATCAGCATCACAAATTTTGAAAAGCACACCTTTTCGATATGGGGAGGGGGGATTTTTCTTCACAATAAAATGGAGCCGGACCCCATCCCGACTCGGATGCCGTCACACCCCGCGTCGCATAGCGTCTGCGCCTGTTTGGGCGTCACTACGTTGCCCGCGACGATGTCCAGCTGCGGGTAAAAGCCCTTGATTTTCCGCACAAACTGCGCCTGCCAGATGGAATCCCCCTGCGAACTGTCTAGTACGATGACGTCCACCTTGGTTTGATTTTGTTTGATCCAGCAGCACTTCGTACGTGTGCGAACGGTTTTGCCACGCATAATCACAAATCTGATCCTGTTTGCAGTACACGGCATGACAAATTCCACTTTTCCTGAACAGAAGTACTTACCCCTGCCTCCACCAACTTCGCCACTCTCTTTTCGTCCTCCGGCCTGGTGGAACAGCCGGTATCCTTTGCAAAAGTAGTGATATCGCAGTACTAGCTGCAATTATGCACGCAATACAAGTCTTCGTGGATCCCAGCCTAAATCAGCTGCATCACAAATTGAACAAGAGTCTCCTCGTCTAGATACGATTTTGAAAGAAAATTGTCAACATATTTGTAAACGATATCTTCACAAATTTGCAAGATGACAATTTCATACGCGGCCCCGACCAGCAGTTGCTTATTGGCGTCCTTGCTTGCCAACGGGAAAATCTGGTTCTTTTTCAAGTCGTTTCGGCTGATGAGCGCCACGAGGTCCTATCCTATGTAAAAACGTACCCACCCCATAGTCAAGGTGGCCGGGCTAGACAAATCCACAAGCTTTGGCTGTTTCGCATGACAAATTTGGACGCGTAGTGTAGTGCTGTTTGAGCTAGTTCAGCAGCATTACAGATCTAGTCTCTCATGCTTATTGGAGCATGACAAATTTCAAAACACCATTAGAAAATGCTCCTCATGGGGCTCCGCATGAGAAACATTTTAAGCATGCAGATTTGCGTGGCAACTATGGTGTGGGTACGTTTTTACATAGGATAGGTCCCCCGTTTGGTTCACAATCGGCAGCTTGCCCTTCTTTGACCTCTTCAACAACCGGTTGGCTTCCTGCAGTGTGATGGGCTCCTTGCCGACGACTAGGTTGCTGGTCATGAGGTATAGATATTGGAACATTTTTTCCGACCACGACCGACCATTGAGATTGACCCTCGCCTTCAGAGGCTCATTTTTGTCCTCCTCTAGCACGAAGGCTACAAAAAATTTCATGAAAGGACAGCAGCACCAGAATTTTTCGAAGTAAGTACAACTACACCAGCGGAGCTTCCTGCATAAGTAAGTCTTTCGAACAGGGGATGACGCGACTCCAGGGAGGCACTAGTGGTTGGGTTCGTGCTGTAACTCTTCATAGTATGTCGCCCATTTTCAAATTTTTCTCTTTCTTGAAATCCATGTCGCGGGAAGTGACGATACCTGTTGTTTTTGACTTTTTGTGTAGGTGTACCAAAATACGCCTCCCGTAGTTTTTGCAGGCGTATGCAGAAAAAAAAACAGAAGCAGAAAAATACAGATCAGGATTATTATTTTCCTTTCCGTCGTGGTCATACAAGTGGTAAAAAAAGCCGAACAGCTCCTGTACCGAGCAGCTTCGATCCCATCTTTCCATTAGCCGTAATAGGTGCACTGGAATATGGCTGCTTCTCCAGGTCTGCGATGGTGTGCTCGGGTGAGAGGACAAACGGGTCCATGATGAATCCGTTTTCAAACCTGTGTATCCGTTTCCGCAGGCAATCATGTTCCATTTTGCATGACAATTTTTTTCGCGGTAGTTCCCAGGTACATCAGGTTGCATGCCAAATTTTAATTTCTTCTTGGCTGCTCGCGAAGCTGCATGTACAGTAGGTTCCCAGGTATATCAGAACGGTCTCTCGGACCGGCAGACCGCCTTAGCGTGCTTTTATTGTTTCAGAACGAAGATGTTGAGAAAAAAATCCTGCACAATAAACAGCTTTGTAGTACCTTTTGACTTTTTTCACCTCCGCGACCTGCTCTTCGATACTGTTGTTATTGTGAATGATCCCTATCCCGCCCATCAGCGCCATTGCGATGGCCATCTCGGATATCTATCAGAGTGCACAACTACTCCCTTTTGTTCCGCCCCACCTTTCGATTTGTACGGCACGAAGAGTAGCAACAGAGGCACGAGTAAACATGGAGCCTGTGGTGCATGGCAAGATTCTGCGCCGAGTGTAGTAAAATTTGGGGTTGTTTTACAATTTGTTTATATGCAAATAGTGCCACAGGGCAGATTCAATCAGAAACAGGATTTGTGCTTTTGCATGACAAAGAAAGGGGACGAGGGGCAATTGTGCACAACTCTGATAACTCCGTGACCGTGTCCATGGGTGAGGACACAACGGGTGACCGCAACGTGAGATTTTTCGTCAACTTCGTTGTTAACGCGATTTCATCTTCCGTGAAATCCATGTGGCCAGGGATTAATGTAAGGTCATCATACGTGTAGCCCGTGCAAGTTGAGTTAAACAACTCGTCGGCGTCCAGACCGTCCGTCATTCTGCAGGCTGTTACAAGTAGAACTACAGAAGGGTCGCGAAAATGTTCAACATTCGAAGATAGAACTCGTGCCGATGCTGATGTCACAACAATGCAGATCCTGTTGAAAAGCAAGAGAACTTCAACTAGTACTAGACACGTTTGTGCCTCAATATATCGCTTAATCAATTTGGTCCTCCTGGTGCTCACGGTCTGAATTTTCAATCGTGAGCAGTCCTGACATCATGGGCACATAGAGTGAGTATTCAAGACAAGACGGAAAAACAACTGCATCAACCGGGGGAGACGGGAAAAGCCAAGAGGAGCTGAATGTGTTGCCGAGAAACCCTGTCAGCTCGAGACGTGCACTAGGAAACAAGGTGACAAAAACTGATCTCATTTTCGCGATCTGCTGTCAAAAGATAAAGAACCTCCAGATATATCAAACAAAACCGAAAATCAAAATAACAAACGCAATCCGGGAATCTAGCCAAGCCATACGAAAAAGACGCAAAAATGGAATACCCACCAGCATCGCTGTGGCGAGATAAGTAGTAAGTAGGTTGTTTTGCCACAACAAGTGCTGGTGTTTCGTTGCCCGCCGCACGAAAGTAAGAGCTGCGGCGGCCGCTGCTCCACGGAACAGGTGCAGGCGACTAATCTTGTTTATTTCATCTCTGATCAACATCGGCGAAGGTGGTCGTGGGATTCTTTCTCTGCAACAACACCACCTGAGCAAGAAAGATGCTCACGCGGGCTCGCAGTCAATAATCGTCGAGCAAAATCAAAATTGGTCCAAAAGTACTACTTCAACTTCTAGAACACTTATCGTAATAAACAGAAACTCCCGCGGTTATTTTTTCATCTTCCTCGTCACTAAAAATACGCATCTCTGTCCGCATCCCCCAGTAGCCAGTCTACCCCGTTCAACAATTTTCGGCCGTACTTCTCGAATTGATATGAAACTTTTCTTTTCCGCTCTTTCTCCCGCCTCTCCACTTCGTCTCGATCCACCAAGGCTTGAATATTGCTCTGTTTGACAAAACTTTCCGTCCTTGCTTTATGCATTGCAAAAGCATCGCACTCGTACAAACGCATTACAAATTACCTCAGCATGAGAAAAAAAAATTGTAATGCGGATTTACCTAAAGAAAAAGATTTGTAATGCATGATTGCAATACGAGTACGATACTTTTGCACAGGATATGCTTCTGTGCACAGCCACTCCCCGAAGAAGCGGTTGACGACAAGCTGTTGCTGCTGGACGGCTATGCATTGCAAAAGTACTATCGCACTCGTACTAGTAATCGCAGTCATGCATTACAAATCTGTTTTTCAAAGTGACTCCGCATTACAAATTCCATTTCTCATGCTGAGCAAATTTGTGATGCAATTTATACTAAGTAGTACGCTACTTTTGCAGTTCATAACGGCAAACGCCGTTTTGTGGTTCCGCCTGTTGAGCACGTTCGAGTAGCCGAGAAAATCCCGATATCGCAAGAAAAAAACTGTGTAAGTGTAACTTTGAGCTGCAGACGTTGCAATACAGTTAAGTACACTTGTCATGCAGGATGTGCATCAGAGGCTATTTTCACACGCGTTTTCGCGTACCAGCTACGCATGACAGGTTTTCTCTGTCATGCAAAACAAATTTGCGATGCTGTTCCTGCAAAAAAGTTACACTTACACACTTTTTTTCTTGGATACCCGAGTGTAGCCGGTAATTGACCCAAGCATGGTTTCCTGGTCCACCATAAGGGACGAAAACGCGACGGGCGCGACCGCGTGGTTGTTGCCCCGCCGGCGCTCGTCCACAACCACCCAGCTATGCGCCGCGGGGGAGGGGAGTCGCGCGCGCACGATTCGCCGCAAGTACTGTTCCGGCGATTCGGGGTCGAAGTAGTCGTGGTACCGGGCTTGCAGTCGTAACCGGATCACCTCTTGCATCGGGGTGAAAAAAAGCTGGGGTTTTGGAGAGTACTGCTGGAGGTCGCTGTTGAACATATTAGATGGCGCAGTAGTTGTGCTTGCAGTTGTGCCCCCGCTGCTCTGGTGAAGATTCAGATCGTGTGTTGTCGTTTCGTAGAGATAGCGCGCATATGCAATGCAAAAGTATCTTACTAGTATAAATTGCATTACAAATTCTCCCAGAGTTACAAATTGAATTTGTAATGGTGATTTACCTTGACAAGTGGATTTGTAATGCATAAATGCAATCACTACGAGTACGATACTTTTGCACAGGATAGCGCAATCGTTTTCCATTTCGCTGAATCTAGGCCGGAGGAAGAAGTTGAGCCTCGGTCTCGCCTAGTTCCGGTACCACGACCCCCTTCCAGCCCCTCGTCCCGCGCCGTCAGCTGCACGATGTCTCGAAAGGTCCCGCCCCGCCGGAGCAATTTTTGTGCACCAAGCTCCGACGCCTGAAGTCGGTTCAGGGCGTAGTCGGAGAGGTCTGGAGTTGTTTCTGAGGTGCTTCTTTGTAGTTCTCGGGATGGGGAAGTACTAGAAGTTGGTGTTTTTGTTTTTGTGTTGCTGATATTCATCTTGTTCCCAACATTAGCCTGATGCTCGTATTCCTGCTCCACCCACTATGAATTCTTGCAAGAGTTGTACTATCTTGCTACATAGTAATCGCATTTTTAAAAACTCAAATTAGCCCAGAATGGGACGAAAAAAAAAATTGTCATGCGCAATCGCGATTACTACGTAGATGCGATACATTTTTTGCACTGCGTACCCACGGACACTTCACGGCTTTCCTCTGCAGTTCCGCAGCCCGTCCCGGGAGAAGAAGACTCAGCAGCCCCGCCTTCACGGCAGCTTCGCGGATGTCGTCGTAGAAATTCCTTTCTTCTTGTTCTCCGGAACGAACCGTGGGGAGATTATATCATATGCAAAAGTATCGCATTCGTATAAATGCAAGTCTTGCAATACAAATCTTTCTCTTAAGGCAAAACCGCATTGCAAATTTTATTTCTCATGCTGCGGAAATTTGTAATGCATTTATACGAGTACGATAACGATACTTTTGCAATGCATAGATTATCAACAAAAACGATTCCACTGAGCGCCGCGTCGCATCCGTTAAGGAGAAACCACTTAAAGCATTCTTCCGCTTCTTGCTTCAATTCCTCATCCTGAAAACCGTAGAACACGGACTCGGGGATTTTGGCTTCACTGTTGATCGTCGGCGCCGTTTTCGTGTAGATATCGGAGAGCGTCGCAACGTCGTTCAGATTTTTCGACAAGGGGGCAATCGACGCGTTGTTCGTGTTTCTAGTTCCCCGACCGGGCGGACCAGGGGCTCCTGTTGAAGACGCTGCGAGCTTCCGCTGTCCCGGTGTGTCCAGCTTCACGACTTTCCGCAAGGTGAAGGACGTGTCGTCGGGGTGTGGTCGCGGCGGAAGATGGTGTCCTCTATGGTTAGTTCCCGAGAGTAAGCGGTTCTTTGCACTTATCCAAAGAAAAAAGTGTTACAGTCACACATTTGCTGTCAATTCAGCAACACAAATTTTTTCCGCATGAGAGAGGAAACTTGCAATGCAAAGATCATGAAGGAAAACACGAATGAAACGAGGCTCAAAAGCATTTCTGGCATGACAGAGGTTGTCTGTCATGCTGGGCTTGCAACACAGTGTGTAACTGTGACTCTTTTTTCTCGTGAGAGCACTCCGCAAGTCCTCCACCTTGTTTTTCAAGCTGCCAATCAACGCTGCGGAAGAACTGGTTTTCACTATACTGCCGGATGAAGATGAAGTTGTTGAACTAGCGCCCCCGTCAGGACGAGCTGCTGCAAACAAAACCGCAAAGTGCGTTTTCGGGTCTTGGAGAAACAGCTCAGAGTGTGCCAACTCGAAGTGGGCTTGAAGCTCGTCATGAGCAGTCCTTGTTGTAGAGGAGTGTGCTGTCGTCCCCGTCTCTCCGGACGAAGATCCAATCGCTTCTCCGTTCTTATGCCAAAACTGGGAGATCCAATTGTTGATCGTGTTTTTGTGTACCAAATTTCCGGAGGAAAGCACCACGACGTCGGCGGCGTTCCAAACCATCTCTCGCTGCACAGGGTCGTACAAAGTGTTGTAAACCGCAAGGCACTGCTCGGGTTTGTCAAAAAGAGCCGCTGGTGCGACGACGTCTTCTGCAGTCGTCTTCCTCGTCGTCCCCCTCGAAGATACAGCTCGTTGTTTCGCCTGCGCACTTTTAGTTTCATGATACCCGCGGGGGATGTTCTGATACCTCGTTACCACTTGTTTGTTTCTAGGCAGAAAAGACGAGAAATCCGGTTCGACGTGCGCGGAGGTGCTGGCTGAAGAAACTCCTCGTTGGAAAAAATCGCGGGCCCCCCGAGGACCATATCCTGAGTAAAAACGTACCCACACCATAGTCAAGATGGGGAATCGGCTAGACAAATCCACAAGTTTTGGCTGTTTTGCATGACAAATTTGGACTCGTAGTGTGTTGCTGTTTGAGCTAGCTCAGCAGCATCACAGATCTAGCATACGATGCTGATTGGAGCATGACAAATTGCAAAACACGACTAGAAAATGCTTCTCATGGGGCTCCGCATGAGAAACATTTTCAGCATGCAGATTTGCATTACAACTCTGGTGTGGGTACGTTTTTACTCAGGATAGACCACGGTGATTCTTCACCGGTTTCGCCGCTGCGTGGCCTACAAGCGACGAGTTTGGCAAAGCCAAGAACAACAAGCTGAACACTATGAGAACTGGAGCCGCAGAGCAAATCGATCTTAAACAACAAGGCAGCAGAGACGACCATGTTGGGCGGAGAGACGAACGAAGGCTGGCCGCGACGAGCTGTCGACCGGGTCGACCAGGAGTTCTTTTACGGTGCAACATCATGATCGGCATGTCTTTATTTGATAGATAAGAAACAAATTATAAAAAGAATTTGTTGTTCGTAAAAAACCGATTAAGCCGATAGCAGTATGTGACGGCGTAAAATCAAAATATGGTTTCGAAACACGATGACGACGCGCAAGTAGAATATTGTTTTTCGTTTCGCAGGCAACAGAGAGTCTTTGCGTTTCGCAGACAGCAGAAGGAATTCTTCCTAAGTAACACTTGTTCCTAGTGGTCCTCTGTATAAATATGGGTCGAAAAATGAAGCACTGCAATCATTGTTGGATCATCTTGTATTTCAAGAACTCCAAGGCTTTTATCAAAACCGTCGGGAAGAAAACAAGATCGCGAAGAGCACAAGCTTTCTTGCCAGGAACGGAAAATCCGGCACAACAACCTCTGCAGAAGAAACACAAATTTCCAATGAAATAAACAGACATTGGGAACACCAGCGGAATTTCATAAGTAATTTCCTCGCACGTACTACTTCTCGCGGTTGCTTCCGCATGACGGGCGGGAGAAAGACGATACATATATCAAGTGGAAAGGCGAGATGGGTTGTAAAAAACCTGAAAGTGCTAGTATTCTGTCATGTCGGTCCATCGTCGGTCAAAAGCAGAAAATGGCAATAAACGCTGCTCTTCTCATGAACAGGTTGGTCGTGTGTAGTACCTACTATTCGTGTACATTCCAATTAGTGTCATAAGTTAATTGTTGTCGCTTCAGTCATTAAGCTCGTCGGCGTGACAGAGACAATAGTTCTACATCAGGTTTTGGGTGTCGTTAGAATTGATAGAAAGAAATTACCGCTATTGTAAAATTTGGTCCGTGAGTATATCTTCGTCGCTGAATAAAGATGTTGTTTGATTGCGGCAAAATTTTTGTTTGCATTTTCGCAATTACGATTTTTCAGGGAGAGAAATGAATCGACGATCCGCCATGGCCATCGCTATATCCTAGCACGCAGTCTAGCTTTACAATTACATTTCCATAGCAAAGTCTTCCTCTTCGTCCTCTTCCATGTTTAAAAGCTCCTCCGCCTCATCGTCATAGTTTTCCGACTATCCACTGCAAAAGTATCGCACTCGTAGTAAAAGTAATTGCATCAACCACGCATGACAATTCTCCTTCTCGTAATACCAAGGCAAATATGCACGACAAATTTAATCTGTAAAGCTGAGCAAATTTGTGATGCGATTTCTACTAGTACGATACTCGTGCAAAGTGGATACCGACTCCTCATATTCGTACTCCATCTCGACATCCTCCTCCAGAACCTGCATGAGAGATTTTATCATTCATATTTCCCTGTTTCGCTTCAGATGCATGAGTATGTGTTCGGCATCATGCATGAATGACAAAATCGGTGCCTTTTGTGAGCATTGGATGACAAACTTTCCGTACCTCCCCATCCTCCTCGTATTCGTCGTCGGCATCGACATGCTCACCCAGCTTATCCACTGCAAATATCCCTGGACGATGTCTGTAAGAATGCGAGTCTCTCATGCTTGGCCGACAAGACAGAAAGATCTGCCATGCTTGATGCGCTACAGAAGTGGTGCCACTTGTTGTTGTTTGTCATGCAAAAAGGCCATTTGTCGTCATTTGTCATGCGGTTCACGCTAGACATAGCCGCTCCGAAACTTGTCATGCGCGGCCCCCTGATATTACAGGTTGCCGTGTGTCATTCGGACATTAATAGCATCACAACTTAACTTTCCAGACCCAGACACATATTTGCAATGCATACAGTTCCTCGTAGTACTGCTCGCCCCGTACATCGACATTCTCCTCCACCTGTTGCCTCTCGTCAAAACCAGACGAGCCCTCCGCAGCGAGAGCCTGATAATGTAAGTATTCGGTGATGTAGTTGTGTGGAGAATTTTTGGAAAAACAAAAATCTAATTTGCCCTTACCTCGTCTTCTACAAAGGTCGTGCATGTTAATGACAAACGCATCCTATCTGTTGTAGAATGTTGCATCACGAATATCTGAAAATTATCTACTTGCAGAGCATCGGCGAAGTTGTTTCCATTGCCATTCCCCATCGAAAAGTTGTCCGTGTTGAAGGTACTACCGGAAGAACGTGTGCTTGTAGAGGCGGTGGACGATGAGGTGTGGGGCTGTTTTTGTGTTGTAGAAATCAAATCCCAGACACAAGTCTGCTTATCGGTCCAATCGAGCATCAAGCTATTTTTCTTTTCGTCATGCACAATAGCCACAGCCACGGGGTATCTTTTTGTCATGCAAAAACACAACAAAAAAATCAAATACCACATGGTCCAGCATTCCCTCTTTTGAGCGGAACACCTGGCTCGGGAAAATCACGCCTTCGTCCAACCACTTTTGCAAGCACGGGCGGCAGTGCAAGTCCTTGAAAATGACCTCCGAGCAGTAGCGGGCCTGCAACACATCCTCGTCGTCGGATTCCTCTTCGGAGGACATTTTTTCCTCGTCTTCCGCAGACAGTTCGCCGTCGGTGTCGTTTTCGGAACGGTTGTCGCCATTGTTCTGTTGGTCGTCGTTTGCATGATCCGCATTTTGTTGTACCTGTTGCTGATGTGCAGCAGCAGGAGCAACAGCAACGCCCTGGAGGTTATCATTTTGTGCTCCCCCATTGTTGTTTCTTCTTCTTCTTCTTCTTCTTTCCATTCCCTCGTCCATCACCCGCACAACCCGCACCAGCGTGGGTCGCCTATGCATTGCAAAAGTATCGTACTAGTATAAATTGCATTGCAAATTTTTCCAGAAGGAAAAAGGAAATTTGTAATGCTGATCCACCTAAAAAGGGAGATTTGTGACGCATGACTGCAATTACTACGAGTGCGATACTTTTGCACAGGATATCGACCGTGCTCCAGCAAGCCGAATTGTTTCAGACATCTCTTCCGCCAGTCTGGGAGGGTATACGTTGCAACAGTATCGTTATCGTATTCGTTTTCGTACAAGTAGAAACCGCATGACAAACTTTATTTCCAGCATGAGAAATAGAATTTGTAATGCGGATTTACATTGAGAAAGAATTCTGTAATGCATGACTGCGATAGTACAACTTTTGCAATGCATAACGGTTCAGCTTCAGCAAAACGTCGTACTCCTCGACCTCGTCCAACCGTCCCTGCTATGGATTGCAAAAGTATCGCGCTCGTTTTTTTAGTGATTGCAGTCATGCATGACAAATGTTTTTCGTATTAGGTAAATCCGCATTGCAAATTCCATTTTTCATGCTGAGGAAATTTGTAATGCAATTACACTAAAGCTAGTACGATACTTTTGCAAAATCCATACCTGTCTCCGGTTCCTCCCCGAACAAATCGTCACTGTGCATCGCGTTTTTATTCGGTTGAGTCGCCTTTGCTCCTCTTCCTGTCTCTTTTGTCGTGCTTCTGCTTCCCGCTCTTGCCGGACCATGTCCGAACAACCGTGCCGCTGCTCTTCCGGGGACAGTTTCAGCCAATCCTCGTGAAAACGCCCGCCTCCCTTCAAGTGCAAATTCCTCCTTTTCTCCTCCATCCGCAGGCGTCGCTGGTAGGCACGCTCGTCCTCGGACTGATCACAGTCGGAGGTGTCAGAGACCGCCGTGCCGCGTGGCGCATCCCTAGTACGTGGAGAAGACGACATGATCTCGTTATGAGTAAGATGATCTACGGCCGTTTATTTAACGGTATTGGAACGGTTTAGGTAGCAAGCGCGCGCCTTGAAGAAGAGACAAAATCGTATTCCGTCAAAAAGCGATGATGTGGTTGCGATTGCATTTATTGCACGATGAGTGACGTCGTGCACGAGTTGTTCTTGTTTCCGATTTATGAACGCACCATAACCTTCAGACGTATTACAACAACTTCCGGATGATCAAAGGAGCGACCACAACCCAATGATCGCCGGAAAATGTTTCATTTTTCAAACACAGTGACTTCGATTGTGATTTTTGTCGCAGCCACGCAGCATAAAACTACTAACATCACCATGCAACGAACCATAAAGGACGATGGTATGAATGATCGTTCAGATTTCTTAAATCAGGAGCTTGGGCTTGTGATCCATGAAGGACGGAGGGCGTCGCAACTATCATGAAGACGAAAAAGCATGGTCTTCGAAGCAAAGGATCACGTCGGGCAGGAACACAAAAAACGTAAAGACCCTGGGAGCCACTTGGATGAATAGGGCCAACGTAGTAGAAGTGGCTTGGCCGCCGCATCTTCCCCGGCCGAGTGAAATCTCATATAGCAAGGCGCATGCCACTAGAGGCAGAGGTCGGGAACAACCCGGAAGCAAAACAGTAAGTGGCACCCCGTTGGCAAGCGTGATGCCCATTCGGGAAATTAATCAGTCACATTGGCCGGGCGGCCGTTTGTGCGCCCACCACAGAAAACACCAGCGCCCGGACGGTGCACGCACGTCGTCGCGTGATTGCGTGTCCGAGAGGCTGCGAAGCTGGTGCGGGCGGGCGGCGAAGCAGGCCCGGCGCCGGGCCACCAAAACTGCCGCGGTGCCTGTTCCCCTAAATCTCGACCCAAATTGCGGGCGGGCCCTGCCCACAAACAACACGCACGGGCGGGCGCACCATGGGGATGGCGCGCGACAAGGGGGGGGGGCGGGGGGGCGCGCGGAAGGGCGCCGGGGCGACATGCCGCCGCGATGGCCGCGCACGATCGCGCGCCACCACATGGGCGCGCGCCAATAGATCGCCGCAAAGGGCAACAAGACGGCGCGTCGACCATTGGATGTCGCCGCGGGCGGTCTGTGCGTCCTCCATTGGCGCCCCGGGCTGCCGATTTGTGTAACGCCGTCTGGTTGCCCCACCTTCAGGACACCGGGCAGCCTGAGGGTGCGCGAGAGCTGCGCCCCCCCGGCTGGTGCCTCCGGGGCCCAGGCGCGCCCCTTGGGCTTACAATGTGAACACGAATGCGATAATCTGGGCAAGCGAGCACAGCCGCCCAGGCCGGGACCAGGGCCTACGCCCCCAAGTCGCACACCCCGAGGGCTGGTGACAGACGAGGCGCGGCACCGAGTACGTAGGTACACGAGGCGCGGGCGGCCGTCAACAAGCCCATCCCGAAAACGCCAGCCCGCCGGCCCGCCCCTTTCGGCTGGCCAGCTAGCCTGCGGGCTGTCCGGCCGGGGCATCTAGGGGCCCGGCCCCACAAACATCACCCGGCCGGGGCGGCACTTGTCGCGCTCGAGCTCCTTGGTCTGCCCCAGTTTGATGGTCATGATTTCGCGCAACAGCTCCACTTGTCTCTTCGTTGGGGGGCGGTAGGTCTGCGAAAAGCGCCGCCCGATCTTCTCCGCGGACCAACGCCCCCGGGCTAGTCGGCCGAAGCTGCGCCCCAGCCCCCTTCTGGCACCGGTAGGCGGCCGAACATTCGGCCGCCGCACTTGGCGCCTCTCGGTAAATGGCCGCCAGCTTTCCCACCGCTATCGAAACGAAAGGGGCGCGCGTCGCATTCGCCAACCAGGGCAAGGGCAAAGGCAAGGGCAAGCCTTGAAGCCAACACAACCCCGCAAACACACAGCCGACGCCCCCCCTGCCCAGCCCCAAGCCTTGCAACTTTCTGCCCCGCGGAGCGTGGCGATTCGGGCTTTTCGCGACCGCCGCGGCAAACGACTCGGCCGCCAAACACGTGACGAACCGCTCCGCCCGGCTAAAGAATAAAGCGATCGACTTCACGGCAAAGCGAAGACCTGCTCTTCCCAGAGTTTATTGGCAAGGAACACAAACCGCGGCCAAACGGGCAACCACAGCGGTTGGTTAGGTTGTAAGTTCTACTTCTTTCTTAGTTCAGCTTCAGGTTCAGCACAGCCTTCATTTGTTGTGTGAGTCCTTCATTCGATGTCGATCTGAATGTACTTCAGAAACAAACAGGTGCTGCGTCAATCTATGTTCATTCTTCTTTTTGTCAAACTGTCCGCTTAGCATCGGATCGTCCGCGACTTCTACTTCTAAAGACTCGCCTTAAACCTGCTTCTTTTCGCAAATTCATTTTCGTGCTCCACAACCCTCTTCTCGACCTTCCACTGCACTTTGCAGCACCGTTCCTTCACGTCGTTCAACAGACTCTGAATGGTCCGGTGCTTCCGGATTTCCAGCTTTTTGATGGCCGCATGCCGTAAAGCAATGGGATTATGCATTGCAAATATGTCGGGGTGGTCTGGAAGGATGCAAATTGTGATGCTACCTCTGGACTCTACATAAAATCTGTATTGCATGAACAGGAAAATAAGAGGTCCAAGAATTTTTGCTACAAGGAGAGGGCATTTCTCATGCGGTATGGGCATCCGAAAGCCCTCGCAAAATCTGTGATGCTAGGGCATGCATCACAGACATCACGGGTGGTCATGCAAAACGTGCATGGCAAACGTCGCACTTTTCCAGACCCAGAAATATTTGCATGTGATAGGGGTGCACCCCGGACAAAAACGCGTACACCGGCGAGTAGCCTATCGCAAGAAAAAACTGCTTCACTGTGAACTTGTGATGCAGAGAATGGAGCACCGAACGATTTGTCTTGCTACACCTGCAAGACGTTGGATTTTTTAGCGTGTTTTCACTTGAGAAGTGAGCATGGCAAATTTTCTGTGTCATGTGTGACAAACTTGTGATGCAGATCTTGCAAGATCATCACAGTGAAACAGTTTTTTCGCGGGATATAGCCGTACTTCCGCTCAATCTCCGCGTGTCGCAAATCGTTAGGTGTGACGGGGCCGATCCCCCCGTGGACTATCGGCAGTCGGACTTGGAGCTCGTCTTCCAACTTCGTTAATTCTTGTTGCACCGCATCGAATAATATGAACTGCAAAAGTATCGTACTAGTAGTGCTTGCAATACAAGTTCGCTCAGCACGACAAATGAAATTTGTCATGCTGATTTGCCTTGGAAACGAAATCTGTAATGCATGACTGCAATTACTACGAGTACGATACTTTTGCACAGGATAAATAAGCCGATATTTTTCGTGCGCAGCATGATGGAAACCACAGGCCGGGGCCGGAGAGTCTGCTCGTGGTTGGAGATGATGTCATGATCTACTACATCTGGCTCGTAGAAGGCTGTGGGGGATGACGAGGTTTGTTTGTCAATACTAGCTTGGGTAGTTCTTAGGTACTGCTGGTCCTCGTGCTCTGTAAGTGCATCCACCCCGGCACGACCGGAATCACGTAGCCTAATATCGCTGTCCTTGAGCAGAGGATGTTGGTGTTCGGGTTCAGAAGATGAGGCAGCTCTTCTAGCGGAGGTAGCGGAGGTACTACCCCTTGCCGACCGACGGCCACGGCCGCCTGCTTCCTGAGGTGCATCGCCGCGAGGGTGGTCCTCGGATTCTGCAGTAACAGTGCCGTCAGTGTCATCAAGTCGTCCGGCGGGAAGATGAGCAGTGGCCTCTATGCTTGCTTCAGTTGTAGTACTAGATGCAAAACCTCCAGTACCTGCTGCGGTGGAGCACGACTGGTCGCTGGTGCTACTACTGCTTGTTGTTGTTCTCCTTCTATCATCCGTGTTGTAAGTTTCCCACTCGTAGAGCCCGCGCTCTGCAAACTCCCTCTGCCGCAGGTCCTTCTCCTTCCGTTTCTTTTCAAACCAGTCCGGATCCGTATCCTCCGGCAGGTCAAAAATCTTCCTCGTTATGGCCCGCGCCGCGAGTCTTCTATGCAATGCAAAAGCCTCGTACTCGCAGTATCGCAACACAAATTAGCTCAGCTGCATGACAAATGGAATTTCTCATGCTGATTTAGCTTGTGAAAGAAATTTGTATTGCATGACTGCGATTAGAAATAAACGAGTACGATACTTTTGCAATGCATATCTTTCCTCTTCGTGTAATTTCCGTTGGCTTTCCATCGCGTCGTACTTTTGTTTGTCTTTTCTGTACTATGAGAGTCCACAATTCCCCCTTTCCCTCATTTGTGATGCGCAATCCCAAATCCAGCTGTTGCCTTGTAGCGCTGTTTGCACGACAAACTCTGGAAGCTGCCCAAAAAGCACTACAGTCCGTGCATTAACTTGTCATGCACATCATACACACGTGCTGGCGTTTCTATTGCTGGTCATGCCATACAAAGGAGGGGGAGGCGGAGTTGTGCACTTTCATATGTACCAAGCGGACTTTTTCGTGCTGGTGTCGAGGAGAGCTTCCGTGGCGAAATCGGCAGTAGAGCTTGTCATGCTAGACGCGGATGAGGACGGAGCTTGTGATGCAGAAGACACATGCATTCTTTCGTCTGCAACTTTCATCTTGTCCACGTAGTACAGGTGCCCGGTTTCGCTTCTACATGATGAAGAATTTCGCAATTCCTCCTCCGCCCGTGCCTTCGCTTTTTCCTCCTCGAGCTTCTGCCTAGAAACCGCTGCGGCGCGCTTACTCTTTCGGCCGCCAGAAGCTTGTGTTGCAGCTTCAGCTTCGGCTTGGATCATTTGTTGAGAAGATGCTGTCGTTGTATCGCCAGAGGAGCTGCTTCGAGGTGCTTGTTCCGGCTCAATCAAAATGTTCCAAGAGGGCTTAGTGGTGTTACAACTTGTGCTTTGGTTCTGATCTCCTTTCCCCTTCACAAACACCGGCCTTTTCGCGCTGTTTCCGCCAAACTCTTCGATTTTCCCAAACTGTCGGTCTTCTTTCACTAGTTCATTTTCGCCATCCTGCATTGCATCCTCATCGTCACTGTCAAGGTCTTCTAGGATTTTCAAATCCTCTTCCTCCTCATCTTCGTCGGCTGTTGACGCAAGAGCATTATCTCCATAATTTTTCCTCTTTCTATCCCTGGTCGTTGTGTCCCCGCCCAACATTTTCAGGCTCGCCCCAGGCGACACCAAATTTTCATTTTTGGACCGAAAAAAATCGGCCTCTACCCTGTTCTATGAATTGCAAAAGCATAGCACTTCTAGCATGAATTGCATTACAGATTTCCTCAGCTTGAGAAATGGAATTTGTAATGCTGAGTGATTGACCTTAGGAAAAAGATTTGCAATGCATTATAACTGCAATTACTACGAATGCGATACTTGTGCATTTCATATGTTCCCCAAATTCACCGGGTCAAAATTCCACGCGACGTTGATCGTGGGGCCGGAAACTTCATCCACTGCAAAAGCATCGCACTCGTATTGCAATCATGCATTACAAATCTTTTCCTTAAGGTACATCCGCATTACAAATTTTATTTCTCATGCTGAGGAAATTTGTAAATGCATTTATACGAGTACGATACTTTTGCAATCCATAAACTTGGCACTTCGTCAACTCTTCAATCCGGTACCGGTGTTGGTGTAAGCGGAAGCACCTAGATCTTTCAAACACCATTAACAAATCCCCGTTGCTCATATCCCCTTTGACGTAACTGTTTTTCTTCACGCCGGAGAGCCGGACCGCGGCACCCGGCCCCGCGATTTCCACGGTCGGGGGACGGAGCAAGCGCGTGTAGGGGGACGAGCGGCGTTCTAAGTTCGGAGTTTTACCGCTCAACTCGTGTTGCAAACCCTGTTGAAACCTCAGAACGTCATCTCCCTCGTACATCTCCGCGATTTTTCCGAAACTTGACCCCGCGACGAAATGCAATCCTTTTTTCAGCTGTCCGTATTTGACAATCACGGTGATTAACGTCCCCCGGTCCGCGGTCTTTTCCACCTCGAGAATTTGGGCCAGGCACTGTGGCTGCGAAGTGACGTTGACAAGAAAGTCGGTTCTTCTGGTATAAGCAGCGAGGCGGTCGGCGGCAGTAGAGGAATATGATGTGGTTGAAGTGCGATGATCTGGATGTTGGCCGTTAAATGGTCTGCTACTCGTCTTTCTACTCTTCAGCGGATCGTCGTGCTTGGATGTAGTGGAGTCCTTCGTTCCTTTTTGACAATCCTGCGTATGAGCGGCCTTTTCATTATTTCCATCCTCGGTTATCGCAGTCGACTCGGGGAGTTTTGCGGCGAGAAAATCTAGTTTGTGGCTTTTGTCAACATTCGAGGCTGCCGTATTTTTCCCCCCACCGTAGATTTCCCCACACATCCTGTGCACTTCGTCTATCACCGTTTTTACCGAATTCAAATTGTTTGCGCTTCCCATCAAACAGCACATTGGCAGTGCTTTTTCCGCACAAGGGGCCCAGTTGTAGGTGAGAGTACCCTCGTCGAAGAGGTCTTTGCAATGCTGTCCTAGTAGTTGCTTCGCTTTTTCTAATGCAGGACTGCTAGAAGTGGAAGTGGATGCGGGACCAGAAGTAGTACCAGCCACACGATGAAAATTTTGATCTGCTACTATCAGGTCCACTTTGTTGATGACAAACAGCACCGGCGTTTTCCACTTTTCCACGTGTAGGAGTAGCTCCGTCGTTTTCTCTTGCAGGGAGTCTCCACCAGTTTGGGCACTTGATTTGTCATGCGTTCTCTGCATGACAACTTCCTCCTCCATCTTCAACAGCTTCTCCGCCGAAAATACCACTACTGCCAGATCCGCAACAGAAGTGGTCCGTCCGCGCATGAGTTCGAACAATTCGTGCCCCGGCGTGTCAATCCAGGTAATCGGCCTCGTGTCCAATGGTTTGTACAGTTGCAGCGGGTAGGAATTCGTCTTCAAATTTTTGCTGTTTCCGAATTCGTCTTGCGAAGACACCGCGGGTTGGATGTTTTTCTGCTCCAGCAAATCCGTTTCTTTTTGAAGGAGAAGCTTCTCCTGCGACAAAGCGTTTTTATTTGCTTTTTCTTCAAGAAGCGCAGCGGAATCTCGTGGGGAGGATACGAACGGGGGCGACGACGACGGCGGCGGCCTTTTCGAAGTACCTCTTGACTTTCGCCCACCGCCTGAACAAGATGTGGCAATTGAAGTGACGCCCTCGGAGTGATTAACGTTCTCCGAAGGTGGAACACCAGCCAATTCGGTTTTTGAAAAAGCACCAGCGTCTTCGCTTGTCGTTGTACCTGCCGCGGTATTGAAAATTGAGTTCATGCGCTCTGACATCGATTTCTCTTCTTCAAAACCCGTAGTTCCGCTTTCGTCGGAGGCTAGTGGCGCAGTGTCTTCCATCAGCTCTGCCACTGCCACACGACGATCATCTCCTTCTATTCCCGCTTCATTTGGAGCAGTTGAACGTGGCTTGTTGTCAACACGGCCCTCGCGCAGGCTCGAATATTCCCGCTTAGCTGCAATAGAGTGCGTTGTACGTCGTCCCTCATGAGGAGCATCGGCGTCAAATGTACCCATTTCCGCGTCGCCTTCTTGACCTTCTGCTAGACCAGCGGGGGCACTAGAAGTAACACAACCCCCTCCTGCCTCCTTCACGTAATACGCCCCCTCATCCTCTTCTTCCCATATGGAGCGAGTTCTCTCCCCCTACCCCGGAATTTCATCGTTTTTTCAACTATTGAGCAGGTTTGATTTTTTGTTTTTCGGCACCTGCTCACACATGCCGACGTCGGTTCCCGAGCATCAGACTCTGTACACTAGCTGCGGAAAAAGTGGACCATGAAGTAGTACCCTGCGCGCACTAGCTAATTAATTCGATCGAACCATGTGAGATAGCTAGAAAGTTGCAAACTATCAAGCGTGAGCCATCCGAATTTCGCGCAGCGCACATATATATATAAGTATTGCCATTAGTAATATTACATACATTATCTGGGTCCAAAGGCTCGGCAAACTTCTGACGCCCCGGCTCCGAGTATTCTGGTGGGCCGGCTCTAGTGGAATGAAAAATCATGAGCCGGCCCACAATTTGCAAAAATCAACAAAAGCTGCGCACTTTGGCGCAATGGGCCTGATTTGAAAAAAATCGCAGTCCGCTGCATGTTCGGACCACTACCCCGAGGATTTTCCCGGATTTTTCGCAGCACAAAAACGACAAAAAAATAAAGCGAATGATCGTTATGGTTTTTGGTTTGGGTCGATTTGGGTTCTCCGTCGGGGGTTCAATACGAACATGCATGGCATGCGCAGAAACCGGCTCGACCAAACTATCTGCTGCATGATGGCAGCAGAGTTCCCAAGTTTGTTCGGGGTCGCAGTATGAACTTGCGCGGTATGCTCCACGTTTAGGGAGTGCATGTTTTTGCAATTGTACGTAAAACTATTGAGCAGCTCAAGTTTTTATTTTTTTTGACCTGCTCAATAGTTTTCGGATCCGCAGAATCCGCAGATCTCGGATCTCGACTTGAACTCGAGATCCGAGATCCACGGATTTCGGACATGAGCATTTTGGTGGAAGCAAATTTCGGATGGCCCATGTGTGACAAACTAAAAATTGCTAGCTATCTCACATGGTTCGGATAAAGTGGCTAGTGTGCACAAGGTCACTTCTCATCGTCCACCTTTTCCCTAGCTAGTGCACAGAATCTGTCGCTCAGGTCCACACGCTCGGATCATGTGACCGGGTCGCATTTTTTTATTTTTCAGACCTGCTCAATAGTTTGAAAAACGATGAAAAACCGGGGTAGGGGGAGAGACCACGTGGGATATCCCACAACTCCTCGTCCAATCTCCTCTCAATCGCGTGGTGGTCTCGAAACTTCTCATTCGGATAGTACTCCAAAAATTCCCGTCTTTTCTTCTCCTTATTCTCCGCCGTGATCCTCTGCCCTATCCGCAAATTTCTTCTAGGTGCGTAGTCGTTTGTCGGCTTGTTATCAAATGCAAAAATGTCTGGGTCTGGAAGAGGAGAAGTTTGTCATGCACATTCTCCATGATCCATGACGTCTGTGATGTATGCCATAGCATCACAGATTTTTTGGACGCCTATCGATGCGCATCCTGCATGACAAATGCCCTCTCCGTGTAGCCAAATTTGACTCCTCTTGCTGCTCATGCAATGCAGATTTTTTGTAGCATCCAAATGCAGCATCACAAGTTTGTCTCTTCCAGACCCAGACATATTTGCATTTGATACTTGTGCTTGGAATACAGTACTGGCCGTTTTGTCCCGTTGTTCTCTTTATCCTCCTCGTTTTTCAGCATGTTCTTCTCCAAAATGCTCAGGTCTGCATTCTCTAAACTCGCCAAATACGTCTCTTTTCCCTCTTGTCCGAGCGCGTCCAGCCCGTCCTGGAACTTCACGAAATTTTCCGGTTGTTTCGGCGTTTCTTGTTTTTTCAATTGTTTCGTTTGTTCGTTGAAGTTCAGATACAACTTCCGTCTCATACAGTCCAACTCGGAGAGGCTCTCTTCTTCTGCTTGGGAGAGCTGGGCTAAAGCGTCTTTGTCGTGGTCCAGGTATGGATCTTCGGTGCTGGACCAGCTGTCTGTGTTGCCGGACGCCGCTAGAGCGGTAGTTGAGGATCTTGGCACAACTGCGTTTGTCATGCTAGAACCACCGCTAGAGAACAATAACCTTCTCTCCATCTCCCGAACCTGTTCCCACGGATCCAACATCCCGGGCCTAACACACGTCTCTTCCTTAATCGTGAATGCCCGGATATCCTGCGTGATCCGACCAGGCTCCAACCTCGCGACATTCGTCCCGCGCACCCGATCGAGGAAAGAGGTTTTCCCCTCGTCAATGTGCCCCAGGACGACGACTGTCGGGATAATGGAAGTTGTCATGCTAGTATTTTTCGTCGACGAAAGGGGCATCTGCACATGATCACCAGAACTTTTATCCTTCTTGTTCATCCCTTCCAACATCCGTTCCGCCAACACCTTCCGGTCCCATTCCGGCTCTACATCCAACAATTTCGGCTCCAACCCGAAATCCGCGGCTGCCGCCGCGGCGATTCTATACGGAATCAAGACGCACCGCTTGTTCGCCGTTTTGAACACCCGGTTTGCCTGGTCCTTCCAGGTGTACGCCCCGTCCTCGAAAGTGACGTTCAACAAGCGGAAAATCTCGCTGTAGCCTAAATTGAACATTACCCGTAACTCCGCGGCGGCGACGTAGGGGGGGAGAAGAATCACCTTCGATTGCTGCTTCCTCCCCTTCACTATCCTGTGCAAAAGTATCGTACTCGTAGTAATTCAAATCATGCATTACAAATTTCTTTCTCAAGCTCAACGTAAATCCGCATATACAACTTTTATTTCTCACGCAGAAGAAATTTGTAATGCATTTATACGAGTAATACGATGCTTTTGCATTGCATATTCACTAGTGTCCATTTTGCCACCTTTCTCGGGATGTAGAGGTTATGTCGCTTCGGCGCGTCGGAAAAGCAACGGAGTTGGAGGTTTTGTGCTCTCGAACTCGATGTTATTTTTGTCGCAAGACAAATTTCGAACCTTCCATATGCACGGCCACCGCGGTCGGCCAAAGATCGCCCAATCGTGCAGTGGCGGGAAAGATGACGAGCTGCAGGAGCAGGGTGGCGGAGATGAAAGGGTTTCATTTTCGCTGCACGAAGAACGTTATTTCAGATGAACACGTCGCAGCCCATTTTCGACGGGGGCAGGCGATCGGTGTTTTGGATCTTTTTTCCGGAAGGTCGCACTATTTTTTTCTTCCGCAGAGGACAAACAACGCAACACCAGCATGGATCTTCCGACCTGGATCTCAGTAGCAGGGACGACCGCAGCGAAAAAACCCGCGTTTCTCAAGAACATGTGAAAAAAGAAGATCTTGCTCATCCGAACATAACATCAAGCAGAACCACTGCAGCTGTCTGCGATGTCTTCAAAAGTGCACGCTTGGCACCCACAGATTAATCGTGCGCTGTGAGAAGTTGTTTTGCTATGCTGTCGACAACCGTCTTTATTTGGTCGTGCAATTCTTCAGCGCCTTATTCATTCATTCGCATTCATCGTATCGTACACCCGTAATTTCCTACTCAGAGTCTGTATGATCCCTAGGTACAGACAAACCACGCCCGTGAAAAAAAAGCTCACGGAGTAGAAGTGCCGTTCATACGCAAATTCTAAAACAGGTGTAATTTCCGAGCCATAGTTCCCTACGACATCCACGACCGCTTTCACGTAGCCCTCGACTTGAAAAACTTCTGTTGCAGCAGCAACTACAGTCGCCGCAGCGTATTCGAAATACTGCATGACAAACCGCACCAAAATCTCCGGATTTAAAACCAACTCCGTCACTTGCGCGAGAGTCGTCATGGCAAGCTCTTCGTAGTAAGTTGCGGTGGTTGCGACTATTGCCGCGGTGGTTGACCCGGTCGCGGTGAAGAGTAGTTTCTTCCGTTTCTTCAACCCATTCACAATAAATTCGTACTTTTTCCTCCGAGCTAACCTCTTCAGCAGCTGTTCCATGTCCGTTGCATCGATCAATTTCTTCGCTTGCGCCAGCCAAGTATCGATACAAACGGTAGTATTGTCGTCATCCTTTGCGAAGGAGAAAGTTGTAGAGGAGAAGTGCATGTGAATCTCTGTTGCGTCGTGAAGTTCCAAGATGATTTTGTTCCTCTGTGTTTTCAACAATGCGATGATGAGGAAGAGAATGGTGTAATAGGATTTTGGCTTAGATTTAGAAGTTAATCTACTTGTACTTCCCCCGCCGTCATCACCAACATCACCAGCACTTCCTTTACACTCCGCGACCAAAACGTCGAACACGCGGGATAGCAATTCGAACTCATTCACACTGTGCGCGAAAAAGGTAAGCAGCCACGCTAAAGTGAAGTGGAGGGAAATCTGCCCGGTGTCCGCGAGCCCAGCGTGCGCGTTTAGGTATTTGAAGTGGGTAAAGAGCTGCGGGTCGTGTTCGCGTAAAATCTGCTCCATAATGTCGAAAAGCGGAAAAATGATCTCGTCGAACCGCTTCTCCGGGGACAAAAACTCCTTCATGTATGAACTGCAAAAGTAAAAGTATCGCACTCGTATAAATGCATTACAAATTTCCTCAGCATGAGAAATAAAATTTGTAATGCGGATTTACCTTAACAAAAGGATTTGTAATGCATGACTGCAATACGAGTACGATACTTTTGCACAGGATATCACGAGCGTTTTGTCAATGAAGGTTCTCACAGAACTCGCCGCGGAAAATCTCGTGCTCATCGTTTCGAGGAAGACGAGGCAGATGTCGTGGAAGCCCTGGTAATATTTCCAGGTATTTGTGATGGTTTTCTGCTTTTTTTCCCTATGATCGATCTTTTCCTCCACCAAAACCTCGCCGAGCAGCTTTATCAACGTGTTCCGCTTGTTCTGTCTGTCCGCCAACCGCATGGATTCAATCGGGAGTTCTGATTCCTTTTTGTGAATATCCCATGAGAAACAGGACCTTTTCACATCCGCCTCGATCACGTGGAGGTCGTTCGCCGGGAGCTTGTGCTTCAATTCGGGCGGAATGTACACCGCGTCAAAGTCTTGCTGAATAGAAGCGGGGATATTATCATCGTCATTCGAAACTGTCCTCGTTCTACTTACCGCGGTGTCTGTTTGGGTAGTTTTTGCGGCTTCCAAAATGGTCTCCCCGAGCTTGCTCGCTTTGGTTGTTTTCACCGGTAGCTCGCCGAGGAGTTTCGCGATCAGCTTCTGCTCTAGCGCCTTGTCCTTGAACTTCGCCAGAATGTTCTGTTTCTTCGTTTTTTGGTTGGTATTCGTATTAGAGGGAGCTGTTGGTTGTTGCAGTAAAAACTCCCAAATTTCCGCCCGGACGATTCGTCTTGCGCCGAAACCACGACTGTACGCAATGTCGCGGAGGGTTTGCGTAGTTTTGGTTTTTTCGGTGGGAGAGCGGCTGGACGAGGAGGCTGACGTGGACATTTTCTACTTTATGCTTTTTCAATTTGTTTCCCGGCACTTAGAGTTGGACTTACAATCCAACTCAAACAAATGATAAACTGGAACTTTATTTTCTGGAAGCGTTCTTGTTGATAACGATAAGCCGCGAAGAAAAAACTGTGTTCACCTAGCAGCACAAAGGCACGGCTAATAAAGGCAGGTAGATCGCTGTGGAGGTTTTTCTTACAAACAGACTCGTATGCGCCCGTTGCAAAGGCGGAGAGTAAAAATCAAAAATGCGGAGGAAAAAAGCGGCCGGTGTCACAGAAAAGGTGCTTCTGAGTTTAGGAAATTGGATCATCATCGTGCGAGAACAGTACAATGGCTGTCCAAGGAGCGACCGAGGGGCGGTCCGTGCCCCTCCCTATCGTTCTGACGACCACACAGCTGTGGCGATATCCGCAGGACAATATCAAATGTTAGTAAATGTGCTTTTTCCAGATAGTGAAAGATTCAGGTTTCTACTAACGATGAGTTTATTTACCTTTTCGGTGACAGCAAGCAGGAGAGCAGGATGAGTTGATTTGTACGTCCTCAGCAGAGCAGCAGGTTTTCTAAAAAATGTTTGATGGCGCAACGTCTTTTCGTTGCCACACAAAAGTGTTTGTTCAAGATGGAAAATTTGATCTTCACTACGACAGAATCTTAATATCTCCAGAAGCTACACGGTCGCGTAGTAGCAGCTTCCCGACCCGTAGCAGGTGCTGTTTTTCACGAGACTGCCCCGCGTAGATTTCCACTCAGCAAAAGCCGCGTGGGGGTTTGCGCACTTGGTCTTGCCGCCCATCAAACCCGTCTCTGCGCGTTTGTACATGCCGAGGAGGGTGAGGAAAACCAGATCCTGCGGAACGTAACTGTGATTGATGGGTTTTTTATACTAGAGATTTGTCATGCGAGATTATCAATTGCAGAAGCATTTTGTCATGCAGAAAAACCATGACAAGGAAAGAAAAACGTCGTATACTATGTCAACGCCGCGATGGTACAGGCGACCAGCAAGGAGTCCTGTCGAAACGCCGTTGGCTTCCCGTATCCTGTACAGAAGTATCGTATTCGTATAATTGCAGTCATGCATTACAAATTTTTGTCTCAAGGTAAATCCGCATTACAAATTTTATTTCTCACGCTGAGGGAATTTGTCATGCATTTATACGAGTGCGATACTTTTGCAGTTCATATCCCGCCACCGAGTACCATGGTGCGCTTCTGCATGTTGAAAAAGTTGCTTCTCAGCGTCTGGGCGGAGGTGAAGCTGCTGGTCTTCTTCGCAGCCGTCGAGAGGACGCGACCGAGCATCTTGATTTGGGGTTTGCTAAGGTGTTGCCTCGTTCCGGTAAGCTGCTCTTCTGTAAAGCTAAATGTAGTGAAGATTTTTAGTGCAAATATGGCAACCACTTCTGGTCAAAGAGTTCTTCTTCCATCTCAATCTCCTCTCTGTCCAGCCACACCCGCCTGCATACTGACAAGTCTTGTAAAAGTTCCCGGGATGTGTGCGTAGTGTATCTCCAAACAGAAACACTCACAAGAAAATCGCTCTCACCTCCCCGTTCGCGCAATTTTGCGCAGCAGAAGCAGAACTAACACCACGCTGAGAAACAAAAACCAGCTGCGAGTGCGTCAGCCTCCTCCTCATGGTAATTCAACTTCAGAGAAAAACTGCGCCGACTCGGCAATACAGACTCGCTGCCCTGCGCCAGACTGACAACGCGGCCTGTGTGTGGGCGCGCCGCCTAGTCGCGCCGGCAAATAAATTGACCCAAGCCACGAGACCCACCGGCGGGCCGACGCCGCATGGCGGCGGGCGGCCCACAGCACACAGGCAAGCAACCGCGGGGGACAGGCCACCCAGCGCGCGGGCGCGGCCCACAAAACGCGGCCCCAGTCAAATGGGCCAGCTCCACCACATATGGGCCCCGCCGGGCCGGTGGGGTTGGTAAACTCCCGGGCCGGCTGCACTGCTTCCCTGCTAGAACGAAGCAGGGAACCATCCGGCCGGAGGGCCCGGGCGGGGGGGGGGGCGGGAAGAAGCGACGCCCGGGCGGCCCGCTCTGCTTGCAGGGGCCCACACAAAAGCAGGGGGGGCGCCCCAGAAATATACGGGGCCAGCGGGGCGCCCCGACAGGCGTAGGGCAGTGGGCCGCACTTCGTCGGCTTTTGGCTTTGCCCCCCCCCCCCCCCAGTTTGTTCGCAGACCGCCGCGAAAGGCAAAAGCCAAACGCAAATCGATAAAAAATAGCTGCGCCTACTCGCGCCGCCCCGCGCCTGCCGCGACGGCACACAGGCCGATTGCGATTATCAGCGTTTCGAAGTGCCCGGGGCCTGGGCCTGGGCCTTAGGGGGGCCACTGCCGCCCGTCGCGGCGGGCGCCGGCGTAGTGGCGGCGGGGAGGGTTCGCCCGTCCGGGGGGGCCTTCTCGTTCGCGCCAGCCCGGCCGCTCGTTGCGTGCGTCGGTCCGTGGTGGGGCTCGAGCGGCGCCCGCCCATAAACACCACTGCCCTGTCCCTGTGACTGTGTTGCCCTGGCGCCAAGAGGGGCAACACACTGCCTCCCGCCCACCCCATAATGGGCGCACAACGGGCAGGGCATGGCAACAGGGCCCGCCGAACGGATCGAGGGGCGCCAGACTGTTTTTTCACAGGATAGAATATTGTATTAATGCAATTACTGCAAACGCAACTGCACGCTAAGCCCTCGTCGCACACTTTCGCTTTCACGCCGTCCTGTTCGTCGGCTTCGCTCTTGTCTCAGACGGTTATAAATATATCCAAGCCCTCAGGAAAAAAAAAATGACGCTCGGTTGCACTCAAAGACACAGGCGCTTTACTTGCACCGCGAAGAAGAGACAGTGAGCCTGTCGTGCGCCTCCAACGCAATAAATGTCACGATTGACAAGACCAGCCGAGGTCTCGCTACTTTTTACTTCAGTTGGGTTTTCTACTCAATATAAAGCGTCGCGCGAGCTTCCTGGCCCGCGGGGCGAGCGGTTGGTCCGTCTGCGAGCTCTTACGATTGGCCGCGCCGACTGAGGCAACGAGGGCGCACGAGCAGAGAGAGACAGACGCTGCTGCGGCACATCCACTGCAGAGGGATAAGAGCCGGCCAACGACCGGCCAGCTGGTCGGGGTGCCAATGGAGAGAGCGAGGCGCAACCGGCCAGGCCCGCCAGGACGCGCCGCGACGGCACCGCGAAAAAACAGGCGAGGGCGCAACGGCCGGCGCCTGCCCCGTCTTTGATTGCGCGCACTGCGGCGCGCAAATGGGCAAAGCCATCACCACACTGGAACACGCGCGGGCCGGCGCCTCTCCGTCGCGAACTGCGCAGCTTTCTTGTGTGTGTCCGCGCAGAGGCCCGGCCGAGGTGCCGCGTATTGGCTTTCGCTCCAGACGTATTCGTCGTTAGCGATGCCCCGGATCATCGGAGGGGCGCCCGACTGACACAAGCCAAGGGGCGGCGCGCCTGCCTGCCGCAACTTACTGCGGTGCGACGTGGTCTAGTCGGCGGCGAGCATTGCCTCGCCCAAGGCTGCCGCTGGCTCTCTTCTAGACCGTGGGCGCACAACACTGCAGGGAACGGCTGCAGGCCGCGTTGCGGGTCCACAATTCTCATGTAGTAAGTTTTGATCTTTTTTTTACCAGGAAGGAGGCACCGGTACAGACATGCTTTAAAACTGGCACGCTCAAGTTTCCTCACACTGGCGCTGCCCTCAAATGTTTCTCTTCGTGTGTGTCGTCTCAAACACTCATATCTCCCCAAACAAAAAGCGAAATAAGAAAAATAACACCCTCACCAGCAATGATAGAACAAAACCAACACCTGTGTACTACTAGTGACAGAGTCCGATGTCGTGCTTTACTCGATTCCGCACGTTGATCATGATCTATGCCAGCCCAATAGCAATATCATCACAGCGTGCAGCTGACCGGGACTTCATTAGATTGAGTTCTCCCCGATGTTGACATTAAGTACGCACTTCCAGTTGGTTCGTTCCTGAAGATCCTGTGTTCAAAAAGTCAGTCGTTCATTTGGTGGAAAAACGAAAATGATATATTCCCGATACAATCCTAACGTGCAAAACTCGACAAGCGAAGCAAAAAAAAACTTTATTCTCAAGACTACATCAAACGTTGAAGCGCAAGAAAAGAAAGGCAGGCGCCCCATTCTAAATCGTTATATTTGGGTTTCAACTATTAGTACTAAGCAGCAGCAGCTGGGGCTGCAAAAAAAGTTTCGCGACGCCTACAGTGCTGCACTGCGCGAGATGGCGACTGCATCAAAATCATCATCTTTGCCATATCTTCGTCAAATTTTCTCTAATTCTGAAAGGGTGATAATCACCCCTGGGGGCTCCTCTTCTTCCCCTTTCTTGTCAGATTGAATTGGGATTGCTCTAGGCGAAGAGGACCCGGTGATTTGTATTGCGGAAACGGATGGGGAAGACGAGTGTGCTGCTGCATGATTTGTTGATGCAGCCCATGTTGTACTATTACCACCACCTTCTCCTCCCGCCAAGGTCGAGGCCGAGCTAGACCCTTGACCTTGTCCCCCACTTCCAGGCATCACACTCAAGTTCACCTGGTGACAACCCACACTACTACCCCCATGCTCAAAATTGATTGTCCCTCCGCCAACCACCCCGCTCGCGCTCGCACTACTTGAACTTGCTGAAGAAGAAGAGCTTGCTGCGTTCCCAAACCCTCCCAGCATACCGGAGGAATTTAAAGTAGAAGTCGTGATTGACTTCCCAGGGGCGGAAACTACGACTTCAGGTAAGAACAACGGTGGCCGGTTGGAATTCGCATCGTGGTCGGGTGGGGGCGTGGGGAACCTGTTTATTTGCTGGAAATTATTGTTTCCGCCATGCAACATCGCGAGTTGCTGTTGCGCGCAGCTCGCCGGCCCCGCGGATCTTGACCGTTTCAACAAATCAGTAATGTCAATAGCATCCGCAGAAGTGTTCAAGTTCATCGTTTGGTTTGGGTTGGTTGCGTTTAATATTCCGGTTCCAGTGGTCCCACTGCCACCTCCACGGGGATTGGTATTTTGGTTTGTATTCATCATGCTGTCGGAGAGGAGACTATCAAATGTAAAAGTGTCTGGGTCTGGAAGAATACAACTTGTGATGCTGTATTTAGATTCCAAAAAAATCTGTATTGCATGAGTATCAAACGGAATGCAATTTATGCGACGCTAACAAGGAATTTGTCGTGCGGAATAGGCATCAAGAAACCATCAAAAAATCTGTATTGCTAGTAGGGTATGCATCACAGACGTCATGGCTCATGCAAAACGTGCATGACAAGTGTCAGAATCTTCCAGACCCAGACATTTTTGCAGTTGGTAGAGACTCTGGCTTAATAATTTGCTATTGTTCGAACTTGGATTCCGCATTATAGGGGGTCTATGGAAGCGTCAGGTTTGAAATCGTCAAAGTTGAAATAATTTGTAATGCATAAAATGCATGACCCGAGGCACGTGTGTTGCAGAGCAGGCAA